TAAAGTCACATCAAGAAATGCTGCTGATCATTCCAATGATCCCAAATAGACTCACATTAGGCCACATGAAAGCAACTGAACCCAAAAATATATTAACCAGTATATAACTGCACTCTCACACAACACGCCTGCAGCAACAGTTAGGACTCCTCCATCCCTTTTAAAAGCGTTTTCGCTTCTGAGGACATTGTGGTTGTAAAACCACATACTAGTAGTCTGGCCCCGGTGTGATCAACCAGTTTCTGTGGGAATGTGACGGCGGAACCAGGGCCAGATTAACACTTTGTTGTACCCTGGGCAACAATATTCAAGGGCTCCATCATCACGACCCAAGGATCACCATAATGTGGTCACATACTGAATATTTTACTGTAATATGCAGTAAATATACTCAATACTTGAATGCCTGACAACACGTAACCCGCCCAGAGTAACCTTTGACCCACCTCGTGTGGACTGACCAATGAGGAGAGGGTCTTAACTTGAGGCCCTCTCTTCATTGGTCAGTCTGCATGAGACTGACTCTCAACTGACTTTCAGTCATAGGCAGCGAAGCGTCTCTGTGCAGCGCAAAAGCCCGGGTGGACAGTTTGTTTAATGTAGGGTGACCATATTTCCATTTCCAAACAAGAGGACAGGGGATCTGTGCCTATGACGTCACACTATGGCAACGCCACACAAACCATGTTGGGACCCATTTTTTGTAAGAACTAAATTAATATCAGATTCTGCCAATTAAAGGGCTCTAAAACAATTCATATGTAAATATTTTGCATATTTAATGCAAAATCTAATTTTTCTGCTTTAGTGCTGCAACAAGGTTTTATTAATAATAAATTATTATACCTTTTGTTTTACTACAGCATCGGTACGCTTCCTGTGCACAGATGATTAAGGATGCTTGTTTCAGCTGTGAGATTAGACGATAGGATCAATGAAAAAATAAGTTGTCACACACTCCATGGAAACTTTCAGAGAATCCACAAATAGTGGCTTTCAAATGGTTTTGTTACTTTTTGCAAGTTTAAAAAAGAAGCAGATGAGACAGCATGTCTGATAATTTAGTTTTTCATCTGATAATATTAGAACATGTCAGTCATGTCTGAGGGGCTTTTATAAACACCATATAACTAACACTACTGGAGAGGGCATGAATTACACAGAGGCTTCTGGGGAGCCCAGTTATTGGGGGGGGGGGGGGGGGGGCATTTTGCCTTGGCTCCCAAAATGTCTTGAAACGGCCCTGGGTGTGTGACTGAGTTTTGAAGGTGATCTGAATTGTATCAGATGTATAAATATGACATGTGTATAACTTATTGTTTTTTACTGGTAAAAACGTGTAGTGGAGATAAATCTACCTACATGTTACTTTTCAACACTTTGTTTTGTTTTCTTGTTTTTATTGAACTATTTCCTGTCCTGTCTGTCTCTCATCTTCCTGCATCTCCTCTTAATTCTCCAGAAAATCTGTTGCCTGGATTCTTACCTTTTCACGTCATCAGTTACTTTTGAGCAGGTCAAAGGGATCTCCTGACCGAAAAGCGCAGAGCGCGTTTTCGATGCTGCGTGAGGTGACATCACCACAGCACAGGTGATGAGCTCCACAGTAGCGAGCTTCAGGCACAAATAAGACAGAAAATAGAGAACATGTGCGGACATGAACAATCGTGTGCTAATTATAGTTTTTTGGTTGCGCCACTTTGAGAATGGACCGTGCGCTGGAAGCAGCTGCCTGGATCGCTGTGCAACAATGCGGAACCGGTTCGCAGCAGCGCAAGTCTGCAGGCTCTCCCTCGCGCTGATCTGCCGGTACCGGCTCTCCCTCACGCTGATCTGCCGGCTCTCCCTTGCGCTGATCTGCCGGCTCTCCCTTGCGCTGATCTGCCGGCTCTCCCTCACGCTGATCTGCCGGCTCTCCCTCACGCTGATCTGCCGGCTCTCCCTTGCGCTGATCTGCCGGCTCTCCCTCGCGCTGACCTGCGGCTCTCCCTCGCGCTGATCTGCCGGCTCTCCCTCGCGCTGATCTGCGGCTCTCCCTCGCGCTGATCTGCGGCTCTCCCTCGCGCTGATCTGCGGCTCTCCCTCGCGCTGATCTGCGGCTCTCCCTCGCGCTGATCTGCGGCTCTCCCTCGCGCTGATCTGCCGGCTCTCCCTCGCGCTGATCTGCGGCTCTCCCTCGCGCTGATCTGCGGCTCTCCCTTGCGCTGATCTGCGGCTCTCCCTCGCGCTGATCTGCGGCTCTCCCTCGCGCTGATCTGCGGCTCTCCCTCGCGCTGATCTGACTTGCTCTGGTCTGCGCGCAACGGCGGGCGGGAAGGGGGGGCGCTTTTGGAAGAGTTGTGCGACACAACGAATCGATGACGCAATTCGTTGCCAACGCTTTTAGTAATCGATTTTCATCGAATTTATCGATTCGTTGTTGCAGCCCTAGTGCCGTCCAGTGTGTCTTTGTAGATGGGATGTATGGTTTTTCCGGCAGTGTCTCAGTAGAAGTCATTTCAGAAATAATTTGTCAGAAAATTCCCAGAATATCCAGATTTGAGAACCAAGACCAGACCCGCTTCGGGGGAGGAGACCAAACTGAAGCTGAGATGGGAGGAAAATGCATGAATGAGGCCAAAAATGGCTTTGGCGTGTTTCTTATGAGGAAATGACAATATAACATGGTAAAAAGTTCCAAAAGTTAGATTTTTAATTACATGGCACCTTTACAAAAACTGTTGAATTAACTTCTCAACTCCGTCCTCAATCTTGCATTGTAGATGATATTAGCTATAACACCCTCTTTGGTTCCAGAATGCTATCAAGTCTGACAACTGGAAGGAATTGGACTGACTCTGATGGAATGGGCGGGGCTGACTCTGGTGCAGCTCCCCCTTTGTGGTTCTGCAGCGAGCACCACTTGGACTAGAGGCCGACCAATATATTCAACTTTTTCTATATTATCTAAATTATTTTTAAAAGCTGATTACAAATTTTTTATAAATTGGACACTTTTTCATTGTTTACACCTAAGGGAATATTCCACCCCTAAGTAATTTTTTGTCTGTTAGATTTCCCTGAGTTAGATAAGTGAGAAAAGGGATTTTGTAGCTAACAAGCTCAGTCATTCTCCTGATCTGGAAGCAGTAAGTTTTGCTTTAGCTTAGCATAAAACAATGTAAGTAAAAGGAAGGTTCTAGCATATTATTAAACACTTTTTTAAACCTGCCCTTTGTCATCGGTCCTGTTCATAACGCTCATGGAGGATTTCTAGGCGCAGCCGTGGTGTTGAGGGTGTGGAGTTTGGTGGCAGGAGAATCTCATCTCTGCTTTATGTGGACGATGTGGTCCTCCTAGCTTCATCAGGCTCTGACCTACAGCTCTTACTGGAGAGGTTCGCAGCCAAGTGTGAAGCGGCTGGGATGAGGAGCAGCACCTCCAAGTCTGAGACCATGGTTCTCAACTGGAAAAGGGCGGCTTGCCAACTCCGGGTCGGGAGAGAGGTCCTGCCTCCAGTGGAGGAGTTCAAGTATCTCGGGCTCTTGTTCACAAGTGAGGGAAGGAGGGAGCGGGAGATCGACAGGCAGATTGGGGCAGCGTCTGCAGTGATGCGAACGCTGAACCGTTCTGTTGTGGTGAAGAAGGAGATGAGCGGGAAAGCAAGGCTCTCGATTTACCAGTCGATCTACCGCCCAGTCCTCACCTATGGTCACGAGCTTTGGGTAATGACCGAAAAGAACAAGATAGCGGATACAAGTGGCTGAAATGAGTTTTCTCCGCGGAGTGGCTGGGTCAGCCTTAAGGATAGAGTGCTCGGACATTCGGGAGAGACTTGGAGTAGAGCCGCTGCTCCTCCATATCGAGAGGAGTCAGTTGAGGTGGTTTGGGCATCTTGTTAGGATGTGTGTTGAAGCAGGGAAGCATCTAAAACATGCTGGATACCGGCCTTTAAGGAAGCGAGTTGTCTACCCCGATATATAGTCGATGATAAACACAAACATTGTTAAAAGTCAGTTGATCCTACAGACACTGAGCTACAGTTTGGTGTTATAGCAGCAGTGAATCATCCCCTCAACACAATTCAAGATCTGCACTTGTTCAAAACGCAAGAGTTAAGCATTGGTAATGACCCTGTTACTGTTAGTTAAATATGTCATGAGTCAATGGATGGATTTTAATGAAACTTCACACACTAAAAATCTTCACCAAAATCTTCATGCATCATTTTGTGATGTTGCTTCAAACACGATGTGGTTGAACGTATTAAACTTCCCCGGTTCTGTTCCACAACGGGAAACTTGTGCATGACGAGTGTTGCACTGAGCCACACTGTCTTTTTCAGAATTTTAACAAAAAATACTGCCACACGGCCGACATCGCTCTTGTTCCTTGCTACTTTGCTAGCACATCCTGTTCTGATCATGTGGGCTACGCAAGCTGGATCTGGGAGCTGCTGGATATAATTGCTGGAACAGATTTTTAAGCGAGACGGACTGCTAATATCGGAGATTTTTGATGCAGTCTGATATAATCTGATACAGTTTTATTGGGCAAATATCAGACCTATTTCTAATATCTGCCCATCCATAGTAGACGCTAACCGTTAGTGTTAGCAACTCCACAATTAGGCAAAACTCATTCAGGCTTTTGTTATTTGTGGAGATAAAATATCAATATTGCAGAGCAAATGGAGATAGTGGAAGAGTTGCATTGCTGTTAGCTAATTAGCTAGCATTTCATGAATGATAATGACTAAGACTCCAAATCCTGTGGCTTTCTGTCCCCCCCCCCCCAAAAAAAAAATTACTTCATCTATCTGAAAGAGGCGCACCAAAGCTTTTTTTTTCCCACAGAAAAAGATTCAAGAGGCATTCACTCAAACTAGAGTCCATGGAGGACTTATTGAAAAAAAAGAGTGAATGAGCTTTAACATTACCTAAAGATCCAAAACCAAGACTGTGGCAGACAAAAGTAGAATTTGAAGAAGTAGAGGTTATGTCTTTTTTTTCTTTTTTTACCTTCTTCTTGTCCCTCATAGAGCCCTTTCCTCGCACCATAATTTTGCAGCCAGTCTCTGCCTCAAGCTGTTTGGCCGTCAGTCCACGTGGGCCCAGGATCCTTCCCACGAAGTTAAACTACACGAAAAAGAAAAATACAGAATTAAAAATGTTAAACAACAAATTGGCATGAAAAAAATGCAATGCTTTTTAGCTTTTTCATTGTATGTTTGTGAGTTTGCCTCAAGCCCCCACAATGCGGCTCAGAAATTGGTCTCAACCCGGAAGTACCAAAAATTGCAGTTCCACCCTCATCCGCTGGGGGCTGGTGTCAGAAGCGAGCAAATCCTCATTGACTCCCATGTTAAAAATACCAATTTCACAGCAGAAATAAACATGTTTACAGCCTGGTACCAAAACATGTTTTTGGTTTAAATGATCTAGTTTACACTCATGACAACTCTGAGGGAGGTGAATTTTTTTCTCACTCTTCTGTTTAAGTGTATTAAAAGGCTGCCGGCTTGTGGAGCTCTGGGATGGAAACCTTTCCACCCGGTTCTCCCCAGCGGCAGCTCTGCGCATCTCAGATCGCAGCGGCGCTTGTCTGCTGCGCGGGCTGCCGGCTTGTGGAGCTATCGGAGACCTCTGTGTTCCACCCGGTTTTACCCAGCGGTCAGCCCGGCGTATCTCTGACTCAGAAGCTCTGGTGTTGTGCACAGTTAACTCCGGTTGTAGCTAGGTTGCTACCTCTGTTAGCTTAGCTCCCACCTCCGCATTAGCTTTGGGTTAGCTTCAGGTTAGCTTGTAGCTAGTTCGACCGGGTGTCGTCAGTTGATCCCAGCCTTACAGCCCCACCCTCAGCTCCACCTCTCTTCCCTTTTATGGAATTGTCTGGGCTTGACGGAACCTGTGACACGGTCAAAATGGCGGTGGTGGTCACCTCCCATTTTAGTACAAAAACTTATTATTGGAGCCTATGGAAACCCATTGTCCATATATGTATGTCGATGGTTTGCCTTTGACTTTTGTGGATGAATCAAGTGTTTGAAGATAAAAATAGCTCATTATACTGGTGCTGGCTGGTGTCAGTGCCATGACGGGACACGGCCGTTCTCTTAACCTTATCTGTCACTACCCCTGAGTGATTAACCAGACAGCTGCCCCTGTGTGTGTTGTTTCTTTGCCACCACCCCACTGTCCTCTTCCCCTTATTTCATAACCATCACCCAGCCTTGTACTCCATTAATTCCTCCACTGAATTTTGTCTTCCCTGATGTTCACTTCAGTAACATTTGTAAAACATTCCAAGATCTAGAACGACCCTGACTCACCAACACACACACACACACACACACACACACACACACACACACACACACACACACACACACACACACACACACACACACACACACACACACACACACACACACACACACACACACACACACACACACACACTTGATTCCAGACGGTGGAACTGCTCTCTAAATTTAACCTTTCCAATGCACTCCTGTGTGTGTCCTGTTAGTCTGCCGTCATGTGAGTTAGGACAGCTCGTCATTGTAGTGGGTGATTGGCGAGCGAGCGGATGCATGAAGAAAATCATGTGAGCAAATGTGGATCAACACAGCTCACGCTGAAGTGCTCGGCTGCACTTATCTTTATATTTGAAGGAAAAACTTAATCCAGCTTTTTAAGCTTTAGTTTGGGGGCTGGAACAATCTCAAAGCAAACTAATTAATAGCAGAATCTTTCATTTTTGACTCAGTAAATCTAAAATAATGTGAATTTTTTCACTTCTTGGGTTTTGTATTTTTTTTAACTGAGCGGAGCCACCAGTCCTGGTTCATTATTGACCTGCTTTAGCTCCAGATTACATCACTGGGTGTGAGCAAAGATGATCTCAGAATGAAATCAGCTTTTAGATAAAAGCTAAATGCCTCCATGTAAAGGAGTCACGCTGACTTTCTGGTAGTCTTTCTGTAAATAGGAGAAAGATTAGGTGACAACAGAACAGGGTAAACAGAACTCTTCTGAAAAGGTCAGAGGTCTTTGGTTTGTCAACTCACGTCGGGGTACTCTTTGACAGGCACGTAGAGCTTCTCCTGCAGCTGAGCCACGGGACCGACGGCTTCGGGAAGCTCCTCCATGTCCCGCCCGTTGAACATGCCGCCGTTCAGTGTGTCGTTGTACATGTCTTTGCGCACCCTGCCAATTTCTATGAAACGGAGAAAGACAGAGCCAGATAAAAGTGGGGTTGAGTTAAGTGAATTGAAAGAATTTCTCATTTCTTTTATCAGACGGTCAGTTTGTGTGGACAGTGACCCAGTGTCACCAGAATAACAAGAAGCTCTGAGCATGACAGCTCAAAGATAGATAAGCAGAAAGGCATTCTGCACCACAACGTAGAATTTAACTGCTGGATGCTTCTGAATCAGGTCTCCTACGTTACTAATCGCGTTCCCCACGGATACTGTTACCTGGTAAATCTACAAATAATGTCAAGGGTGAGTCTGCAGCTTAGGTTTACTTTTTCAGTAGTAACTAACTAGAGATGCACTGGCTCTGGTTTTGGATACTGATTTCTGATTTTTACACAGCTGTGACCTGCTACTGGAAGAATTCGAAATTGTTAATCAACTTAAATTATGGTTTCACTTTTATTATAGAGATATGTGACAATGCTAGGATTAATTAGCGCTTAACAACGTTAAGTTCACAGATGGAGAAAAGAAAAAGTCTGATTTTTGAGTTTCAGATTAAGTCCACCATAGGGCTGACAATAATTCCTTAACGACATATATCTAGGGATAGACACAATGTGATAGAAAAAAATGAGTCAATAAAACCTTCAACAAAAGGTTCACTTTCTTTTTCCATTATAGCCTATTGGGTAGCTTAATGCTAGAGTCATTATTAACTACTAGCCAATCAAAAACACAGACCCAGGCACACTCCCTTACTAAGACCTCTCCTCTCAACCCTAAGCAGACAGCACGTGACTCGCAGCAGGGAGAGGTGGCGCATATTGTCCCCAACAAAGGTTAAAGTAGTTCCCCAGAATGGCAATATTTTAGTTTTTACAAGTCTGACAAAAACAAACAGTTGTTTGCTAAATTTGAATGGAATCGATAGAAACCAAGTCTGGTAACACAAATGACTAGTTTTATCATAAAGTAATGACATAAAATGCCCAGGGACACATTTAAAATGTATTTTCTACATTTTTATAGTTATCAATAGTTTTTTATATTGATCAATATGAATTTTTTTATCAATAGGCTATTTTTTCTATAACGTCCAGTCCTAGTCCATCATACTGAATACTGGCCTACTCCAAAAACCAATGCATCTCTCACACTGATGGGTTTGCAACACTTTTGTGGAAATTCTTTTTGAACCAGTTTTTTTTTATCTGTTTCTTGTTTTGTTCACATACCTATCCAAAGGTAGTTTTGAAGTAAGATCTTACCAACGGATACCCATTAGGGTCAAAAAGCCCCGGGGAGTGCAAACTTCAGCAAAAATGACGAGCACATTAGACTCCCTTTCATCACTGACAATGAGTGAAGAGGTAAATGTGTAAAACGACAATGTTTATGAATAGTGAAAGTTATGTAACCATTTCTTACAAATCAGTCAAGCATTTTGTCCTCAAGGGCTCCCGTAGAAGGAAACATGGCATCTAATATGGCGTCGCCCTGAGACAGACCCATTCCCATGTATTTTAGACCAGATTTTTATGGTTATTTGTTATGAAGCTGCCAATATTTTTCAACAACTGGACATCATTTAATTCATTTTCAACAACATTTTGATGGATGTTTCCAGAGATTAATGATAAAAACTACATATTGTCTCTTTACAGCAAAAATATTATAGGCAGAAAACATGCACTTTAGGGCCCTCAGCATGCTTCCATGCAAGCACTGAAAACTACGAAACAAAGGCTCCAAGCCTCGGCCAGCTGTCTAAAGGCTGGAGACTGAACAGTACTGAAAGGGCATATGGGAGAAGGAGGCATCACACAACAGCGATGCAAAGTGGGACAATCCACCACAAAACTGCAGGGTGTAAGATGTTGGCAAGGAAAGCTTAGATGGAACACCACAACCAAGTGGCTGGCATCGTGTACAGAAACATCTGTGTAGAGTATGGACTGGAAGCCCCAAGAACAAAGTGGGAAACACCGTCTAAGGTGGTGTGAGCCAAGCTCCTGTGGGACTTCCAGATCCAGACAAAATGGTGATGGCGAACCAACCGGACATTGTGGTGGTGGACAAACAACAGAGGACAGCCATTGTGGTTGATGTGGCAATACTAAGTGATGGCAACATCAGGAGAAATTAACATAAGAAACTAAAGAAGTACCAGGGCCTCAAAGAGGAACTTAAGAAAGCCTGGAGAGTGAAGACATCAGTGGTGCCCGTGGTCATCGGGGCAGACATCTCAGTCCAGAAAAGTGCCGTTCTAGGAACAGCTAAGATACTGCAGAACCCTCAAGCTCCCAGGCCTCTGGTAGAGGACCTGTGCTTGGAAGGATGAGACCACCCACAGAGGGTGAGATGGGAATTTATATACTGTATCTCTTTTACATTTTTAAGAAAAAATGTACATAATTCCTGAAAGGGTTAAAGTCCAGGTTGCTGCTCAAAGAACATGATCTTAGAGATGCCAAAAAATGGCTGGATACTGGAATCAGCCAATATTCTGCATCATTGAATGAATCAGTGATTGGCCAATCTGAAACTCACAAACCAGATTATTTTATATGAATGGACCATTGCCAAGCAGAATTTTACAAAAAAGCCTGACATTTTTCCCAGTCCATGACCTCACTGCCGCTCAGCCCTAAGGCGCTCCGGCAATAACAGATCTGATGTGGAAGTTTTTACCTCCACAATTTTAATAGTCAAGTTGGTCAAATACTAAAATGCAAATAGGATTCTGTTATAGTTACATAAGATAAGATAAGATAAGATAAGAGAGTTGGGATGAGGGATGAGGTCCTGCCCCAAGTGGAGAAGTTTAAGTACCTTGGGGTCTTGTTCACGAGTGAGGGAAAACTGGAGCATGAGATCAACAGGCGGATTGGTGCTATGTCTGCAGTGATGCAGGCGTTGTACCAGTCTGTTGTGGTGAACAGAGCTGAGTCAGAAGGCAAAGCTCTCTCTTCACTGGTCGATCTACGTTCCTAACCTCACCTGTGGTTATGAGTTTGGGTAGTGACCGAAAGAATGACATTGCGGATACAAGTGGCCAAAATAAGTTTTCTCCACAGGGTGTCTGGGCTCTCTCTTAGAAATAGAGTGAGAAGCTCGGTCATCCGGGAGGGGCTCAGAGTAGACCCGCTGCTCCTCCACATCGAGAGGAGCCAGTTGAGGTGGCTCAGGCATCTGGTTAGGATGTCTCCTGGATACCTCCCTGGTGAGGTTTTCTGGACACGTCCAAAGAGGAGGAGACCTAAAGGAAGACCCAGGACATGTTGAAGGGACTACGTCTCTCTGATGACCAGGGCACACCTTGGGATTCCCCTGGAGGGGCTGGGGAGAGGAAAGTCTGGGTCTCTGCTTAGGCTGCTGTCCTCGTGATCCGACCCTGGATAAGCGGCCGAAATTGATGGATGGATGGAAGATAAGAAAATATTTAGCAGTTTACAGCTGTACAGTTTACAGCTGTACAAAAACTGGAAAGCGGAAATGGATATTTACGGAAGAGGATTAGGGCCACTGAAAAGAAAAGAAAGAGAATTCTGACTTTTTTATATCAGAATTCTGACGTTTTCCCTTCAGACTTTTTTTCTCAGAATTAATAAAGTTAGAATTCTGAGATTAAAGTCAGAATTCCGAAAAAAGTCAGAAACGTATTTCTTTTCAGTGGCCCTAATCCTCTTCCGTAGAGATCAAATCCAGAATAGGAAACATGTCAGCCAAAGGTTAAAAAAAAAACCCATCAAATTACTACACTGTGTTAAATAAGAAAAAAGAAGATGATAACGTAAATATACGTTCAAAGATTTGGCAGCAGTACTGGGCTGCCCACGGATGTGCCTGACAATAAATAAAAAAAAGACTATAAATCAGCTCTACTAAACAGTTATATCAGCCAATGCTGATATATAAAAAATGGTAAAAATTGGCCTGATGTATAAGCCAACTGATACATCGGATTATCCGATGCAATTTTCCACTGCAATTTCATATTTTGTGGATGTTGTTTTTTTACCAGCTTTTTAGCCACCAGTGTTTTATTTTGTCCTGATATCTGTCAAAAAGTTCAATACAATAACTTAAAAACTGCATAAATGAAGTAAAAGCTCTAACTAAACAACAAGCTGAAGCCTGATAAATGTCTAATCTTTTTGTTTTAAACCAGTTTTTAAAAAGGTTTGCAATTTTTTATCTGTTTCTGCAGCTAATAACTTTAAAAACAGGTAATTAATAAAATATGTTTTATTAAAAACAAACTAATGAATAAATGTAGGTTTGCTTCAGAGGCGCTGATATAAATGAGACTTATTTCTGTCTGTCTGTGTTTGTTTATGGTTGTCTCAATGACCGATGCTTGCCTCTGATACCTTTGTAATGACACTCTAGTGCAATAATAACTGACTACAGCACCACACACACACGCACACACACACAGACCCCAGTTTGAAATCACTCACACATACCAACACACACACACACATGGCCGAATAACTGCCTTGGGGCACAAATATCATCTGACCTAAGCAGGCTGACAGGCATGTCTCCCTCCTCTCTGAGTGTTAAGTCTGACCATAATAACTACAGTATCACACTATAATTACAGCCACTGCCAAAGTGACAAGAATGATCCTCTAATAACCTATTCTGACCCAGCGCTGGCAAAAGGTGGCCATTAAAGCACACACAAACAAACAAATCTGCACAGGCAAACAGGGCCTTTGTCACACTTGAGTTAAAAGTAGCTGGAGGAAAACGAGAAGTGAAAGAAGAACCAGAGAGCTGGTCGAAGGAGAAAAAAGATAAAAGGGGAGAAGTGACGAGACTTATCGTCGCACTTCAACCTGTCACAGGATTAAAAATAGAAAGGACAAGGCTGCTTGGTTGAGACAAACATCAACGCCTTACATAAACTTTTGTCTTTTAGTTTCGAGTTCTGATGCTTCGGTTCTCTGCAAGCCCAGAAGACGCAGGCAGGCTGAACACCAGTAAGGGTGTAAAGTCTTTTTATGTGAACCACAGGCGTCACGTTATCACAGCTGTCAGTCCACAACACCAACACAACGAGAGAAGTTGACCTGTTTGTTAAGCCGTAGAGGTCATCTGGTATGAGAGCAACTTTGCTGTGTCATGAGACCTGTCACACATGTGCAAAAACAATAGCAACAGGCCCGAGGAACGTGTAGGCACTTTAAAATGACACCTAAACACAAGGAACTGTGTGCTGAGAGACGCTTGAGTGTTATATGCAACTGCACCTTATAAATAGGGTTGGATTTCAACAAGTGGACGGCATTGATGAGTTGAAGAGACGAGATGACTCGGGAAGCAGCTTCAGATCAGATATTTTACACATTCACATGCTTTCGTTCCTGCACAGGGATGGGCTGCATAAGCCTGTTCATTAGGTCACTGGGAAAGACCAACAACTGTCTGTTTGTTCCCATCACCGGCTCTGTGTGTGTGTGTGTGTGTGTGTGTGTGTGTGTGTGTGTGTGTGTGTGTGTGTGTGTGTGTGTGTGTGTGTGTGTGTTTAAGAGAGCGCTCTACTGTTCCTCTCATCAAGTCCTAAATCTGACTTAAGACAATAAATACACCCCATCCACGCATTAACCTGCCGGATGTGCACGGTTGTAAGCCCGCTGTGGGTGAAACCAGCCAGTGTGAGAATGTCATCATTTATCTTTGGGATCAAGTCGGTGTTTAGGGGACAACTCTGCTGCTGTCACGTTTCAGAGGAATCTGCTCAAGAATCAAACTCAACATTCTGAACATGAAGTTTGTTGATGTGTGCTGAAGGGTGTTTGGGTCAAACAGAAGCTGAGTTACCTTCATCCAGCAGCCGCTCCAGATGCGTGAAGATGCCGCTGAAGTTGGGGAGGGAGCTCATCACCTTCCTGTCGTTCATCAGCTGCATTAGATAGTCCGGGTTGGACTTGGGTCTCTCCTTCACCTCTGTCTCCCCAACCATGTCTCTTGATTCAAGCGACCTTTCTAGTAGGAGAACTCGGTACTGTTTATCCCACCTAATAAAAACAAACACGCCCCAAAAAGGATGATCCCGGGGATTCCTGCAGCCGCGAGTCGCAGACCGCCTCGTTTAGCTAGCGGGTAAAATTCAACTCTCAGCTCCCGGGAAGCGACTGTTCTTCGGTCAGTGAGCCCCGTCCTCTTCAACGGTCCCCCCACCCCTCTTCTCGGCTCTGTCCAGAGTTTGAAAAAGTTCAGAGGGGGAGTTTGGCACTTGTTGGACACTTAAACCGACTCCCTTCTTCTTCTCCTGCCACCAGCTCGTCTCCTCCGCTCGTGTCCGTCCGGTGTGTCGGTGTTCGGCAGCGGGGACCGAGGCTCCCTATCATATGATTACAGTACGGCAGCAACACGACTGTCGCGAGCGCGCGGCGCGGCGCCGATATCACAGGGGAGAGAGGAGGGGGCTCGTGCCCCCCCCCCCCCAGCCCCCGCCCGCCCCGCGCCTCTTCCTCACTCGCGCACGCGCGCTTCCCTCACTAATTTTAAAAGCTCATAACAGTAAAACGGCCCCATGAAGGTATGTACACTTGTTGTACAGCAGCGGCTGTCCGTCTCTCCTGTGGAAAAAGTGTGTTTATGCCCAGGTACCATCAGATATTCAACTTTTATCAATAAATTATAAAAAACAGCCCAAACTCCGCACTTTTACAGAGTACTGCACAAAACTCAATACAATAGGCTATTACATCTTTATCAATAAACTATCAATGTGCTAGTTTTTAAAGGTTGTCATGTCGTGTGTTGTTTTTGCTCCAGAAAATAAATATAAAATGTCATTAACTTCTAAACAGTGCATGTTTTTTTTGTCATGTTCATCAATGATCTCTGCTTTAAGAAAACAAGATTTCTGTCAAAAGCTGGAAATCACAATCCTTTAACATTCCAGCTAATTCAGCTTATTCATGTGGAGTCAGTCAAAAATCATTCCAGGGTACTTTAAAGACACGTTTGCTGAACAACTGTGAAAACTGTCCTGCTTAAAAACATTCAAACCGTAATTTAAAGCTGCCATCTTAGATTGTGGAAGTTTAACGTGTAAAAATATCTGCCATTTTTAATAAATAAAGAGATGTTTATCATACTAACATTGTTATTTTTCTCAAATGAGAATCCAGTAGCCATCTGGGTTTACTGGTTTCCAGATAAATCTTCTCCTGAGAGTCAAAACCCCGAATGCCAGGCAGCCACACCCTGCATGCTGAGAGCATTTGTTGGGGATCCTGAAACAATAAGGCGGTGCAAGGGTCGCATTTGTTCTCTCTGGGTGGCTCCTGCAGCTTATAGGAAGAAGAACTGGTACTGCTGAAGGAGCAGAGAGGTACGAGTGTCTAAACTTAACTTGCTGTAAGTCACACACACGTGCACGGAGACACACAAAGACAGTGGTGTGCCCATGCATGCCTTGGCTTAAGCCTCTTGTCAGGTGCTGTTGGCCTCCCACCTGGTCTCTCCCCCTTGTCCACTATATACAGACTGTTTTGGCCTCTTATGATTGAATCTCTCTCTCTCTCTCTCTCTCTCTCTCTCTCTCTCTCTCTCTCTCTCTCTCTCTCTCTCTCTCTCTGTGTGTGTCTGTGTGTGTGTGTGGCAGCCGGGATTGTAGTGTGGCAGCAGTGCTGGTAATGGCTGGTCAGCTGGTATGGCGAGTATTCAGGGCGGGGGCTGTGCATTGTCCTCTCATGGCTCCAACAATGCCCCTCTGAGCAGGCCACACATCCATCTACCAGTCACGGGCCTCTCTTTCCCTCGGCCTCCCTGTCTCTGCTTTTCTTTCTGCCTGCCGTGTCCACTCAGCCCACGGCGGAGTGGAAGGCGAGGTCGAAGTGGAGGGCCTCAAAGTCAACCAGCACCCGATTCATCCCCAACACACCCTAAATGCTTGATGCTTCAATGAATTACTGATGATAACCTCAGATGCTGAGTATTTATTAGTACCACAGTTGTATGCATAATATATAAAAAGTGCAATCACTACTAAAAGCCTTCAACAATCCCCATAAATCCAGCTTTTTAGATTAACCAGCAATAAAAACTTAAAATTTTTTCAGTTTTGATTTCTTATTTGAACTAAACAAAAGATGATCATAACAACTTTGCATTTTGAGGGCTAATCCGTCCACACAAAAAAGAACTAGGTGATTTTTTGCACTGATTTTAAATTTTAAAACTATTCTGATTTCTGGCCATTATCAAAGTTGCTGTCTTTCTCCATTTTGTGTCGTTTTAAAAGTGAAAATCTCTGAGTTCACAACCGTTGTTTTTATTATTTATTATTTCATTGATCAACATGTTTGTTAAATGGAGAAAAATATTTCCAAAAGCCATAATCCCCTCTTTTTAACATCTTCTAAAATAAAAGATAGTTAAAAACGCAGCCCACCATATAATAAGCAATTTAATAATTCCAATTCTGGGGTACATACATGCTTTTAGCAATATGTATGTAAAGATGTCATAAGTTGTGATCATCTTTAATGATGCACTGTAAATATGTACATTTTTATGATCATGATTTTCCAAAAAACATGATGATTTTACAGCCAAAACGGTGTGGAACTAATGACTGTGTTAACTGTTCTCTCAGAAGAAGAAACAACAATCCAACAAGGGAAATCAATTCAGCTGTCAGTTCTTCCGTACCTTCAAAAGTCCGAATTGTTTTCTTTTACATAACTTTTATCAATGAAAAGGCCAGAATGAGCAGCTCCTGTTGTAAGCACGCCCTCTTGTGGCCTTTTGTGTAACTGACGCAAATAAAACCGTTTTACAGTCCAGCAATGACCCTGAAACTCAAACGCTCAAATCTTTTGAAGTTAATGGGAGGGATGGGCTGTTTGCTGTTCCCAGTTTGTGCTTTTTAAATGATCGCAGTGATGAACTTTGAGCAAAATAATTAGAATGTTTTTATGGGGAAACCTTTTCATTGATGCAAACACGTTAGTGATCTGTAAAACTAATGTTAGATGTGTCTTGTGTGCAGAAACAAAGGTGCAGCGGACGTTAGGAGGATGACATGTACACAAGGAATTGGTGTGCTAGTATAAATGTTTAACATTTCTCACTTATGGGGGATTATTGTCATCATAGGTGTGTTTTCCCATGTTTATTTCCAATTCAGTTCAGTTCAAAGGAAAAATATCAAAATCCCAGAAGGACATGTTGCAGCTGTACTTTTTTTTTATCAGAGGTGTGGCCAAGTCACTGCTTTGCAAGTCACACGTAAGTCGCAGGTCTTTCCAGTCAAGTCCAAGTCGAGTCCAAAGTCAATGATGTGGAAGTCCAAGTACTTAACTTTGAATTTTCAAGTCATAATCAAGTCCTCTGTCCAACTTCAATTTAATGACAATGATAATAAATAAATTCCAGAAATAAAGCTTCTTAAAGCTAATTTTATTTGCTCAAACAAGCAGAAAGTGCAACTGAAACTGATTATAAACAAAGTGCTGCTGCATTTAGCAGTAAATCAAACCCAGAATGGAGAATGGTTTATGATTTTTGTCCATGTCGCCACTTTTGTGCTAAAATATCAAATATGCTCAAGTCATGATCTAGTCAACAGATGCAAGTCGATTCAAGTCACAAGTAATTGGCGTTCAAGTCTGAGTCAAGTCATAAGTCTTTATAGATTTTATCAAGTCAAGTCAGAAGTCAATAAAATAATCACTCGAGTCCAAGTCATGTGACTCCAGGTCGCACCTCTGATTTTTATGTGGAAAATCTGTTTTGCTTTGAAAACAAAATGAAATCTCCTGAACAATAAACGTCAGCGTCAAAAGCAACAAACCAGATTTGAATAATCGATCTCTAAAAGATCTTTTTTCAACTTTTCTTTACATTTTCTTTACATTGATCAACATTGCTTAACAATTCTTTATCTGTAGCTGATGGAAAAATAGTAATGGAAAATATTGAAAAACTCAAATTCAAAAGTATTGTTTTAAAAACCTGAGTTAAGTTCTTCTAAGCAGAGATGAAGTTATGATGTAAAATCAGCTAATATCCAGAACAACACAAATGTCCTTTTGCTGCAAAATAAAAAGTTTAAATGCAACTGAAATAAAATTGTAAACACTTTCTTTTCTATCTATGAAAGGAACTGTATTGCATCGACATGTTTCAGCCTGTTTCTGTCCTTTCATCTTGCTCTTCACTTTCTCCCCCCCCCCCCGGGGGTGAGGCCTGCAGCAGATCCCACCTGCTAACCTGGTGGATGGGTTCATGCTAATCTCAAGCCGATTAGGCTTCTTATCTTCTCAGCGCTGGTTATGTGCTTTGGTCCAACAGAAATACCACACTGAGTTGGCCTCCTTTACTGTTCCTGCTGACTCTTCATGGCCTAACCCTCCACCCCCCACCCACATGTGTTAACCACACTAGCTTTGATATCATGGCTCCTTATTCCTCACGGTGGGAGCTTGCTCACAATGTGGATTTCAGTTCAGAAGCGCACGTTATTAGTGGATTGTGTCTCAGCTGGGTGGATAAACAGGACCTTACTGGTTATTGTTTATCAGTATTCAGGCTGAAAGGATCACAGGTTTGTTAGTAGCGCTCTGTGAGGGCAGAATCAGGGGAAGGCAGCAATTGGAGTGCATTTTACTCGGTACAATGTACAGTTTTCTACTTTAGATTAAACGTAAGGCATTTTGGGTATAAACTCCCCCAGCGTGCGTGCTCACACACACACACACACATGCGTGCCCTCACGCTGGACATGTGAAAAGTCATCCAATGTCCATGTGAAAGCAGTAAAGCCATAATTACCCTTATCCTATTGAGTTAATCAGGAACCCTGCAGGAGTCACAGCACGGCTCTGCAACTCAAGGTCAAGACAACACAGTTATTTGACTTTTGGATCACATCTCTACAATCCTTTATTCACGTACTCAACATTTTGTTTTTTGTCTACACAAACACACAAATCCAAACCTCCCATTTGGAAAAGGCAAACTTAACATACATTTGAACAAAAATATTTAGCTTAAATACATTATTTAAAAAAAGTAAAATCTTTTCTACACTATTTACAAAGATGTTGTTACAATATACATACATACATACATGCATGGACATACACACTGCATGTGCTGATAAAGAGATGCAATTACAGGTCAGGAGCCCAAATTTTAGCTGCCAATTCACTCAAAATGTTCCTGTGCATCCCTCCAGGGCTCGTCTCCTGATTCCCACCCCTCACCGTCCCAACACTCCCACAGAACTCAATCTGACTCGCTGCAGATTTTTACTCCCTCTCAGGAGGTTTTCCAGGCTTCAGAACCAGACTGGAGCATGAAAAGAGCTGAGGTGTGAAAAGGGTATGGGTTGAGTTTGTTTGTTTTTGTCTTCTGAACGGTTCATCTGCTACGAAGCCTTATTAAAAAGGTCAAAAATAAATATATAACACTGCTTTTCCTGTGGTTCCTTCCATGACAGGGGGGGTTGCATAGCAACCACCATCCCCACGAAAACTATCTGGAAGAATCACACCCCTACTCGCATTTGGAGAACAACTATTACAAATAGTTTCATCATTTTTTTCCAAACCTTTGACAGTGAAAACGAAATCCAGATTAAGATATCAAAATGAGTAAATATCTTAAAAATATAAAACAGAGAAACAAAGTTGGATTCTGCGACAAAAGTAGAAGCCGGTATGTATTCACTCATTAAATCTCTATGTGTACAGAATTATTTTTTTAGAATGTCCCTTTAAAATAAATCAATTTAAAAGAAGATTATTATTATTATGTAAGTGAATAGGTAGTTTCTACAAAACAAATCTGGTACAAAACGTCGCTTTTGGTGTCTCCACATCAGGTGGAGGTGATCTCAGTTTCTGCAGGTGGGGTTGGCTCAGCTCACCGTTGCAATGCCCTCCTCGCCCCCCTCCTCCACTTTTACACCTTTACCCATTGTCTTCATTTTGGTCATAATGTCGGTGAAGGTCTCCTTCACGCTCTTCTCCAGGAGAAAGCCCTCGCTCTCGCTCTCTACGTCCTCAGGGTTAGCTAGAGAGGACAGGGAGCTCTGGACGTACTGCAGACCAACAGTCACAGAGATCTGCAGGGAACAAGAACACAAACTCTGAACTGTTTTATAAATCCGTGAAGCCAACTATGCTCTAAAGATCTAGACAGAAATCCTCTGCTGTGCATGTCGACATCTGCTCGGGAGATGAAGCTGCAGGAATTGGGTCTGTCTTTGTCACCTCCTGTAGATTAACCCCTTACTCCATCCCTGAACCTAACAACTCTGTCAGCATGGAGATGCTTACATAACTCCCCTAAGTCAGTTCTTCTGACAGTGCGACTGATAAGCTTCATTGTTTTGCTGAAATCTGTGATTTCAACACGAGAGGACTCTGCCGGATTTCTAGGAACGAGATGTCATTGATTAGAGAACAGTCCTTACCCTGGCATTCGAGTCATGAGGATCGACTTAAAGTGAGTCTGGCTCTCCAGCCATACACGCTAATGGTGACGGTGGCAGAGGAGTTGAGTTTGCCCCGAAATTGGAAGGTTGTAGGTTCGAGCCCTGCTGAGTCTGTTGCTGTTGTTGTGTCCTTGAGCAAGACACTTAACTCGTCTTGCCTGCTGGAGGTGGTCAGTGAGACCGGTGGCGCCGGTGTACAGCAGTCCCACTTCCGTCAGTGAGCCTGAGGGCAGCTTTGGCTACAGTGTAGCTTATCCCACCAGTTGTGAGTGTGTGTGTGTGGGGTGAAGGTCTGATTGTGTTGTAAAGTGCCTTGGGGGGGTTCTAGAAGGCACTATTTCAAATGCAGGCCATTTACCAGAAAAACCAACACATTCTCACTCCCAGCGCGTCAAAAACAAACGCTTGGTCAGCCACCCTCCGCCTCAGACCCCTGACGCCAAAAGTGCCCTTTTTCGTCACTTATGTGCGAAAATGGTTTTTCCCTTTTCTGACTGCAGATCCTAATGCAGCGTAAAACTGATGCGATGGGATGTTCGCAGCCAGGGCACCAAACAAGCTCATTGTACCGCACCCTAACCTTATCCTTTTGTTATTTAACCTTCCCCTCACCCCTATCCTAACCTTAACCATCTTGCTAGCTAACACGTCAGTGATGTGTCGGTCGCTCTGAAAGCCGGCTCTATGAAGTGAACGGTGGGATCCGTCTCGTCATTGGTCGGGTTTGGACCGAGGCAACGCGAGGGTGAGGTTTCAACTACCAAGGTGGAGGTTAAAGGCAGAGGGTATTTGTAACCTCCCCCTCGCCAGATGGTATGTACTAACGTTCCCCTTGGGCGGCAAATACGAAAATTCACAGTCAGAATGCAGTGAGAGTAACGTTTTAGGCAGCAAGAGGGTTAAGGTTAGGATGAGGGAGAGGGGAAGGTTATAAATAGTAAAACGTTAAGGTTTAGGTGCGGTTAAATGAGCTGGTTCGATGCCGCATCAGCAGACATCCCATCGTGTCGGTTTTACGCTGCATTGGGATCTGCAGTCAGAAAAGGGAAAAACCCGTTTTCGCACATAAGTGACGAAAAAGGTCACTTTTGGCGTCTGGGGTCTGATGTGGAGGGTGGCTGACCAAGCATTTGTTTTTGACGCGCTGGGAGTGAGAACGTGTTATCAATACTTGGCAAACAGGACCGAGGTGTTTTGGAAGGTTGGTGCAGGAATATAAAAGAGGTCAAAGGTGCAACTTTTTACATCTAAACCAATAAAAATCAAGTTAAAATTAAACTTAAAATACATACATAATAGTTTTGTCTCTTGCTGTACATGAACACACAACCTTGTCTATTATCCCTCCCGCTGTCTTCATGGGTGACCCCGCGAGGAAAGTTGACCATCATTGAGCAGGATTGATGGTTTATCCCTTGAGGTCCACGTGGCAGGGGTGAGGTGGTGCTCACTCCTCCACGGCTTCAGAGGTTTTTTTGTAACTTCTAGGAAAACAATTATTTAACAAAATTCAATAATTTTCTTCTACTGAAAGTGTTAATTGAATTTTGAAGTTTAACGAAGCTGGTGTGGAAAGCAGAGGTACCTCCTGATCAGACCGGTCGGAAACGTTTTCAGAGGAGAACAAGCTTCCTAAAATAATTTTTTGAAGAAATCTGTAAAAATGCCATATGAAAATGGAGCCGTCACAATTAAGGTCACCCTCTAAAGTGAGTCATTGTAGGTGAGGAGCAAATCACAGGAAAGGTGCTGCACAATTTGACGTGGCAGATAAAAAATTGTCTAAAACAGTTGAATGAAACATGATTGAAAATTTATTAATCATGCATGTCACTGCTTTTGCTGTTCTGACCTCCAGCATGGTAACGAGCACCACCAGGGCTCCAATGGTGTTCATTATGCCTCCATAGTAGGACAGCAGCGCGTCACGGCAGCCCCGCTTCCACACGTTGAGCTCCTCGGTGTAGTGATCGTAGCTATAGTGGGCGGAGTTGTTGGTCATCTGTTGCTGGATGCAGGGTCTGGGGGAACCGGGGTTGCAGCAGCTGAATGGAACTCCGTCCATCAAGTACTGCCCATCCACGTTGCTTCCAATGCGACTAAAAACAAGACAAAAAGTCCATTTAAAGCAGGAAAGTTGCCATCATTTGACATCAATGTGCTCCAAAATCTCCACATTTGCAAAAATACATTGGAATTTTCTTTTCTCTAGAAAAAATTGGCTTGATTTTATTATTGTCTCGTAGTCATGAACTTTTGCATGGAACACACTCCAAACCAGATCTGTACCTCAGCAAAGGGGAAGCAGCATTTCTAATGTCATGTTGCAGAATTGGAGTATTTAGAGGACTGTTTTTACCAAAGCCTCATTCTGAATTAAAATGTCTATAGTTTTTTATTGTGTTTACCATTTGTATAGTTGAAAAAGCATGTGCCGGATCACTAAAAGCCACGAACAGTTTGTAATAATGTAAAATGCTTCATGATGTCTCTGGTGGACTCTTGGAAAGACAAAGTACAAAATACAAAGTAATCACCTGACAGAGTACATGTGGGTCAGTGAACAATCTCAAAAGCTGATCTCCGCTTTGACTGATGGTTAGGTCAATGCAAGACAGGTGGGATTGGATCAGAACACATCAATGACCTCCAGAAACCTTACCACCAAATCAAGAAAAAAAAGCAATAAAAGTATGTTGGTTTTAATTAAAAGGGGAAAAAACATTAAATTAATTTTTCAGTGTGAATTTGTAATGTAACAGAAGCCAATGATGTCATCACGGCAGCTTTCATTTGCTCAAAGAGTCACAATTTCCTAACTTCCAACCACAAGGTCAATAAAGATCAGTTTTGTGATCATTTCTTCTTGTTGATGATGAGAACGTCTCCAGCCTGACGTTGTTGAGTGTTGCTATTTGTGGACAGCTGTCAGGTCTTGCAGATTGGACAGGACACTGATTCTTAAAGGACACATAATCCTGGAGATTAAACACTAATTATGTCCCAGCTTTCAAAATGTTGTTTGGACAAAGTTTGGTGACTGACACAAAAATACAAATCAAACAACACACTTTAAATCCAGCATCAGCCCTTTTGCCCCAACAACAAATGTGTACTCATTTGTACCATCCCAGCCAGCCGTTGCTATGTTCCTGCTTCTATAGGTAGCTGTCAAACTTTATGTGAAAGTAATTCAGGATGTGAAAAGGTAAATAATGCCTTCACTACAAATCCACTTAGGCTGCACAAACAGCACCTAAGGTGACCCATCTTGCAGAGTGAAGCTTACACACTAAGACTGAAAAAGAGCTAATTTATGCTAACATCACACTTTAAAGATCACCAGATTGCTGCAACGGATTTAGCTTTTTGCAACTCACTCTTTGACTTCCTTAGCACTGAAGTCCAGGTAGCGGTTGCTGACCCACTGAATCTCAAACCAATCCCTGTAGTTATCATTTCCGCAGCAACGAAACTCCATCTGCATCAAGTCCAGGGTCCTCTTCATGTAGCAGCGTCCAGGTGTGTCTGAGTCCTTGTAGTACTTCATGCCGTTCTTCAGCCCCTCAGCCAGGGTGAACTGTAGGGGGATCCTCATCACAAAGCAGAACAGGGCAGTGACAAGCAGCAGGGCGTTGAACACCACACAGAACACCAGGAAGGGCTTCAACACGGTCTTCCACTTTACAAACTTTAAAGGGTCCAGAGAATCGTAGCAGACTTTGCCTCCAAAGGCATTAATACCACAAGCTATGAGGCCCATGATTATTAGTAAGTTGGGCAAGAAGTGGCTCTCGTTGTTGTCCATAAGTTCTGAGCGCTTTCGCAACTCGATCTTGAAGAACAGGCCCAAGCTGAGCAGAAGGATGCCTGCCAGTACAGCAAACCAGTACATAAACCAGACCGTCTGAGCGAGCTTCACTCGCTTTTTCAGATCAAACTTGACCACCATCAAAGCCATCGTTCAACCTGTAATGTGTCGTTGCCTTGGAAGAAAAGGATTAAACGATGGAAGACTGTAGGAGCCCCAGCGTTTCCAGAACGTACTGAAGTTAGAGAAGTATTGTTAAATGTGCCGACCTGCACCTGTTCTGATGTCAGTAAAAACACAGAAGACTCAGCTCAACTTCGAATCCATTCCACAACAAAGGAACACAAAGGCAGAGTTTAAAGAGGACCCCGGAGTGGAACAGGAGTCTTATTTCTTCAAAGCTTTCTCCTCTCCCATTGTGCCAAAGAAAATTAAAGTTCATAAGGTTCCACTTCTCCAAATTTGCCTTTCTTTCCTAACAAACAGGTAAGGCTAATCTCAATGTTCTTCCTCTTGGAGAGGTGGAAGATTGCAGAGGAGCCTCATGATTAAACTCCAAGTTGCCGTACGTCATGCTAAGCCCCTGTAAGCATCCTGATCCAATTAACAGAAATCCCCCCCACACAAGATGAGCCTGATCGTAAGCCGCTGCCAGGGACCATACTTGGTTGGATGAAACGCACTAGGAGCTGAAGGATCACAAAGATCATGCACACGACAGTGGAGCTAAATGTGGAGCGTACCCACTTACAGGCACGGGGTCCACCACACCAACTGGATGTGTTCACAGTAGGCTGACTTAGCCCCATTGACAAAAAGCTATCAGGCAACATGACTGTCACTGCATATTAATTCAGTCCTAACTGGGCCCTTCCATAGAAAATACCAGAAAGAAGTATTGAAATATGTTCATAGGATTCTTGTACAGAGGGTTTACTTCAAACACTCCACTACACTGTGGCCACAGCTGCCCTGGGGCACGCTGACAAAGACTGGCTCCACTGGTCCCTCTGACTTTAGTTTTTCTCACTTTAAACATATTTGGAATCATTTTTTTATTTTTGTGAAGCACCGTATGAATTTTATCTTGAGAGGCGCTTTATAAAATATTGCTTTCTTTCCCTCCTCATCGACTGCTGCCCGTATAATAATTTTTCGACCATAAGTTGTAGTTTTTTTCATTGACTTTAATGTTTATTCATTGATTTTAATACACATATTTCTACTAAAACTCATCTGCCACTTTAAGTTCACCAGTGAAGCTTAAGAAAGTGCTGTGCAAAGATTGGAACTTTTAATTTAAATATGCAGTTTTAATATCAGAAAGTCCGCTCCTCTAGGAGGTGTGATCATTTTCTGGTTCTTGGGCAGGGACTTGCGTAACATTACCGTAATGTTTTGTATACCACTGGAAAGCGTAGAGTCTCAGCTTTCAGAATCCGTTGGAATTACGTTGATTGCGTAAACATTTGAAGCAGTAGTTCAAAGTATGGAACCATATACTTTATTTTTTCCAGCACATATATAATAAAAAGCTGTATACACTTTCACCATTTTGATTCAAGTCAATACACCTGGAGCCTTTTTAATCAGTTATGCAGCTTTAAGCTCCGACACTAAAGATGAAGATGAAAAGACACGGGCAATAAATGTTTCACTTTAAGGAGCTGGGAAGTCGTAAACGCCTTGCAGTTAACATTGAAAAGCTTAAATATTAAAATCTAAGGATCCCAGGTGGTTTTTCTGTCCTCCTCTGGGATGACAGTCCAGTTTGGGGATGGCGTTCCTGCAGCAAGCCAGTTGAAGTCATCCACCTGATTCCAGTTGTTCCTGTCCGGGTCTAGGCCGGACACAGAAAAGTCCTCCTGCATAGTGGGATAAGACCAGGAGAGAGGAGCAAAGCTCACTCCCTTGCAGTCTTCTATAATGGCTCGACTGGTGACGTGCAGGTACACCTGGGTGTCGGTGGTGTTGTGGGTCCGGAGCTGCTGACATGCGACGGCCAGAATACTGTTCCTGCAATTATCTACAAATACTGAAGTAGACACAGGTCCACACAAGATCTCACAGCTGTCGATGTGTTTCAGATGCAAGGTGCTGGGAGAACCGAACAGGCGAACCTTGCAATTGGATAGATGAGTCAGCAGCACATCTTGGTTTAGGATTTCTTCAGCTGTCTTGGTTAGAAACGCGTTGTTCATGTAGGAGAAGCCACACTGCTGTGAAGCTGGAGCTCCATCCGTTTTGGTGATTCCTGAATCTGGCGATCTGCCAACATCTGGAGGTGAATCAGTCGCCTGTTTCGAGACTTTCTCCGCAGCTTTGGTGCGAGACCGAAAGGCGAACTTCTTCTTGGGCAGTGCTTCCTCTCTGGTCTCGGCGAGGGAGGCTTGGAGCTTCTGAAGAGCATCCTGGGCTTGCCTCAGCTCGTACTGCGTTAGAAAACACACGCTGTCGTTGACAAACTTCTGTAGTTGGGCCGTTTTTACCGTCGCATCCTCCAGTTTCTGGGTCGCCGCAGCCCGGTCAGCTCCGGAGCAGGTGGACAACAGCTCCGCGATGCTAGCCCGCTCCGAGTTGAAAGTGCTGGAGAAGTATCCGATCTTCTCCTCGGCGACAGACTGGCTCTGTTTGGCCTCCTTCCTCCGTTCCGTGTCCTCTATCCTCGCCTGGTGCCGCCTTTGAAGTCGGTCCTGTAGTTTAGCAGCACCGTCTTCACCATGAACGGCGTTTTCTGCACTTGCATCAACAACCGCGTCCATGTTGGTAGGATGACGTCTACATGCGGAAGTGTGAACGTCACTTTTACAGACTGTTTTATTGTCACACTGCCCTCTGCTGTTCTGGGGCTGCACTTTACATTTCGAACAAATAAATAAATACCAGGCTGCTAAACTGCAGAAAATCCCAATAAAATACATATTCAGCAATAAATATATTACTTTTGATATTTGAAGTTATTGAATTTTAAGAAGATTCAAACCCCTCAAAATAACATAAAAAACTCAGATGCTTTGCAAAATAAATTTGGTCAAAACCATCAACAAAATCTACAATCTCTATTGATGGGATTTGTTTCGTAGAGAGAGAATTTAAGTTAAATTGTCATAGTTCAAAACAAAACTATCTGTGCTATATTTGAAGATTTAAAGAAAAAAATATTGCTATAGACAAGCAACTTTCAAGTTTATTTACATAGCGCCAAATCTTGACAAGAGTCATCTCAAGGCACTTCACATAGTAAACATTCCAATACAGGTCAGTTCGTTAAGCCAATCAGTAAAGTTTCCTAAATAAGGAACCCAGCAAATTGCATCAAGTCAATCAGGCAGAACCTTGCAAAGTGTTCCTTTTGTTATTACTGCCCTGTTCTATGCCCTATAATGTTTTTATGTGACCTATATGGGGACTGAAGATGTGAATTGTTTTTCCTGTTATAATCCAGTATATTTATGTCTAATGATGTTTGAATGGATATGCACTGCAATTATCAAATAAATGAATGATTTAAAAATAGAACCTGGTTATTGATGCCAATTTTGTAATACAAGCACACACCTGGTGAGATAGGTCTAATGTTTTGTTTTTATCTAAAATTGTTAAAATGTAAATAAAAAGGAAAATAAGACAAAATGTCTAAATTACATGCTTCCACATAGACAGTTTATTTTCATTCCAACTTTTTAATCCTACGTTTTTAAATATATTTATTTGTTAAATTTTATCATTTTTGTTGTGTTTGTGAACCTCTTTTTTATCCCAATAGGTGCTATGTAAAAGAACCTTTCTTCATTTTTAAATTTACAATTACTGTTTTAATGATATTCACAGTTTTATTTAGCTTTAAAAAAATTACAAGTAGCTTATTTTTTTAACCAATATATACTTTAGCTGACTGAGCTTGAAACAATAATTTTCAAACATCTAAAACAGTAAAAAATCACTTTAGTTTTTTTGTTTTGTTTGTTTTTAAATGACAGCACGCCATCATGTAGTATGAGCTGAATCTAAACCCATTCTAAACAAACTTGTTTGAAACTTCTGGTCACGATCAGAACCTGCAATGAAGGCTCTTCATACCTGAGCAACGTCAAGGTGTGGTAAACACAGGCCCGCCCTCTACTGTTGGTAATGATTAAATCTAATAACGATTGCGTTCTGTACTAATATAAGGAACAGGAAATTGGCTTGTCAATAATACACATAAACACATATAAAAATGTTTCAGCGCCTTGCCTTAATTCACATATTTCCCAATCAAATAAGTGCAATCGCGCGCTGCAGTTGAGCACCAGTGATTTTGGTGCCCCCCCCTCCCCCCAACAACCCGTGCGGTGATGGCGAGGAAACCCCGTAGACAAGACACTGCTTTTTCATGACGGTGAGTTCCCCTTTGAGTGTATTATAATTTTGTGATAAAAATTTCAAGGAAAAAACACACACAGCTCCTTCCTCCCTTCCTTCAGGGAGGGAAGAGAGTTTGAGCGGAGAGGAAAATCTATCTGAGACAGAACAGGGACAGTGAGAAAAATATGAGTGGGAGAGGGAGAAGGAGGAGGAGGAGAAGGAGGGGGGGGAGCAAATTAAAAGTTGCCAAATGGAGATATTGGGTTTCAAGAGGAGTGAGACAGGAGTAAAGGGTTTGCCTCTTTGAGTCGTCTTTATGTTATGCTAATCGGAATAAATATTTATGGCTTGACGCGGTTTAGTCTTTAGCCTTTTCAACGCATTCCAGCCGACCGGGGGAAAACGGGCGTTGTCGCCTCTGCGGCTAGCTAATCGAACAGCGGAACAGGCCGGGGTTTGGGGCTAAAATGTGGCGTCCCGTCCCCGAAGGCGACCCGACCAGGACACACGGCGATGCTCTAACGCCCGAATCCAAACCTCTCGGTTCGGGATGGCGATTCAGATGTGACGTTTTTCGTGTTGGCAGATGAGCCTCGTCGAGGACAAATGAAAGCTTCCCCCAGCAGAAAAGGAGAGTACGTCAGCGAGGACGGGCGTTTTGTCCTGCTTGAATGCGATTGTCATTATGTCGATTCAGGCTATTTTTGGAAATTAAACTCCCAAACTACAGCAGCCGAGCCTCGAGACCGGTCGTGGTGCTTCGAAAGGACGTGGAGCCTACCTCGGTGCCCGCATGCTAGGACAGATTTCGGCAGCGGCTTTCCGCTCAGAATAGCTTTCGAAACTGCGTTTTTATTAAACGAGGGTTAACAAGGGAGTAAAACCTAAACATGAAGGTCTTAAAGTCGATGTCCGTGGTTATTTTATGTCTCCAGACATGGATACGACCCGGATTTAATTTTATGCTAACACATTGGAGTTGAATATATATTTATCCATCTGGTTTGGCTTCTAATGCTTCTTTTATTACACTAATAGGTCTAGTGGCATCTTAAAGTACACATTTAGTAGGTTACGCTATTTTTCCCCCCACTGAAATAAATTACCATCATTCATTCTGGGTTGTTTTCCGATTTTCTTTGCGTCAAGTCAACAGTTCTTTCATTTAGACTATTCGAAGACCTGTGATGCCGTTTATTTCCGCAGGAAAGGAGCTAAAGTCGTCTGCAAACGCGTTTGAAAAGATGTATGGAGTTTAACTGGCCAGTCGGTCTTTGTTCCCTTGGATTCAAAGATGGAGGCTGGACGTGGTGCAGCTAAAGACAGCCCAGCAGCCATTTTGTGCCTCTGCAGTTTTAACTCAACAACTCAAGACCTTATTTCATTCACACACGACTAAAGTCCTTATCCCCAAAGACCACTGTCAAGTTATAAAAACCGTGGGACTTTGTAATTTTGAGCATTTTAATAAAACGTTTCCCATTGATCTTAAATCATTATTATTCAGAATACAATAAACCCAATATGTTTAGTAGTAGCCTGGCAAGTCAGACTAAATTAATATATTATTAGCAAAACAAGAATTTGGTCTAGTTTACTAGGCTGCTTTGGCAGCATTTGAACACACCACTGCAGGACCACACTGCATAAAGTCATGCAATGTAACTATATGAAGCTTAAATGGCCATTGGAAGTCAAAATATGGTGCAGGGTGGAGTTATTTACACTCAAATGCCCATTTCTACTCTGCAGACATGACAGCCAGTGTAGGAGAGCAGAGTAATGGGAGGGAGTTTGTTGGTAGGAGGGGTGGAGGCCATCCTGTCCTTTACTTGTTGACTGAATAACACGTTTTCTTTTCCACACCCATGTTTCACACACTCACCTATCAGTCTTGTATTCCCCACCTCTACATGATCAAAAATGATCTTGTAAATTTACTAAATGCAGTTTTTCACCCTCCAGCTCAGCCTGTTTCAGGGGAAAAGGGAGGTAAATGACTGAATCCATGCTTCCTGGTGGACATCTGTGAGTTAGCATTTGTTTCTATGAAAACATAAAAACAATTCCAGTGAATGAGCTTATGAACGTGTACCTAAGCATAAACATTAAACTTCTCCCACATCTTCACATGCTGTCTCCGGACTGTTTCAGGTGTCATGGATGATGACTATGATCGCCGTCTTCTGGATATTTTAGGGTAAAATGCTAATTCAATATCTAGAATCTACATGATCAAAGTTTGCACTAAGCATGTTACAGCCTGATCACACATTTTCATTTTTCTTCAATAGTTAAGCAGCGTTTTTTTTTTTTAAGAAAGTCTTTGCCTCTTCAACAGGACAAATTATGCATTTTAGTGCTACACAGTAAACAAACTACACCTAGTATTCTTGGCTGGTAAACATCTTCCCTTTATTCCTCTCAGAGATGCAGATGCATTGAACGATTATCTCCACGGCAGCAACAGCAAGTCTGTGAGTCCCTGCTGCTGATTGGTGTTGAATGTCCTTGTTAGATATTCAAGTTTATGACTGTTTTTGTTTTCTTTTTCAAACAAGATTGAGGAAGATGATGTGACAAATGCAGCTTATGGGTCAGATGGATCTTTCTTTGCCAGTAACACAGTGAGTACACTCATAATAGTTTTGATCAAATCTAAACAGACATTTATCAAGAGTCATTTACATTTTAGCTATAAACGTTAAAGGTGTGGATCACTCCTTTATTCAATACATTTGCAGTGTTCTCTAGTACAAATTAATGCCTTGTAAGTTATACTCTGGGGAAACAAAGCTCCGGTGCTGCATTTTCAGGAACTAGAAGTGAGCCGCATCGGAGTTGAGCTTCAGACGGCAGTATTTCCTGATATTTGAACAGCTCACCTGTGATTGGATAACAGCAATGTGACTCTACCACTGACTCAGTTTGCTCTGCAACGTTGATGTTGTATCTCCACAAATAACTCAAGCCTGAAAGACTTCTTCAGTGAGGTGGGGTTGCTAATGCTAATGGTTAGCTTCTACTAGCTGAGACGTTCTCTGCTATTTCCTGGACGCTAAACCAACGACAGCCTTCCTCGTCATGAGTTAAAATGGGTGAGTCCACGAAAGTTAGGTGACAGTGTGACGTAGATCTGTCAGGCTTTTCAAATTTGAGCCTTTCATCATCTATTTTCTATCAGAAACTAATGCAGGAGATGGGTGTAGGAGACTATTTTCATGTTCAGCCTGCTTAAATGGACATTATGGAAGTTTGACAGCCAAAACACGTATAGAAATAATAAATGTCTTCTTCATACATTCTCCTGCAATGCCCTGGTCCTGTAGAATGAGCCCTGGCATTTTTACTGTGATTGCCTGTTTTTCTGTAAAATCACAGAAAAAGAGAGATGCTCGGGTCAAACAGGCTGCTTCATGCGCGTTCACGCTCAGGCATAGCCCGTAGCATTTGCTATCAGTATTAGCAGCAGGGTGAAGTAGTGCCAACTCAGCAACTTTGTCACTGTTCCTAACGCCTAGTGATGAACCTAGCTACATTTCTGATAGGGATGCACCGATGGATCGGCATTTGATCCCAATCGGCCGATAGCGCCCCTATCGGTTTTGATCGGAGTTTTCAAAATAGATCAAAGCAGACCGATCAGCCGTAGAGTTGTCACGGTAACCGGTGTAGCGGTAAACCCCGGTAAAAAAAGTTGACAATAATAATAACCGTCTTGTTTAAAAAAACAAAGCTATATTATCTCGGTGGGGTTACCGTGGCTGCGGTGTAGGCGTGGTGACCCTTACCAGCCACCCTTATCATCTGCTGAAGTTGCCGGCGGCACATGCGTGCTTTGTTTACAACCAAAACTTTCTTGAAGCTAAAGCTGAAATAATGGCCAAAGGAGGAGACGGCAGCGCTCAGGAGGACATTTTTTATCCCTCAAAGAAGACAAAGTCGGAATTACGGGCATCTTTTGGATATTTGAAGAATGCCTAGGGACAGTTTCGGCTATCCTGTTTGCAGCATGTGCAGGAAAAGTGTCTGTGAAAGGCAGCAACGCTTCAAATCTCATGACACATCTGCGTGACCATCACCCACAACTCTACAGTCAACGCAAGGCAAGCTAACGTTAGCGTTTTAGCTAAAATGCTTGATCCGAGGATTTTGGTTCAGGGAGAATGCAACGAGTCGCTATATAAAGCAGCCGCAGCGCCGCTACCTGCATATAAACCGTGTCGCGGACACCCCCATATTGAAATGATGCTATGCATTACGGGGCTCCCAGGGGCAGATAAGAGTTGGTCTCTCTCCGAGAAAAATTATGAGTTTAACAATGATTACTGCCTGATGACATTTTCCCACATCTGCAAAGCTCACTGGAAGGACACAAACCGAGGACAATATTTTCCTGATATAGGGTTTATTACTCAAGTAAGGGTAAAAAGTATCTGATTAGAAGGCTACTTGAGTACTGAGTATCATCTGAACTAATATTTTTAAAATGATGACATCAAACAGACATAAAATACGAAGTTATGGGCAAATATTGGTATTTTAAAGGCTAAAGGGAAAAAATGTAAACAAACAACATAATTACAAAATAACACATTTTAGGCAAAATTTAGACACAAACTGAGGACAATATTTCTTGACATACTGGGTTTATTTAATTGTGTGAAAATGTAGCACGTTTAAAAAAAAAATACCGAAAACCATGGTAATTTTGGTCACAATAACCGTGAGGTTACATTTTCACACCGTGACAACCCAATACAGACCATTTTAGATTAGGTTACATTTCCTTTATTCCCAGGTTATGGAGTTTGTAGCACTCTTTATAATGTTGTAGAAAATTTCTGGCCAATCCACGTGATCGGTATTGGTGATCGGTATCGGTGATCAGCATTCTTTGATATCGGTATCGGTGATCGGCAGCAAAAAACCTGATCGGTGCATCCCTAATTTCTGAGGACCCTTAGCTACTTTCTTTTAGATATTTCCTGCAAATTAGCAACAAAATAGCCATTTTTGCTCCAATCCGTTCTTTGGTTTGACATTGTTTCTGGTGTCATCAAGGATATAAAAGTTACAGATACTTTGAATGTTACTAGAGTGTAGCTCACCTTGTAAGATGTCTGGCTCCCATGCAGAAGACCTGAGTTTGATTCTGGATGTGAACATAGTTTAGAGATAATCACACCTGTGAGAGGATTGTGAAACAAAACCCCTTCAAAAATGTGGGAGAGATTCACAAGGAGTGGACTGCAGCTGCAGTCAGTGCTTCAAGAACCTCCATGCACAGATGTATGAATTTGTTATTTTTAGCATGGGAGTAAATGGGGAACTTGCTTCCTTCTGGATCACACCCCTGGTGGATGAGGGGGGAACTGCACTTTTTGTCACTTATGCATTAGATTCAATTTTGGCAGGCAAGAGCTTGCCTCTTGGTGTAAACACAGGTTGCACATGTGACATCAGAGCGTTTTTGTTGTGGGCAGTGATGTAGTGAAAACTAAAAACCCCTCCTCTTTTTTTTTTTACATCCACAAGCAAAAGCTGACAACTGAGAATTTACAAATCTCTACTTGGGTTGAAGTCTTTGGTGGCGTTTGACGAACCAAATCATAAAAACAAAAACTTTGTCTTGTGGGATACCCGGCAACATGTGTACATGGTCTAAACGTTAAGTTTTGTTTGTAAAAATATAAAAATTCTAAATATTTTTTCTTGTAAAATAAGATTTTTTTCAGGTAGACATTGAATAGAATAAGTTTAGCATAAGTCATGTCTAATTACTGTTAACATCAGAAATAATTTAGCTGAATTCTTGTATAGATCCAGTGTAAAGAAAGATTACCAATAACTTGTTCATAGAAATGTGTGCGTTTTGCACAGTTGGAGCTTTAGGATAAAAACGAATTTCTCCTCAAAACAATCTATGATGTAATCTGGCTCTGGTACCTTCATGTGGAATGACTTAAATCATTTTTTTCTTTTGATATGAGTAAAAAAAAACAGTACACAAGCACAATTATAGTTATTTTTTTATTATGTGCTTCAGGTTAGCTCCAGTGCTGGTCTCAAGGATGGCTCTTCTTCCATGGGAGAATTTGGAGAGGACTCATCTGGGGCAGGCCTCCAGCTCTCCAGCAGCCTCTCCTTTATTGAGGACGAGCTGGGGGCTGGTAGCTCCCCTGAAGGGGTGGATCTTGGCGGAGAAGACCAGCATTTTGACATCCTCCAGAAGTCCCTCATGGAGGCTGACATCACTGAGCAGACGCTGGCCCAGGAGGCCTTGTTGGACTCCCAGCCTGCTCCCACTCTTGTTCAGGCTCCAGTTCCCTTTTCCTCACAGCTGGTCTCGGGGAGTTACGGAGGTGGGGTTGGCGTGGTAACCACAACGTCTGCTGCCATCCCAGCCGGCCAGTTACTGCAAGGAATGCCCCCACTGCCCAATGGCTCGACCCAGCACATCCAGGTGTTGGGGTCCTTTGGGACAGGCGGTGGTGTGATGACTCTGAGCAGCTTGGAAAGGACTCCCCAGATTGTCTTGAGGCCAGGGTTGCCTGTGGCTTCAGCAGGAGCCACGACAGGAGGGCAGGTGTTTGCCTCAAACCAAGGGCAGGTGGGCCAGGTCGGCTTACCTTTTAAAAACATCCCCCTTCAAAACATCATCATCCAAAGAGGCCCAGGAGGGACCCAGGCTATCGTCAGACCCATCCAGCCTAAACCCCCTCTTGCTGGATCCCAGACGGTCTACAACCTTGGTGTCCAGCCGTCTCCCACCTCCATGGCTAATGTGAACGCTAACACCACTGCTCCTGTAGGACAGTACACAGCTAATGGGACCATTGTGGTGCAACCGCCACTGGAGCAGCAACAAGTTCCAGCCCAGACAAACTTACCCACGGGACAGTTCCTACTCCCCAACTCGTTGACGCTCACTCCCTCCACCGCCATCCACAATGGCACCACGAACCCCTGCTCAAGTGCTTTAATCACCAATCAAAACACCATGCAGATCGCTGCGCCCGCCGGTCAGCTGATTCTGAATCAGGGCATGGCGAGTGGGGGTCAGGTTGTAGGAGATGTAACTCCGACATGGACAGGAGTCTCTTGTGCAAGCACCACCCCTGTACAAACCTGCACCCCTGGGAGGTTGACTCTGGTTGGCCCGGCAACGGCTGGGATTGGAGGTCACCAAGCATCCGGTTGTCACGTTCAGCGCCTTCTAGTGACTCAAACACAGAACTGCACTTCTCTGTCTCCTTTACCTGGCAACGTGACACAGGAGCAAGGAGATTTCAGACAGGTATGAACAGAAATGATGGATTTTTATCTTGTATTTTCCCTGTGAACGGCTGTGTGACCAACACGATCATGTTTATCAGATTTCTACATCACCTGCCTTTAAGCAGGGACAACTTGGCAGCATTCATGGTAACTAAAACATCATACTTCGTTATAAATCTGACTTATTGCAATTTTCTGTTCTTTAACCTTATTATTTGTTCATGTTTCAGTCACGAAAACCCTAACACAAGATTCAGCACCAACCTCTGAGGTATGTTGGGTTTTATTTAAAACGTTTTTAAACGTAAAGGTGGAATACGGAAACAAAAAGGAAACCAGTTGGATTATGACAGTTTTTTTGTTTTCTCCGTACATGTCACTGCTCAGAGGCCCGTCGCTTCACCTCTCACAAGAGGCGATCTGTAAGTTTCATGACCTATTGAGATGCTTCTCATATCGTGGTTTAATTGAGTTGAATTTGATGATTATCTACCATCTTATTCCTTGAATTGAACAGGATTTTGCAGCAGCTGAGGAAGGATCACACAGGAGTTCAAACCCCAGACCGAAGGAAGTTTGCGTCAGTTGATGATGCACTGCAGAGACTTCTCTCTTATCACTTGTTCCAAGGGGCTCCACCAAACCAGGACGAGTTCTCCCAAGGTACCGCTTTGAAGATATTACCTTCCCTTCAGAGGTCGCTCATTTTACATCTTTGGTGGAGAAAAATAAAATGATCTTTTATCTGAATACTGTCTCATGTTTGATAACTCCAGTGGATGAGGAGTTTGAGGTGGTTGCAACCCAAGTGCTGAACAAGACCCAGGCCATGGTGGACAAATACAGACGACTACTGATGGTAGATGCCGAAGTAAGCACACACACACACACACACACACACACACACACACACACACACACACACACACACACACACACACACACACACACACACACACAGATTAGGAGTCAGAACCAGGAGGATCTGGTTGACAAAATGTTACGAATGATCTACGACTGATGAGTCGACTCCGTTCAAAATGGCTACATCAATCTGACCTCAGGAAACACAAAGATGGCTAGAAGTCCAGCGATACATATGTCAAGTTATTTTTTTTCTGTCGTGTCTCTGCCGGTCCGCTCTGTTGCTAAGCTGGATGTTGTCTGCCATGCCGTAATGTTTATAGTTAACTCTGCAACAGTAGGAGTAACCATGACTCTTCTTGTCAGATTAAATCTGCTGTGACTTAGTCCGACACTCAGATTTACCATTCTTTCTGCCTCAGTGGTTAAACAGAACAGGTTCAAATAAAAATGACTTAACTTTTTTAAGTTAACATGGTGGTAGCTGGGAGTGATTTAGAACAGAAACAGAAGTGTCACCTGCTCACTCAAGATTTTGGAAAACAGTGACGACTCCATTTCTGAAGGCGGTCTTAGATTCAAACTCTTCCATGAAGGGTGAGATGGAATCTACATTTTTCCCCAGACCTCGGGGTCTTAAAAGGGCCAGATCACACTATTTTAAAATTTTAACGCAAAGGTACGCACCGTATATTAAAATATTACTGTTGGCATTACTGAGATGTCATTTATCTTAAAGATGAGTTATTTTTATCAGTATGAATTTATACCCGCAACTGAAATGGTTTGTTTTTGCAAAGCTCCGCCCACACCCGCTTCGACAAAACACGCCTACAACAGCTGCTGTTGTATTGTCCTTGGTAGTCCAGCGGTTTAAGAGAGGATAAATGCCTCGTAACACAAGTGGGCGACTTTCTTCTGGATGCAGAAAAATGTTTACGTTGACCAAATGCTGCATGAATGCAGCCAAAATCGGGTTTGGGGGTATTTCTCTTGAGGAAATGGCATAACATGGTAAAAAGCTCCAAAACATGGATTTTCCATGATACGGCCCCTTTAATAATTTTGCACATATTAATTCTGCACCCTTATGTGCCAAATGGTGTAATGCATAGAGCTGACCGGTGCTCATTTCCCTGCAGCGATCCAGTCCTTCATCAGAAATGGTGATGATTGACAGGACCTTTAACCAGGAGGAGCGCGGCTGCCTGACCCAAGACAAACGCATGGTTCTTGTGGATCCAGGTAAATGCAAAGAAACCTGAAGATTACTACAAAGCAGTTTTGTTTCATCTTTAACTCCCTCCATCCCATGTCGGGTTTCAGACAGCTTCCTGGAGGACTTCTGTTGTGGGCCAAAATCCAGACGTTTTCACGAACCTGTTCCCTCGGAACCAGTGAACACGGATAGTTGGGATGAGTTGGATCAAGGCTCTGTAGAGCCGGCGTACAGAACAGACTCCCAGCTCGGCTGTGGAGACCCGGGAGGGGGTGTGGATGTGGGAGAAAGACTCCACTCATCACATTCAGAGAACAAGACTGTTTCAGAACTAAAGAGAACTCAGCCGCTCTCCTGGTCCAGCGGCGCCGGCAACAACAGTTTCACTGCTAAAGGTTACTCGCAAGGTAAACCTGCGCATTTTGCTGCAGCTCCAGCAGGACAGGCCCACTATCAGACGTCTCATCACCTATCCTGCTCTCCAACGCAGCCTCAGCACTCCCCCGGGCTCACCTCCCCCCCTCCCCCAGACACAGACTCTGCTTTAGAGGCAGCAGTCAACAGCATCCTGGAATGTTAACACCGATGCGTCATGTTGTTCTGTAGGTACATTTCTCTCTGTGTGTCTAACTTCTGTGTGAAGAGAGGTGCACTTTTCCAGACTGATCCATGTGATAACACAGCCATGTAGCATTTTTGAGTTTCATTGGAGGGTTGTTGAGACATACAGGCACTTACCTATGAAGACCCGGGAATGTGTGCAATGCAGAGGATTAACAGATGCAATTAAACAAACAACAACCTTGTTATTCTAATGTAGCGATGCAGAGCCTTGTTCCTCTCTTCACACACGTCCAGCAGTTTGTGCCATTTCCCCACTACAGGGATGAGAAGGAGTCTGTGCCTGATTTTAAGTTTTTATATGAAAGTGTTTACATGAAGAAGCTCTACTCAGATATTTACTCCCTTGTTTCTCTTTTGCATTACAAATCCAACAGTGAACAAACGTGTTTAGTGGCAATTTTATGTTGTACAGATCTGGAGCAGAACCATTTTCAGCTGCCTGTAACAAAAACAATAACCCCCTAGCCATCCTAGAAAAACTCACCACACTAGTTACTGTTCTCAGCAGCTTCGTTACTTTCTTGTGCTTACGTCACATTTTGCTGAATTTTCTTTTGTACCTTAAAGGTACGCGAGTCCCGGCACAGACGCAGTACAAACCTTCACCCGTCTGTTTCGTTTCACATCGAGTTTGTGTACGTGGAGTTATGTCCTCAGATTGAGGAAGAGAAGTTGAGTTTATCTTTTTATTGAGATTTTCATTTCCTCATTTTTAGAAATGATATAAGGAAGATTGTGTTTTGTTGTTGTGATGTTACCCAGCTTTGTGAGCAGGACACTTGGACAGTTTTAACGACCCCAGAGGGTCACACATCGTCTGCCTTCTAGATACAATCATACATTGATCATATCTGCTTCTGTTTTAACAATTTCACACATCTAGAGTGTTTGTGCGTTCATTTGCAGCCATGTACACTAGTGTATGGCTGTTGTCGTGTAGATTGCCACACTTTTCACGTCATTCCTTCATTTTTCTCTTTTTACTTTACAATAAAATTTCTCACATTTGCTCAGTTTTCTCTCAGCAACACGACCGATTATGCCCAAAGGATGGGTTTGTGCTGAATCCCTTTTCAGTTTCCTTTTCTTACTATAAAGAAAAGTCTGACTGAGATGACACGATGCTCTTATTGGGATCATTTCAGAGCTGCAACTTTAGGTGATTGTGAGAACAAATGACTGAAATCTGCACTGTGGTGAAAACAAGACGCTGTTCTTGTGAACCAAACACAAAACCAAAGGTTCAATTTAATGTGATAAATGCTTTTAGAGTTGATTCTGGGTAGTGCGTCTTCATCAGTCACCCAAGAACAACTTTCAAGATCTTCAAAAATGTTTATAAGGAGCGATGGAGATGGTTTTAGTAGCATTTCTATTAATCCATGTAAACATCTAGCAGCTCGTAATCGCTGAGCAAACTGGGCTTTTTAAAGAACGCGAGGTTTAGCATTAGCTCCTATAAGTGACTGCTGCAAAATGTGCCTGTGGTGCTCTTTTCATCCACATAAAGCAGGAAATCCTGGTAAAACGTTGTTTTGAGGATGCATCTCACGCTCTCCAGTGGGAACATGCTGTGCTTTCTCGCCCTCATATTCAGTGCAGTTAACTGTGTTCTTCCATTTTCACCATTGGTCTGTCTCTTGATTTGTATAGTTGTTTTGTATAAAAAATGAAAAGTTGAAATATTTATAATTTTGTATGAAGAAAACGAATTGTTTCAAGGAAAAAGAAATTATTTTTATTGTGTTGGCTGAGTGGTGATGTCAGAATAAATGGTTACAAAAATGCTCTTATTTCATTCTTTGTGGCTTATGTGTTCACTACAGCAGCGAGAAGTCAACAATAAATTCATTTTGAATACAACAACAAAACTGGACCCTCTTCAGTGTGCCTTCATTATTATTCTGAGTGTTCACACACTGGCACCGATGGACTCAGCATACATAATCACACCATGTGACAGTGCAAGCCTTTGCTAAAGAAAACAAACCTATACAACCATCAAAGTTTCTAGATATTTATCTTTAACGTAGCTGATGAAGTCATTTTCTACTGAGCTAAACTGTGTTTGTCACATTTAATCCTCTCGTGGGCTCAAGAACCAATGCACCTGCACAAAAGAGCAAAAAGCCTGAACGGAAAACATCCAATCTCCCTGAACGGGTCTGCTTTTAGCAGCACAACTCAACAGTGACACCTAGTGGTGGTTGAATAAAGTTACCGGTTGTCCTATGAACATAGAAACCAGGTTAACATCTTGCTTCTACCTTAAATATTAATATTGACAATAAAGAAAAGCATGGAAAAAATAATTTTAAATAAATGCAACAATTTAAATACCATAAACAGATGAGTATGAGCTAGTGCCAGTCTTTGATTATCTTTGGACATTAAAAATACTGTATACCTCACTTTCATCTGGTCAGTGAGAACAGAAACTTAAATATTATGATTTATCTGCTCTAAATTCAGCTTGTTAAACTTGGATTTAAAAAAAATTCCACCAGTAGCGTCATCTTCACGAAGAAAATTAGCATTTTAGTTATTCAGTTCAGCAATCAAATTTAAATTCAGTGCACATTTACGGTTGGGATGAACTCAAATGTGAATAAAATACTTCCTCATCACCGCAGCTGTTCCTCAGTCACGCTTGTTCAAACACGATTCATCCTTAATGATACTTCCTCCAATGACTCAACTCTGGAAATTAAACAAACAGGAAAATCACCACACGTAATGTCTAATCTATTTAGTCGAGTGCTGTTCACACTCACTTATATGAGGGTAGCTCCAGATGTAGCTGAGCACACAGTATCCTGCCAGAAACATACCCAGTCCAGCTTCACCGCCTTTCTTTACATCAACGTACCTTCTGTAGTACCGGAGCCAGCCTGAAGGGAGGAGAGAGGCTGTGGGTTCCACTCTTAACAAGCTCAATTATGGGGAGCCTAAAGCCTAGTTTATGCTTCACAAGGGAGAGATGCACACGCACTGACTGAGACGTTTTACTCCCGGATTTCTCCGTCACCCGGGGATAAATGCAAAGCAATTCCCCGCCAGGACAACAGAGGGCGTAGCGCTGTTTTGGGATATCCTGTCATGTATTCGGTCCAAGATAGTGCATTTACTATTGTGTTTTTCAGAGACTTTTTAACACGAACAATTATGTTCCTCATTCGCCTCCATGTCTTCATGCGCTACTAGCCACCTCTGAACCCATGTTTCTCGTCATTTCCATCCACGAATAAAACGCTTGCTGCGTATCTTTGTACTCCTCCAGGCGGGTGAATAAAACGTTCATGTTTTTAGAGTTTTTCTGAAAGGTATTGTTCGAGCTGCTCCATATCTGCTGCAAGATATCTTTGGCTCTCTTATCGTTTTTGAAGGCGCAATGGCGATGCTGTTGACAAAAGCGGCGTCCGGACCAATCACAAGCTTGTGTTCCCCGTCTCATTCGACGGATGTTTAGAAAACTGGGCTCGACTCCGTATGGCGGGGCTATTCAATTCCGGGCCTTGAGGGCCGGTATCCAGCATGTTTTAGTTTTAACCCTGCTTCAACAAACCTGATTTCAATCAGCAGGTGATTAACAGGCTTCTGCAGAGCCTGATGAGCTGCTGCACAGGTGATTAAACCACTGAATCAAGTGTGTTGGACCAGAGAAACCACTAAAACGTGCTAGATACCGGCCGTCGAGGCCCGGAGTTGAATAGCCCTGCCGTATGGCATTAATAATGGCGTTGCGTGTCTTCGCACCGAAGCAGAAGCATGAACTAGACTTAAGTAACACCCATCTACTTTCAGACCATGGGTCCCCAAAGAACGAAAAAATGAATGCAAGCCCAAAAACTATATTTTCTGGAGGGGGCGTGGCTTGCTGCAGCTCAGATGAACGTGCCAAAAGCAGAGGTGCAGCAGGAGAGGCTGGTTTTAGCTGATGTTTCGGGATTAAAGCTGGCTGTTTACACTTATTGTGGAACAACTGCAGCTCTGTATTCTGCTCATTGCTTCAGATCAGTTCATCTGACAGAAATGTTGGTGGTGCCACGTGTTTAACACCATCTTTTTGGTTCTTCACATCAATTTGGACTGGATCAAGTCTGAACTTGCTGCTCATATCATCAGATGCTGGGATGCGACCCAGGATGCTCAGCCTGCTGGAGCGATGGTGGGTGCTGGTTCTGCCTAACAGAGCTTTAACATCTTGAAGGGTAACCTTCACCTGGTGACCACTTTGACTTTACCAACCTATGGACAGAACTGTCTTCTGTCTCACCCTCACAATCCAACCAGAAGTTGTCTTCTTCTGGGGGTCTTGTTTTTGACCTCACATCAGAGACCAGAAAGTCAGAAGTGTGTTTGGTTGTGGATAAAACACTCTTGATCTTTGGTCCCGTCTTTTTGGAGTCAACCTTAGATCCAACGTCTGCAGAAAGAAAGGCAAGACTGGGGTCTTTGTCTAGACTGGTTTTGGTCTACGTCTGCTTGCTGGGCCTATAGCTTTGATTTGAACTTGCTGAGGCAGATCTGGTTTCCTTCGTTGATTTTTTTATAACAGGATTAGATTTTGCAGCTTCTTTCACATCACAGAGACTCTTCTTTTGAGGCAGTGCAGGGAGGTGAGGGAGTAGAAGTGGTCTTTATCTGATCAGACACCTTCTGTATCTTTTTAGATGGTGATGCTCATGGAAGGTGATGCTAGCAGTAAAGAAGATAACTTCTTTCCTGCTGTTGGTGACACTTTGGCTGTGTCTCAATTCAGGGTCTGCATCCTACGTCGGCCGGTTACGTCACAGCGCCGCGACTAGGCCTGTCCCAATTCGAAGACTCCTTCAAATGCGGTCGACGAATGCGGCCTTCTTTTCGCCTAAATGAAGGATGGGTCCGGTGTATCCTTCAACAGGTAGCATTTCCCAAGATGCCTTGCGGGCCGGCCGGCAGAAAAACTTAAAAACAATGGCGGACAGTGAAGCGGGAGCTGTCGGAGAGGATTGCGCATATAAATGTCAGTATAAACTTGAAAACTGTTAGGTTAAGGACATTTTTGTGATACATGAACGTTATTTTAGTTAGAAATGTTACAGTAAAAGTGCTTGTATTGCGGTCTCGGCTCGTATGTTCGGCCGCGCTCGGTGTCGTACTTCTCCCGCTACGTTTTCCCCCTGATTTTAATAGAAGTTTGTATTTTAGGAACAAAAGAGAAAACCAGGGAATTTATTAAGCTTAGGGCGGAGATGGACCACATGATCACCGGAGCAAAGTATTCGGCGGCTGTGGCATGGAGGTACAATAACATCTCATATTTTAAATAACTCGTTTGAGTTTATTTTTTTCTGCGAAAACATGAAAGGAATAACCCGTTGTCCTCTTTTCTCTATATTTTCTCTATCTGTTTTTTCTTACATGTTTGTAATGGGCATCCAGGGGAAGGTGCCAGCGATGACCAGCTTCTGGAGCTGATCAGGGAGGACATGAGGCTGCAGAGGGCACAGGAGAGAAGGAAGAACTTTGACAGCTTTTTACTTTGCTAGAAAAAAATGGTTAAGGAAGATTAAACATGTACATATAAAAGAAATATCTAAATAAAATCAGTTCTGCATTAAACTCTTGAATTTTATTTTTGTTTACAAATGAGAATTGTTTACTAGAGGGTATCCGCTGGGTCTTGAAAAGTCTTAAAAGGTGATAAATTGGTTTTGGTCAAATCAAGACCCTTAGAAAGTATTAAAAACTATTATCACATCTTTGCTCTGGCTCAGCTTGTCTAAAGTATTTTCTCTGAATTAGCTCTCCAACAGTCAAGGAAATGATTAACCCCCAAAGACCCACGGTTGTAATATTACAACATCAGATTTAAGTCTACAAGAATAAACCTTCCCCATGTTTTTTTCTTTTTAAAACCACATTTGCATTGCTAATAGGTCCTATTGTTCAGTTCTGCAACACTATTGGCTGTTAAAATGTGTAAATAGGCCCGCTTATCTGGCCTCCTAGAACAACATGTGAAAGGTTAAAAAAAGATTTTGCAGTTGTTTTCTAAATCTGGGTTTCTGGGGGTTACAAAGCTAAATAAAACGTCGAGCTCCATCGTTTAAAGTTCCTTCTCCCTTCTGCCCAGCGGTTCCACGGTTGCTAGGCGACGGAACGTTCGCCGAGGGAGTTCATGAAGGCTAGGCCTGTCCAAATTCACAGCCGTTAACATCCGGTCTACCCGGCCGACGGAGGACGCAGCCCACGTCGGCCGGGTGGGCTGGGTCCTTCGAAGGATGCAGACCCTGAATTGAGACACAGCCTTTGTTGTCAGGGAAGACGTCTGTTTGTTCATTTTCCCTTTAGCTGTTGTTTGGACTTGGCCGCAGAAGGATGGGAGGGTAGTGAGGCGGTGACATCTTACAACCTACGTTGTAGAGCTCGCTGCTGCCTTGCAGTGAGGCAGGTGGCTCTTCAGCCTTTTGAACGTTTTCCCACAAAACTGGCACACTTCTGTGAGAAATTTACTTACGGTATGTAAAACGTTTCACTGACACGTAGTTATATCACTCATTTATAAAGATTAGAAAAACACTGCCAACAGTCCAAAAGGGTGCGTTCAAATGCTTCTAAAACAACGCGATAATAAATACGTTGACTCCTTGTTTTTCAGCTCAAGGCAACTGACCTTATCAGTAGTACAACTTCATTTTCTTTTTTACTGAGCTAACTTTGAAACTTAAAATAACTTCGTCCAAATAGTTGCGCAGACGTATAAATACCACGTGACAACAAATCTCAAGTTTAGTGACACTTACCAGTGCTCATTTTATAGGCGTATGGATAACATGCTCATACATTTATGATTGTAAAAGTTCAGCTACTAGCACTCACGATACAAAAGCAACGACACGAATAAACACGACATTCAATTCAGTTTTCAGTTCAAAATCGCTCTGGCAAGTGGAAAGACCCCTTTAGGTAGCACGTGAGGAGCCTGAATGAAAATTTAAAAATTCTACAAAATTACACATATTAAAGGGTTTGGAAATAGATTTCAGATGGCGGTTTATTAAATCGTTCGATTTCTAAGAGATTGATTAGCTTGACTGCAAGCATCCTGCGTAAATAACACTAAAACGGTTCAGGGGATTCACTCCTCCCCTACTTCCATCTTTACGTAATTCCCTAAAACCTACCGTGACACTTTTACGTGTCATGAAAAAAGATGTGATAGTTTGATTTCTGAATAAGCCTCTGATTTCTATCACGGCGAAACGTAACACACTATGCTTTTCAACTCAGTTACCACTAGTTACCACCCCCTGCACATCACCTGAGTCATATCTAATTACGTACCCACTGTAATTCTGGTACCGTTATGAGTAAATCTGTAACTTTCAATTCATAAAACTATTAATAACGTATGTTTCTAAATAGATTTAAAAAGTGCCCTACGAACAGGCAGGAAAGGAAGTAGTTTGTGGTCACTGAGGTGTGAAAATCCCCATCTGGCACAGTCAGTCAACAAAAAAACAAACAAAAAAAAAACATGCATACACAGAATTTGTGGTTTTTGTTTTGTATGAATGCTTGCTTCATTTGTGCAATCATTCTTAGTTTAGTCATCTTTTACACCATTAATAGTAATTTAAGCATGTCTGGCAAGGTCTTTCTAGTCATGTTTTCCATTTAAAAAAAATCTTTATTTTCTGATTTTATTATTCTTCCATTTCTGAGAATCATGTGAGCATGTTTAGTGGAACCTGGTGCACATTTCTTTTAGCTGGAACCATTTTTAATAAATTCTCAAGTCTATTCAAATTTGTATTGGCAGCATCTATAGAACATGCACCATGTTTGCACAAATACAAATGTTTTATTTTGGTTGAATGCTTCCAAAAAAGGCAAACACACAAGGTTGAAAATGCAGTCTGCAAAAAGGTGCGTGGTATAAGAAAAGTGTATTTTATTGATGAGGTTATGGGTTTATAGTGAAATTTGACATGAACATGAATTCTGAAAATGTGATGGAAAATAAAATACACTAAAGAAATTCAACATTAAAAAAATCTTCATTGGGAAAAATGGTGATTTGAAATTATCCAGCAAAAGAAAAACAAATCAAATTTTCTACAACCATTTACATAAAAGAAGTTGAACCTGAATAATATTAACATATTTACAAAGCAGAGACTTGAAGCCATATTGAGAACTTCACTTGTGTGGAAAACAAAAGCAAAAGACAAGCCTGTAGACCATTAAACAGTCCTGGAGAAAAAATGAATGATTTGGCAAAACCCCAAACAACCGATTAACAGTGCCTTGAAAATCAGTCCCCTACAGAGAACAATCACTGACAAAGTTACTCAACTCCAGTAGCTTTTCTCATCACATTTTTTTCTACAAAATTCACAATGTATTTGTGAGAAATCCAAAACAGCACACTCTGGTGTGCAAAAATACATAAAGGAAATGTTTGATGGTTTCTCAGTAATCCTTGGAGTCAAAATTCAGTGCGAAAAAACAATTCTCACATGATTACCACAGCAATATCGAAGACAGTAAATTTAAGAACAAATCCCTGTAGAATTACTGACATCTATGATTAATACAAAAACGAGGGGTATGCCTTATGAAGGTTGTCTAACTAATCAAATGGCTACAAATAAAAAGAAAGGGAATCAGGGCTGTGGATGGCCGGCCGAGTTAACTACTGCTGAATGTAATAACATTACATCTGTATCAACACCGGTTCTGATTCAACCCTGAGGAAACAGTGGACTGACTGCATGTTCACTTAGTGGCACACCTGCATAATGTTACAATCTAGGTATTCGGTTTTACCCTTTCTATCAAAATTGTGAACGACATGTAAGGATAAATTTAAACCTTCTTATTAAAAAGAATTAATATTAACACTAATTCTAAACAGCCATTTAAGGCAGTGATTAGGCCCCAAGACGTTATGTAGAAAGGTTCAGTCGTGTAGTTGTGCCTTCTCCTAGCAGTCATCAACAAACAGTGTTCTGGAGCTAGTCTATGCATCGTTTCACGTTCAACAGTCTCAGAGGAAATTTTGGCTTTGTGCCGACGCCAATGACCTGCTGTTCTTAACGGGAAGGAATGTGTGATGGTGAAAAAAAATAAAAATAAAAAACACAGTTGTGCAGTTTCTCCTAAAGAGGCTTCAAACCAAGTGGAAACAGAAGGAGTACATCTCTGGAGAAACTCGAGTCAGTGCTTCAGCGTGGACTAGATAATCTGGCACAGTCAAACCTTGAATGTATTTGCCACTGAAACATATTTGACTCAGATTATTTTCTTTGTTTGCTGGATTAGACATCATTCACCTGGTTTGTAAAAACATCTGGTTGACCGTCGTTTGTGCCAGCACGGGCATGGCAGGAGTTGAAAAGTCCCAGTAGAGCTCTTGACAGAGGACAAAGCAGCAGGGGTATGCTATTCAAAAACCAAACCAGTTTTTTTTTGTCTTATTTTATACCACAGTTTGCCCAAATGACTTGTTCCCTAGTCAGATCCTGAGCTAAACAGAGGGCCAACTCTTCCAAGTGGAATGCAAACGCTAAAAAAATGTCCAAGGCAGAAGGATGACATCTATCCGGCTCTTCAGAGGCTGGTCTCCTTAAAGTCCTTCAAGGGAGTAAGGTGGAATAGGTTGTCAGTCCCTATTCTTTCACAGGGTTCCAGGGGTCATTGAAGCATGAGCTGAATGAGGTTTTCATGGAGGATGGTGTCTTTGACATCCCGGAACACCAGCCTGATGTTCTCAGTGTTGATGGCCGTGGTGAAGTGGTGGTACAGAGGCTTCTGTGAGACGATGCGTCTCTTGGCTCGGAAGCAGTCCACCATGAAACACTGGACGTCTGACAGGTCATGTTCCTTTCCGGTGTATTCGGGAAAGTAGTCTTTGAAAGCAACGATTTTCACCTTCTCCTCCAGCAGATCCGTCTTGTTCAGGAAAAGGATAATGGAAACGTTGCCAAAGACTCGGTTGTTGACGATTGTCTCAAAGATGTTGAGTGATTCACGAAGGCGGTTGGTCTGCCTGTCCTCCATCAGCACCTAGAACACAGGATGAATGAGTCAGGTTTTAGTTCCTGCTATTGTATTTCACAAAGTTTGAGTACTGATAAAAGATCTTGACATCCGATTTAAAGTTATTAGATTGAGACCATTAATTCCCTTGGGGAAACACTTTCTGTGTATTTGACCCATCCCCGCAGACTGCCATTTGTACAGCACCCCAAGCCATTTCCCAGCGAAGCATTGATACATGGCCTGCCATGAGCAGCGATCAAACCGCTCACCTTCTGATCAACCATTCTTCTCATTAAGCCACAGCTGACCCATTCGAGTGCTATCCGCAACCATCAAACAATGTCACAGAATCAGTTATTGTGTGCTAATAAAACCCAGTTGTTGACACGCATCTGAGCAAATAAATGTGTAAGAGGAGCTGGAGGCACCTCCAACGGACTTCCCCTGAAATTTATAGCAGAAAGAATAAAAGCCATGCTCTAAGGAGGGGAGATAGGTAAGCATATCAGTAATTTGAGAACAGATCGTTTTCAGTTTCTGAGGCAGCCTCCGACAACACACTGTTTGCATTAAACAGAACTCCTAACATACATTTAAAAAATAATGTCATAAAAAAGTTTAATATTTCTTGTCATGAATTTTAGAAACTGCCACTCATATTTATTAAAAACACAATAAAATAGGGGTGCCCAGAACCGGTACTGGAGGGCACATTCGTTTTAGTTGTTTCTCTGCCCCATCACACCTGATTCAATGGTTTATTTACATGTTCAGTGGCTCATGAAGCTCAGGTGTGTTGAAGCAGAGAAATGGTTTCACACCTGATTCACATAGACTAAGAGGCACCTGGACTCCGTACGGCTTCTGCAAAGACCAAAAACTTTAGTCTACTCAGAGCATTCCCACTGGCTGAGGTGTGGTGCAGAGCCGGATGTGGAGCTCTGAACATTTTCTGAATGAAGTCTATATTTTACACACAAAAAAAAAAAAAAATTTGATTTTCATGAAGCTAAATAAATTAAACGAGAGTGGGCCAACGAGGTACATCCGGTATGGTTCAAAATAAAACCTACTTTGCACTTTTTACTGGCATGTTTTTAATGACTAACAACAAGGATAGCAATTCACAAAGACAGTTGACGTTAATTTTAGAGTTTACCATTAAACTAGGGCTGGGCCGTTGACACATTAATTATGATAAATAAATAGAAAAATATGGTGCGTTAATATTCATTCATTTATTCACAGCTTGCAAAGTGGAACCTTTGTCATTGCATGACTTCCTGGTAGACTGATATCACTGACGCACAGTGCTCTGATAATAGCTACTAAAATGGAATAATTTGAAAAAAATGCCTTGCTTGGACTGATGTTGTATTTGGGAAAACACGTTAGCCTCTTCTCTTAATTTGTACAAATAAAAATACGCTTCCTGTAAACCACTGAGTCCGTGACACGGACATTTCAGAGATCGACATCTCTGCTGCTGCTGTCGGGTGGCATCGGAAACTTTAAAAAATTTGAGGTAAGCAATTTTTTTTTAACATTTATCTAACATTTGTGCAGCATTAAAAGCACCAGACAGAATGGAGTTTTGCTCTAAACAGTGTTTGTTAAAGTAGTCAGACACACTGGGAAAATGCTCCGTGTTCGCACTACTCTGTACACAGTCACAAACAACGTATAACAGAAACACTCTGAAATCTTAAAATAGTTGATTTGGGTCTTACCTCATATCACACAGTGACATTTGAAGAATTAAAAGCATTTTTTGGGAAATTAAAAGAGCTTGAGTTTACAGTAATAATATCCATGTCTAATGTTTGATTCTCTGCCTCATTAATTTTAATTAAAAATGCTTTGAGGGCAATTTCTCTGAACGACTAAAATGTGATCAATTAAGATAAATTACAATGCCTCTAATTAATTAGAGTAATTTTTAAATCGAGTCCTATCCCTACTTTAAACATATTATGTAAAATTTTATTATTACTTCCGTGAAACCCAGAGATTTAGTGCTCTCGCTGGAGCAAATCTGTGGAGACATTCAGCAAACCTCAACTCAACTCAATCTTTATTTCTAAAGCGCCTTTCAGGCACAGGGGTGACAACACGGCGCTGTACGGACATGTATTTGTGTCTGTACTAATGCAGACCAACCGCAGTCGGTGTGAATGGCAGTCTATCTGGGTCAGTAGGGTACACAATTATAAAAACTGATGTTCAGCGTTTGTATTTATACTTGACTTCGCAAGTTTAAATTTGTTGATTTCTGTTTAATTGGAAAGCTTTTTTGTGTGGAATGTTGAATTTGATGTTTTCTTTTTACATCTTGATATTCAATTTAAATAATTTTGTGTTTCCATAAAATTTAGTTTCTATTTTATTAGAATAATCTTCATATTTTTATAGATTACGTTAGTGTTACATTGTTTGAAAATAACTTGTAAAACATCTTAATTACTTGAAATGTTTTGTACTGTTAAAAAAATTGCTTTGCAGAATAAATGTTTTTTGATGGCATTCTATACTTTTAGAAGCACGCGTTCTGCAGCAGTGTAGATAGTATGACACTCTGCTCATTTTGACATACATAAACAAAAGAAAAGAACATATAGCAACACAGTTACAGAACATGCTTCTGATTATTTCACACTATAGATTTGAGGACGTATGGACCAGCTCTAGTGTATTGACCCTTTGCACGTGACGTCACGCCACTCATGTGACCGCCCCCTTCGCCATGATGGATGGCAAAAAGACCAATTACACCCGTAGAAACTCCAGTGAAGGTAGTCAAAACAAGCCTTTTATCGCTTTTATTTAGTTGATTTGACAGTAAAATGGTTTTAGCTTGCTGCGTGGTTGGCTGCACTAAGAGACAAGGACGTAAACTCAACTCGTTTTTTTCTTTTTAATAACTTTGATGGAGACTGAGAACGGAGATGAACTGCAGCGATCAATCAATCAAGCGGACTAGCAGGCCTCAGATTTGCAGCGAACATGTTTTTACCGGGTAAGATTAACATTAATTTATGTCACGAGGAAGACAGGGACAGGGATAAATGTGATGTGTTATACTAGTTAATTATTGATAATCCTGATGGATTGGTATTTCACCACGGAGGCTGCGCTCCATCCACTGTAGTGAGCAGCAAGACAATTATTAACAATATTAAAGCTCCGATATATGATTACGTGTGTTAAAATTACGTTATTTATTTATATGAGCGTCGGCGTTCAGAGATCTTCTCATTCCGGTGTGAGAGCAGCAGCTGAACCCGGTAACACCACCAGCAACAGAAGCCGGTAGGGATCCGGACTTTTTAAAAATCAGCTTTGGTGTAAAGTGAAACGCTGTTTACAACATAAAGTTATAAATCCAGAGGGGTGAATTTAGGCAAAGTCAGCAACATGTTTACATCGGTGAACAGCTGCAGAGAGAACATAAGCTAACGATGGTAAGCTAGTTAACATACTGCTCTCTATGAGCCCCGACTTAGATGCGCTACTTCTTCTGATAACTGAACTGGGCATGAACTAGTTGGAAGGAATGCTGGAGGAGTTTTGTTTTTGTTTTGATCGCAAAAACAATTTCAGGCTCTACTTTTCCCTTTGTTTAGTAATTGTGTTGCTCACTGTTTACATGCTTTTGCAGTCCACCATGGTGGACCCACGTGATTAGGTGACGTCGGTCCACCATGGTGGACCCACGTGATTAGGTGACGTCGGTCCACCATGGTGGACCCACGTGATTAGGTGACGTCTGTGCAAAGTGTCAGTACATGTTTTACTGAACATGATCTCAGCTTTGTTGTTCGTACATCATCAGTAAAGTGATAATTAAAGCCCATATTTTGTGTATGAAGTCTGCAGAGGTGTAATAACAGTGCTTCACTGTTAGCGTGTCATATTTGCATGGTTCAGCTGATCGGGTCAAAAACTTCACATCAAAACAAAAATGTTTATCTTAGCTGAATATCTGAATGCATGTAAGACTATATTTACATGACATGTTAAAAAATACTTTGATTATTTTGACACTTGAAGTAAAATAACAGGCTCAGCAGCAGCATCTTCTCACCTGATCATATTCAGAGGAAGAGACGAGGAAGAGGATGGAAGTGACGGAGTCGAAACATTCAAACCACCGTCTCCGCTCTGATCGTTGCCCCCCCACGTCTACCATCTTAAAAGGAATGTTCCTGATCTCAAAGTTGTACTCGTGGATGCCCTTGGTGGGTTTACGAGCCAGCAGGATGTCCTGTTGACTGGGGAGATAATTCTGCAGGAGACACAACATCTCCATCAAACACAATACAGTTTAAAGAACTTCAACACTTAATTTATGAGGATGGAGGTTGAAACAAACAAGGAAACACACCAAAAAATCTAATGGGTTTGCCTGGAAATGGTAATCCTCTTATTCCTACGATCAAATGCAAGCTCCCACCAAAAACACAACTCCAGACTAAATTTGATCACAAATCCACAATTATATTTAAATGAAACAATTATATGTTTTAAAACAAGGTTCAACAGTCTTGACTCAACAAGGTCCTTAAATAGACTATAAGGATGTTTGACATGTATAGAAATAATAAATGTCTTCTTCATACATTCTCCAGCAATGCCCTGGTCCTGTAGAATGAGCCCTGGCATTTTTACTGTGATTGCCTGTTTTTCTGTAAAATCACAGAAAAAGAGAGATGCTCGGGTCAAACAGGCTGCTTCATGCGCGTTCACGCTCAGGCATAGCCCGTAGCATTTGCTATCAGTATCTTTAGCAGCAGAGAGAGAGGCAGTGCCAACTCAGTGGCTTTGTCTCTGTTCCTAACGCCTAGTGACGAACCTAGCTACATTTCTGAGGACCCTTAGCTACTTTCTGTAGAACTTTCTTCTAGATATTTCCTGCAAATTAGCAACAAAATAGCTATTTTAGCTCTGAACCATTTTTTGGATTGACGTTTCAGCTGTCATTAAGGATATAAACGTTACAAACAGATTGAACATCACTGGTGCTTTAGCTCACCTAGTAAGGTGTCTGACTCCCATGCAGACGACCTGGCTTCAACTCCAGTTGTGAACATAATTTGTCATTTTGAGTTTCTTTTTTACATTAATGACATATTTTTTACAGTAATAAGATGCCCACATTTTTATTTGAGACTCACCGAAAGGCACTGAATTCACGGATAAAAGAGATGCGAGTTCAACTTTCATTTTGGAACAATTTTTCAAGCAAGGGAAAGGAATGATCTGAGCATCCTGAGGACTGACCCATCTTAAACCTTTGTCGGCTGTGCTGAAGAGAAAGGTACAGAACCAAATTAATTAGCTATGTGTTCTCCTGTCCTCTGTCCGTCCTCTGCACGAGCTTACTTTTGAAGTTGCAGTTACGCGTTCGGCCTGAGTGGCGATCGCGAGCATAAAAACTTCAAACTTCCTTACAGTCCCTTTAACAACCTTAAGTTCATATTTTACTGCGAAAGGAAGACTGACTAAACTAAACAATTTGAAACATTTTCTGCTTGAGTCAAAAGTTACAGTTTTTTTTTTACCTCAAGTTAGTTTGAATTGAATGTGAATGTTAGGAACCTTTAAAGAGGTCCTTCACTCATCTTTCAAAACATTTGCAGTGGTCTCTAGTAGGAATGAATGCCTTAAGTTGAATTCAGGGGAATACAGCTCAGGTGCTCCTATTTGAGGATGTAGAAGTTAGCTGGAGGAGAAAGTAGCTTCAGACAGCAGGGCCTGGAGTCTTACTTCCTGATATTTGGCTAACTCGCCTCTGATTGGATAACAGCAATGTGACCATCACCGACTGCTTTGCAATGTTGATGTTCTATCTCCACAAATAACTCAAGCCTGGAGGAGTGTGGTGGAGTTGCTGTTGCTAACAGTTAGCTTTTGTTAGTTGACATGTTCTCTGCTGCTTCCTGGACACTAAAGCTAGCCTTCCCCATTGTGTGTCAAGATGGGTGAGTCCATGAATGTTAAGTTATGTTAGTGTGACGTTGAGCTGTCAGGATTTTCTAATCCTAGAGTCTCACCATCTATTTTCTATCAAAAGCTAATGAAGGAGTCAAAAATAAGTTAAAAAAAAACCTCTAAAAAAATTATCTGCTTACCCTGATTCAATAGATGTTACATTATGAAAGGATCACATCTTTATAAGAAGCCCTGAGCCTTTATTGATGCTGATTTTAGGCCATATCGCCCCATCTGCATATATATATATATATATATATATATATATATATATATATATATACACACACACACACACACACAAGTCATTTATTAAACTTCAAATATAAAATAAACTCAAAACATAAAAAAAAACAGTGTGTTAGGGTCCTTCGGGTAATTTCTTCGGTCTAATAGTGGCGGCAGTTGGCCACACAGGAGCCTGATTTTTTAAATTTATTTTTAAAATCGGCTTTTAAAAATAATTTCGGCCGATATAGGAAAAATTGAATAGATCGGTCGGCCTCTAGTCTGAATAGAATAATAAGAGTAGGCAGAAACAACTTACCGCCTCGCAGAGCCTATCCAGATTATCCAAGAAATACTTCACCGACTCACCCTGGAACAGGACAGAGGAGGAATTTCTGTCACTAACATTAACAGATGCATTCTGCATGCTTAGTTACATTACATTCAACTAGTCATTTGCTGTTCATCTAAAAGAATCAATTCACTGCACGCACGCACACACAAAATCTGTTTGTTTTGAGAGCTCAGTGTCCGCGTCAAAACTAAGTAAAGGCAGAATGCAAATTATTTGATGCCAAAGTGACATGTGTTTGAAAGCGTGTCTTTGATGTTTAGAGATGTGTTGCATGGTGTGTGTGTGTGTAAAGGAAAGCCTTTTCTAGATTCTTCTAGCATCCTTTTGTGCAATTTGTGCAAGTCCAGACATGGCTCCTCCAGGACTTAGCAGCATTCCTTTATACAAATGTATCTGTGTGTTTGTATGAGTGGGCCCGGCTCAACATAAACCAAAAACCAGAGCCCCATTTATTCTGTTTCACTTAACCCAAATGCTGCTGTTTTCATTTTTACCTTTATGAAATCTGACCTTCTATTCCAACCATATTTATTACTCTGAAGTGTGCAATTATGAAGCGAATGAGAAAATAACCCAACAACTCACTAGACACAGAACTGAAATATAAGGAATTATTTGACATTCACAAGTACCATAGACCTGCAGAAGAGTGCTTTTGCAGGTGTGTTAAGATGTTGAGATGTTACTCATCTTGTTTTGAAGAACAAAATATGTTATTGTTTGTGCAAAATTAGGTGTTACTGTGTTTTTTTGTTGTTGTTGTCAATGTTTAAGAACTACAAAATGAGAGGAGGGATGACATCAGAGACAAGATCATAGTGAACCGTGGTTATTTATGGCCAGAGTTCAATAAAGAACCTAGAGACGTGTAGTGGACTCCATAATGCTTTTCCCAGACTGGAAGCTTTGCAGCGTTTTCTAAAATACACTCAGGTGCATGAAAATAAACTCACACTTCACTTTTAACAGAGAGGAAGCCAGCCAGCAGGTGAGAGTCACACCTGTGCAAATTAAGATGAATTTTAAGAGTTTTCAAACATTTTTCGCTCCCGCTAGCTTGTTTGTCGTTTGTCTCTGTCTGATGCGTCTTTGACAGCGGTCATCGCATGTTTTCTTACACTTCCAATCAAGTGGCAGGAAATATGTTTCCAAGATTAATCACTAGTTTGTTTCTGCCCACAGTGCTTTACACAAAGCTTGTAGTTTCTTAATGTTATGGAGGACGGTGGTGTTTCAGCACACTTTTTTACAGTTGCTGACTTTGATTATCTGTGTGAAAACGAGGGCCAACCCCAGCGTAACTAAGTAACCGGTACGGGGGGCTGTAGCAGCCAAAACACCACTAGGCATGTATGAAGATATCTATACACTCAACCACAGTATTTAGTTATATGATACTGAATCAATAAGTAAAAGCAGATTTAGATTTTATTGAATATTTACAGCAAGATTTATTGTATTTCTTTAGTGTGGTGCAAGTCAAACTCCTACTATTGGGGGCAGTAGTTTTAATATTCTGATGGAACAACGAGACCATAATAATCTCATAATAACACTGGGGGTGTTTCTCAATGTCAAGGCACCTGGCCTTGCAAGGCGGTCTTGCAAGGCCAGGTGTCTTGCTTACAAGGACAATGTCCTTCCTTGGTCAAAGAAAACTGTTAAATGAAACAGACTTGCATCTTGTGACTGCGGCTGTATTCTGGGAAATCTTTGACCAAGGCTAGGCTACAAGGCACCTCCCGTGTATCCTTGCTAGCTAAACGGCGAACAAATGGAGAACAGACGCCTCGGTAGAACATGAACACTTGAACATGCCTTGGTGAATATCTCCTAGGCAACCAGGGCGGGACAAAGACATCAATTTTACTTATCATTTATTTCCTTGCACCAAGTACCGCAGCAATTTCCTAATGTTGTGATTCTCACACATATGGCAATAAAACCCTTCAGATTCTGGTCAAGGCAAGATTCCTTGGCATTGAGAAACACCATGTGTATGGCCTGAGTTTTTCAATTAGATTCAGCCTTGAAAATAGAAAATAGCATCTGGTTTTTAGAATCGTAATATACTGCATCATCCCCCTGTATGATAAACATTGTATTGCCTGATTCTAGCCAATATACCCCCATAGAAACTATTATGCCTCATTCCCTACCAGAGAAATGAGCAAATTGTGAGATTATGTGTTTTGGACCAAATTCCGTTTAGTATTTTTTAATTCCAAAATTCTGTCCACATTTTCTGCATTGGAGAAATCAAAGGGCCCTAAAAATGGACTCCAAACAGAAATAGTTTCTATTGTTACTGGCATCTAAATGCTGGGCTGTTTAGCATGTATTCTGCATCAAATTCAAATAAAAGTGACATGGTGCAGAGATAATTCAAATTTAGCCAGATGTAGTGATTGGGTGACATTTGTGTGTGCGAGGAGCATGTGCCAGTCATTTCCTCTTCATTGTGAGCTTCTTTTCTCACCTTTTGCTCTCTACAGGAGGAGAAAAAAAAACTAACCTGACCTGAAAAACCTGAGTGTGAATGTGTGTGCACAAGCACAATTACACAAGGCAGGAACCGGACGGTGCACTGCCACACTGAAGCTAGACAGAGAGCGAAAGGGTTCGACATAGAGGGAGAGACTTCCTTTCCGTGAAGTCTATATATATATATATATATATAATCTATGCGAGTAAAGCAACTCAAACTTAAAGGAGGAGGCTGGTTTGGAAATGTTTTTATCAAATCTCAGAGAGCGAGAGAGAGAAACCGGAACAGTTATCAATCCCAGCTCATTATGAGTCATGAGCGGCTGAAGTTAGCATGCTGTCAATACAAAACTGAAACAATATGTAATCGAGTAATTAAGATAGCTCCAGCATTGATAGTTTATGTTATTAGATTCAAACCTTGTGAAACATGACGAGAGGCCAATCAGGTTACATGTGTTTAATGATAATTACAGAGAAAATCAGACCGCTTTGATATTTTTCACCTCACAGAGGGTAGAAACTCACCATGTGCGCACTGCGCGAGCTGCCGTTGTGCTTACATGTTCTAGTGGCCAATCAAAGCTCGTTTTCCGCTTACATGATTCCAAGATGGAAGCCCCCTGTCTGCATGTCAGAAAAATAAACAAACCCGTACCTTGCCGATCAATGTGCCCACTATTTCCACTACCCTCTGGAAGAATTCAGGATCCAGGCGGTGGTACTGTCAGTTGCATTCTGGGTCTTCTACGGAGTGGATTGGTATAAACTCCTTGCCTGGCCCTTCTCTGCAGCTACCGTACCCATACTCTTCTAACCTTGAAATGACGGTGGTGGTGACGCCTCATCAACAAAACAAGTAGAAACATTCCTCCATTTCCAGCTCTGTCTCCGTTTTGTTTACTTTTCCGACATGCAGAAAGGGGGCTGCCATCTTGGAACCATGTGAGTGGAGAACATGCTTTGATTGGCCACTAGAATATTTCAGCTCAGCCCGCAGCTTACGTAGTACGCACACAGTGAGTTTCTACCCCCCGTGAGGCGAAAAATATCAAACCGGTTTGATTTTCACCTCAGTGTCTCATGAGGCTGAAAACTCAGTGAAAATCAGGCGCACACAGCGAGGTATCTGCTGAGCAAACAGTCATTAAAGGCAGCTTGCTCAGCAGTTTGCTCCCGTGTGCGGCAACCTACCGGCAGGCTCAAGACTCCTTCACATTATTCTCATGTAAATGACTAAAGTGTCTCGGTTCACCTTTGTAAATAATTAGCAAAAACTCATGTTTGGACAGTAGCATGTAATAGTCTTTACTGTCCCCTGCTGGTGACCCTATGATGATCATTCACTCCAAATTAGCAAATAAAAATGAGTCTTGTGTGTTTTCCACATTACAACTACAGCTCAGAAACTCGGACACCCTCCAGCCTTGGTGAATTAAATCAGTCTTACCATTTTATTCTCACATAGGTCTGCAACAACTGAAACAGGCAATAGTAATTAACCTGAAACTTTAAACAGGATAAAGTTAAACGTGTCTAAACTACTTGGTGCATCTACACAGTTGTTACACCTTTTTCCTGATTGAAGCACTTTCAGGGTGAGTTTCAGATATTTCAGCTGTCGTGACTCACACAAAGACCAAGAGCATCGTTGTGCTTGAATCAATGATGCCACTTCCTTGTCTTATAAAATATAACATGTCACTGTTTCATAAGCAATTAATTTGAGGTTGAATTTTGTCCGAATTTCAGCTGTTTATGTATTTCTCTGAAGTTTCTCAGTTTCATGTCTCATAACAGCTTAAATGTTATATTCAAAAGAAAAAGCAAACTAAGCAAACTAACTAGTGTTTAGTTTGTGGAAGGTTTAAAGCTAGTTTGTTGGACCTTTTGTCAGATTTAAAGTTGTCCACTTGCACTATTAAAACTCCACGAGGACTTTTTACAATACTTTTATACCAATTAGCTGAGAATAAGAATTTAAGTCCCACACACGTCGACAGAATGTGTGTGTGTGTGTGTGTGTCCTTGTTCTCGTGTTACATGAGGTGTGTGACACTTGATGTTTGTGTGTAAATAACGCTGAGAGAGAGAGACGGGGCTCTGTACGCATAAAGCTGTTTAACTGCAGATCAACATTCCTGCTCCGGTTCTTGTCCCCCCCCTCCCGTCTGCAAAAACCAATACACACACATCGACTAGTGAGAGCGCAAAAGACCAACAAAATCCCATCGGGAACAGTCCAGCCTTGTGCTAAATTGTGATTTTCATCTTTTGGATTAATACTGAAAGCAACTTGGAGAAGTGTGTCTCTTGTTCTGGCCTCTGTGGGCCCCCTTGACTCTTAAGTTGATCATGTGACCTGATATGAAATCAGGGAGGGGGAAAAAAAAGAATGCAGGAAATAAAATTTGTGACTTTTAGATTTGCAGCAGGCTGTAAAATCTTCGTCTTCGTCTTCCTCCGCTTATCCGGGTCCGGATCGCGTGGGCAGCATCCCAATTAGGGAGCTCCAGGCCGTCCTCTCCCCGGCCTTGTCCACCAGCTCCTCCGGCAGGACCCCAAGGCGTTCCCGGACCAGATTGGAGATGTAACCTCTCCATCTGTAAAATCTAAGGCGGACAAACTAAAAGCACAAAGGTCCTGGAGAGGATTTGGACTACAGCTGCTGCTCCGTGGGAATCTTCAGCATTAAAAAGTGCATGCTGACAGCAGAGGAGCGGAAAGAGGCGTAAACAGGAAGCTGACTTAATCATATGTCTGACCACTCAAGGCAGAGAACGCAAGGCGTACACAAAAAAGTTAAATATGCAGAGAGAGAGGAAAGACGGAAAGAATGAATTAGAAAAACAGTTTCACTTTCTATTATCACAGCCATTTTCTAAATGCCTTCCAACTTTCTGATGGGAATTTTTTCTACAAGAAGAAAAAAACTACCTGAAAAGCTCTTCTTAGATCAGCTGATAAAAGAATTGAGCTCTATAGTCACGTAAAGAAAGGTTCTTATCAGTTCAAGCTGGTGAAAAAGACAGGGCCCATCTCTCAGATGTTCTTTATCTGTGTGGTGTGTGTGTGTGTGTGTGCTTCATCAACCTACCAGCTGAAACTCCCTGCGACGATCGTAGGCATTCTGTATACCCGAGTCTGCCCACAGTGCTTTGATGGCAACCACATACTCATAAAACACCTGCCTGTCCACCTGCCCATTCACCATCTTGGCCGAGCGGGTGTCAAAAGCCATCACTTTGTCCCCATGCGGCTGATTGTTTGGGTCACCCCAAGGGATGTGTAGCTTCTCCCGTGCATCCACCAACACACGGATACCTGAACAGGAAGTGAGGAGATCACCGTCAGAGAGATTCCAGGTGGAAGAAATAGTCATACACTAAAATACAGCAATATTTCATGTTATGATACCGAACTGATATTTAAAAGCAGTGTATTGATTATTTTTACTGGGAATTTGAATGTAAGCATTTACTTTATTTTCTTTGTGTGGTGCAATTAACTCCAACTGCTAGGTGGCAGTAGTTTTTACTACCTTCATTCTGAGGTAACAACAAAATCTCAATAATATTAGATGTCTTGTAAGTGTCTGACCTGAGATTTCCAACTAAATTCAGTCTTAATATATTGCAAATATCTGTATTTTAAAATGACAATCCATCATATATATATATATATATATATATATTCTTGCTAATACACCCCTTTCCCAAGATCAATAATTGTCAGTGTGCTGCCAGTGATCAAGCTTCTAGTGGTGGAGCTGGTTTGTACATTTCCATAGTAGAATAAGGAAAACCAAAACTTGCCTTGGGAAAAAAGAACTTTAGTTTATCTTTCAAGTGGTAAAGGTAATATTGAGTTAATTTAAGTGATTTAATAAAATGGAATCATTAGCTTTAGCATTACAAATGTGGCAACACGAACCTTTATATAAATCAATACTGTTTAAATGGTAAAACAATGCCTTCATTCCATGTAAAAGCTGTCAAAGGTTAAAAAAACACGCTGCATTATGGAAGTTTAAGGTCATGTTTAATGGAAACTAACATTGTGGAGTAAATTGACTTTCCGCTGGTGTTTTTTAACCAGCGGACAAACAGGAACACCTAGCTTAAACCACGGCAACCCTCCGTTGAGCAACTAAACGTGCCTCTTTAGAAAGTACAAACTTTACGGTTATGATAAAGCTGGTTATTAAATCATAGCAGGGTAATAAACAGAGAGAAGGGCACGTTGGAGCTGAAACCTGGCTGAGTAGGGTGTGCCGAGAGCAGATGTGGACTGTTTATGGGTGTCTTCTCAGCAGCTAAACGCAGATGTGGAAACGTTTCCATCCGTTTAAACGCCTTTCTGCGGCTTTTAGGTCCAGAACAAGTGGTTTATTCCACCCGTTATAAAGTAAACTTGGTCAGAAGTGAGGTTACCTTTAATAACGTTGCTGTAAATCGTTGATCTGAAGTCTTCTCGGGCTTTCGCGTCGAAGTCATCGCCGTGGATGATCCGCATTTGTTTAAGGAAAGTCGACTTGCCGCTCTCGCCAGCGCCCAGCAGAAGGATTTTAACCAAGCGTTTCACATGCGTCTTCTCCCGGTTCAGACCTTTGTCGATCTCTTTAGACTTTCGTATCTGGTCCGCCTCTGCGTTGCTGAGCACACAGAAGGGTAGACAAACTTTTAACACAGACCTGGTCGGCAGGAAATCCGCCATGTTCGCTCAAACTTCATCGATGCTAATCTCATGCGCGTTCGCGTTGCGCGGGCACGGGACCAAGCCCCTTTTCCTAAACTCAGGAAGTAGCGTCCGCGGAACCGATAAAGGCAGTTTACCGATTTACCACCAAAGAACACTCTCGCCTCTGAGACTGTCCATGTGCAATTAACGTAAAGGTTTTATATATATATATATATATATATATATATATATATATATATATATATATATATATATATATATATATATATATATACTCTATGAAACATTTAATATAAAGTGCAAGTGTCTCAAAACACGAGTTAAGTTTGAATAAATCCGAATCTACACACGACACAACAGCACCCCCTGCTGGTTGAAAATAAGACTGCTCAACACGCTTTCCCTCTTAGAGGAAAGCAACTCTCTGATTGGTTGTTTTATTTGTCCCTTGTAGATGTGATGCCTTCAAAAGTATAGGACATGGGAAAACTTCCAATTTTTACTTCGACGCTCCACAAAATGACAACAGGTGAAAACGAAAACAATAAATCCACTCATCGCATATATATGGTTAAAAATGTTTTCATATTTCTTGGTATTTTAAATGTTTAATCACTGAACGGATGTTTAAACAGAATAACAACAATCTTTTAGCATAGAACATAATTCCTACTGATTTGCAGTTGTTTTGTTTAACTAATCCAAATAAAAAGTTCTAACTTGAAGTTCAATATAACGCGAACTTGAAATCGAAAATATGTATGAATACATGTTTCTAAAAAATCCAATCTCCCGAACAAATGATGTGTTGAGACATTTGAACGCATCATCAGCATTGATCATATCGATTCCCCTCAAGCATCCTCACACGACACAGAGCTCACAGGCAACAGCAGCGTTATATTTAAATCTGTGAGTGTATAAAAAACAAACAGTATGACCATTAGAAACGCTCTCCGGGATCATGGACAGAGGTACCGACCTCGGATGGCTTGTCTCAAAAAGGTAGGCTCTCTATTTTCATATAAACAAGACATAAATCCCAGCTCTGCCCAGGCTGGTAGAGTGTACTTGCAGACACCTAAACAGAAATCATGTGAATTCTCAATCTTGATGGTCTCAGGTGACCTCATAAATAGTTGTTTACAATATAAAACGTTCAGATTCTTCAGGTCCTGTAAGAATTCAGATTGTTATGCTTTTATTTCTTTTAATAAGACGCCAAATTCTGCAGGTGATAAATGAGTAACTGAATGCTTAAAACCATCATGAAATAAAAATGTAGTGCATTTGTTTGGATTACCTGTAAAATAATGTATACATGTAATAAAATGTCAAGATTAAATGTTAAATATCGTGGTCATTTAACTGTACCCTTTATTAAACTGGCCCACCTTAAACAAATTATTTTAACCTTTTCACAGTGCTAAGGTCATTCTGTTTAATAAGCATTAAGTATGGATCAGTATAAGAGCTCCTATATTGAGCAGCAGCTTCTTGAAAGAAGTTAATCCAGATGAGGTGGTGAATACAACAGTCTGGTCTTGTAGTTTGGATGTAGACCCATTCATCATCTCACGTTTAAAAACATTCAAGAGCTGACACAGTCAGAAAGAATAAATGCTGAAAAACGTGATTAGCATTAAATCTGATTTATTTAGTGAATGGAAGGTGCAGACTAGAGCACAGAGTGAACACACTCTCCAGGGGAATGTGTCGAGATATGAGGAGAACTTTGAGTTCTGGTTCATGGAAGCTCACTTTGGACCTGCTCCGCAGAGGGCTCAGCCTCTCCAGGATCGACTTCAAAGCACAAAGCCACTTCAAACAGACCTGAGAGTCAGACGAACACTCACTTTCTCTTTTTCCTCTCTCACTTGCACACACGCTCACACACACTTTTACTCCAACTGCATCAAGTCTCTACATGATTTATTTTTTTCTGAGTTATTTGAGTTATATGGGAGCTGTGGGATCCAATATAACGGAAACAGTGTTTAGAAAGAAGGTGAGTCACTGCAAAACACCCACGCAATCCAAAGAAACGCAGAAGAGATCAGGGCATGTTTTCTCAACTCTTCAACAATGTTTTTGGGTTTAACATTGAATGGTCATGTTAGGAGAGTTCTTTAATCTCAATAACTGAATCATCTCACACTTTCTAATCTAATATCACGACAGTGCTCTATAAAATTACACTTTTAAAATCAGTAGCAATTTTATGTAGCTCTTGAGGTGTTTTATCAAGTTAACGATGCTGTGGATGCTTGACAATGTTAATAACTATCAATATATTGTTATTAAAATCTTCACATGTGAAAGAGTTTGGCAAAACATATCTAGTGTACATCTCAGTTAAAATTCCCAAAATTCACAAACACAATGTAATAATAAAAAGAACTGTTATTGAAATTATTTAGTCGTATTCGTTGCAAGCATTCTGTTCTGTTGTTATGCTTTCAAAATGATGGAACCCTCCACCTCTTCTGAAGGACAGGCTATTGCTTTAAAAAGTCAGCTCAAGCAATGAGGGCAGAATGAAGGCAAAACAAACCGGTGGTGTATGTAAAGCAAAAACAGACCTCTGTTCAGTTTATTTTTTAAGTATGGCGCTCACACATGTTTTGGTGCAATGTGCAGGGATATTCACGGATATTCATTTTCTGAGCACTGACACTCCTAAGACACATCTGTACTTAAGCCTGATTTATGCTTCTCCGTCTCCGTCAGTGCGGAGACACGCAACGCCATTATCCGTCCTTGCGTAGGGCTCCGGCAGGCCCGCAAGTACGTACGGAGTCAAGCCCACTTTTTTAAACATCCGTCGATCGAGACGGATTACGCAAGCTTGTGATTGGTCAGGACACCGCTGTTGTTTACAGCGCCGCCATTGCAAAGAGAGCCGAGGATAACTAGCAGCAGACACGGAGAAGCTTGAAGAATACCTCGCGAAAAAACTCTAAAAATATGAACGTTTAATTCTCCCGTGACTGGAGGAGTGAAAAGATGCACAGCAAGCCTTTTATTTGTGGACGGAAATGACAGGAAACGTGGGTTTAGAGGTGGGGAGCGCATGAAGCGGTGGGAGAACGAGAGACAAATATGTCCGTGTTAAAAGTCTCTTATATACACAAAAACACAATATAAACACACTATCTTGGACCGATACATGACAGGATACCACAGAACAGCGCTACGCCCTCTGCTGTCCTGCCGGACAATTGCTTTGCAACACTCTCCAGGAGACGGAGAAGTAAAAGAGCAAAACACTTCCATCAATCCGTGCATGTCTGTCCCTTGTGGAGCTGACGGAGAAGCATAAACCAGGCTTTACTTACTTCTTTGACTCCCACAGCAGCTCTTCTCTGCTTCTATAACAGGGATGTCTGTTCATGTTTTGTTTATGTGGCTGACAAATCCTCAAGTTAAATAATGTGCATTTACATGTGACTCAAACTACAATATGTAGAATGAAAGAAATGTATTTGATTTATTTCTTGTCTTACAGGTCTAGACATTCCTATGTTGCTCAGAATTGTGTCTGATTTGATAAAAGTTGTTTCTGACATAATATTTGGTGTCTCAAGTTTTAATAGCTAAATTTCACATTTCTGGTGACATAAATCGATACCTGCAAACCCCTTAAAGCAGATATCTGGAGGCTGAAAAATGTAACATGTAAAGCTGATTGCCAGATGAATACTAGGTTTCGTATAGGTTTAGCTATGGAGTTTTAGGATCTTGATAATAAAGGATATGTCTTGTATGCTTCTGATCTGAGTTTTCCAATTAAATTAATTCTTAATATATTGCAAATATCCTTTTAAAATTGAAATATATCATATTTTCTCTTTTGTATTGTGATATACAGTAGGGCTGTAGCCTGGCAAGCCAGACTAAGTAAATGTATTATTTAGTCTGGCAACGCTCCATTGACGGCTCTCGGTTGTGGGGCGGGTTCTACCGTTGTCTTTCAAATGATCTCCGTATGCTACTCGACAATGAATGTGACATACTCACCGCAACCGCTATCGGTAATTGAGGCGGTCCGCAGTTGAAGAAGGAGAAAACACATAATTTTTTCTCGTATGTAGGCGGATGTCTAATGCTATTGGCTAATGCTGAGTGATGCTAAATATATTTTGCATGGCGCTCTACAGAATGGGGGTCGGCCTTAGTAAAAAGAAAATATATTACCTACATTATATCACAGTACAGGGTCAGACTATCTCATATATTAAACTTTTACAGATTTCTAAAGAACTCATACATAATTCCTGAAAGGGAGGAAACTTTGGATTGTAGCTTTAAAGTGTGAATTTGGGATAGTTCCTCCCAGCTCAGTGAGTAATCTTGTTAAATAATCTTGATTAAGCTTCATTCCAACAATGTCTATCTCCAATCTATGCTAATCTTGAGAAAATCACTGGAATTCTTATCAAAGATAGATTTCCCTCCATGCAGGCTGCTTCCTTAAACCTGTTATCAAAGCATCTAGTTGGCATGGTGACCCCTACCTCTCGCCCACTTCTCCTTTTGCACATTTTTATTTTTCCTTTTCAGGCAGAAATGATACTGCTGGAGATGCAGGACCCCAACACAGGCGTCAGGTCACAGCCTCAGAGACTTGTTATCACAACTATACCACATGCCATCACTGGTAATGATAAACACACCCACACACACACACACACACGCACGCACGCACGCACACACACACACACACACACACACGCACGCACACACACACGCACACACACACACACGCACGCACGCACGCACGCACACACACGCACACACACACACACACACACACACGCACGCACACAGACACACACAAATGTATTCATGCATATGTCCTGCACTTGTAGCCATTCAGCAGCTGGTTTTGTGATTGTGGCTGCATGTTCTGACTGAAAAATACCAGAGCTATATGGGCTCAGAACTCGAAAGCTACAGATTTCATCTCCATGACAACCCCCATGGTCTCAGACACAGGCGGAGGGAAAAAGTAGGAGGCAAAGGAGGAGGAGGTGGTGGAAGATGATTGAACAGGCAAGAGGGAACGAGAGGAGGGAGACAATAAACAAGATGGATTAAAAAAAAAGCAGGAGGAGGACAAGAAGAGAGGGAACCTTCACTCCTACGTCATTTGCAAGCTTTGATTTCCAGAGAGAGAAAACTGGCTTCTTTGTGCCTTTTTGTTATCTATAGTTCACCTTTCCTTCTTGCATTTACTGCCACACATACAAACTATTACATTAGATTTTTTTAATCTGATTTCTTATTAGTGTTTGTCTTTCTTCTCAGGTGAAGATATAGTTACATGGCTTGCAGACAGATTACAAATAGATGTACAAGGTAAGAGATGAATCTCCTGATGCTGATAATGTTATGCACTAAAGTGAAAGTTTCACGTTTACTAGAGCAGCTGCTAACATTTTGTTAATGTCTCTGTCCGCTGCCTTCAGAAGCCAGAAGTTTTGGCTCCATGCTGGTGGCGTTAGGATACATCTACCCTTTACAAGACCACAAACGACTAGTGATCAAACCTGACACATCCCTATATCGCTTTCAGGTAAATGCACCACATTGTAAACCAAACTCCCCTTGGGATAAAATGGGGGTAAATTCAATAGAAGACAGAAAATATGGAAATTTGTCAACTTTTGTGTTGGATGTACGGGTCCCTTGTAGAAGAAGTGTTGCTGTTATGCAGCACACTGAGTGGATAACTGGGTCACCAATGTAGTTTGTATTGATGCAGCACATACTGATGAAACATCTCATTACAGAATTCATTTGTTCCATCCACAATGCACTGCTAGAGTCCTGTTTACAAAAATACCAGGACAAATAGTATCAGAAGTTCTTCAAGTTCATGATAGATGAATGTCAAAATATAGACAGATTGTTTTCTGTTTACTTTCTCCATCCATCCATCCATCCATCCATCCATCCATCCATCCATCATTTTTTCCAGATTTCTGAGGTCAGGTCATGGAGGTAAGGGTCAAGGATGAAAGCCTGTACTTCCTTCTTTCCAGTGACTTTCCCTAGATCCCTCTGAGGGATCCCAAGGCCAGGCCAGGGTGTTCTGGGCTTTCCCTGGGGTTTCCTCTTTGTTGGAAATTGATGGAGACCTCCAGAGGGAAGCGACTGGTGGGAAATCCTAACTGTAGGTGCTTGAGCCACCTTCGCTGACTCCTTCTGATGCAGAGGAAGCAACGCCTCCAAAACTTACAGATGAAACTCAAAATTTTTTAATATGGTGCAAAAACCCCTTATTCAAAATCTCAGATAATGGTAATATCATGAAAAGGTTCAATATTCTAGAGTCAAATTGTCACACTCTAATCAGCTAATGAATCCTAAACACCTGCTACAGGTACCTGAACCTTTAGATGGTCTCTCAGTCTAAGTTGAATTTCTGACATAAATGGACCTTTGCACCATATTCTAATTGTTCAGGTGTACCTGTGTCTCAAAGGCTGAGCTCGGCCACCCTAAAAAGAAAGCTAATGTTGGATTTCACAAATTCAACTATCTTAGGGACCTCCATCGGCATCTCCGACTCAACTCCCTCAATTTATGTTGAGACAGGAAAAAAAGTGTTACTGTATATAAAAACTACTAGAGTATGCTGGATCACTATTTTGCCCATACTCTGTTTTTCCAACAGGTTACCTGAAATCAAACAGGTATTTGTTTTGCACATTCTTCTCAAACCTTTGTTCCTTGTTGTTTCAGACACCATATTTTTGGCCCACACAGCAGTGGCCTGTTGAGGATACAGATTATGGTGAGTATGACAAACTGCTTACTACTTCGAATTTTACCCACAATCCAATAATGCTCCCATCTGTTTAATCACTGAAGCAATCTACCTAGCAAAACGAAACATCCGTAAGAAGGGACTCCTGGAGTTGCATGAGCAGGTAAAATGCACCAGAATGACACAAGATTAACTCGTCCTGCTTTCTGGCTTTTGTTGATGTGTTGTTTTGTGTCCACAGGAGCAGTACAACCGTCTTCACAAGTGGATGAATCACAAGTGGGATTTTATTGTGATGCAAGCTAAAGAGCAGTACAGGTGGGTGGTGAAAAACACAGCAAAGTCTTCCTGATTTTAGGTAAAGATGGTGTTACAAATCTGTCTGTTTGTGTAGAGCTGCAAAAGAGAGGAAGAAACCAGACCGTGTGGTGTTTGACTGTCAAGAGAGAGCCTACTGGGTGGTTCACAGACCTCCGGTCAGAAACACACACACACACACACACACACACACACACACACACACACACACACACACACACACACACACACACACACACACACACACACACACACACACACACACACACACAGTTATCAGACTTGTGTTGTGGACACAGAGACCATCTTCGTGTAACTTTGCCGTGCTATACCAGCAGACACTGAAACCTGAACAAAAATTACATTCCACCTCTTCGCTTCCCAGGGTATCTCATTACCTCAACCCATGATGCCTCATTATTATTACGTGTCCATGTGGCAGAAAAGGGCACAGCTGATTAATATTTCACACTGCATGAGATATTGAGGTGCAGTGGTTTGCGCCTTGTGCACAGGGTGCTCTTGTGTCGTGACGTTAGATTACAGTTGAAGAGGAGAAAACAGTCATTTGATAAGATAGGAAATCATTTCCACCCTATAAAGTATTGATGAAAACTGTGAAGACTTGTTCGTTATATCAACCCATTCCAAGTTAACTGACACTAAGAAGACCTGACTTTACACTTTTTATTGCGTGTTGCTTTCTGTAGCTGCAGGCGATTCCAAGCCACCATGTTTCAGTTTGTCTTAATGGGAACCTGCAGAGTACTCAACAAGCACTGTCAAAAATTCAACCCTGTGAGCAACAATAACAATTCACTGAACCAAGTGTGCTGTAATGGTTGCATGGAAGCTACAACAGCTGACGAGGACTTGCTATTGTAGATGTAATGGCATAAACATGAACTAAAGCCATAAGACAAACAGGGATGAGTGTATTTCATTAAACAGCAAAACATCAAGATGCAACATGTTAGTCATGCTATAGAACATCGCCACTACTGGATATGAGTCACCGCTCTCCGTAGGAGTCAAGGTTAAACAGGTTAGGACACAAGATCTCTGCTGTAGAGATAAACATGTTATTTATTTTGTTTCCTTGAGGAATTTCCCAAGAAAACATTGTCCAAGGGGACAGTGAAGTGTACTGCATTCTGCAGCGCACCAGGCTAAAGACCAAAGGTGACAGATCATTTGCTGCTGTGGCCTCCAGACTCTACTCTCTCCCCCTGAGCCTGAGATCAGTGGACTCAGTGGTCTCCTTTAAAAAGCAGCTGAAAACTCACCTGTTCAGGCTGGTTTATGCGTGACCTTCATCACCACCCTCTCCTTATTTTGCTCTTATTCTGCCTTTCCCAGTATCCACTGATTTCCCTCTTTGCTATTCATTTTCTCTTTTCCTTTCCTTACATTTTTTTAATCACAGTATTTATTTTTCTCATTTTTTAAAATCATTTTCATACTTTAATTGTTTTTGCTTTTGTGGAGCACCTTGTGATTTTTATCTTGAGGGTGCTATATAAAAGATCATTTTCTTTCTTTCTTTCTTTCTTTCTTTCTTTCTTTCTTTCTTTCTTTCTTTCTTTCTTTCTTTCTTTCTTTCTTTCTTTCTTTCTTTCTTTCTTTCTTTCTTTCTTTCTTTCTTTCTTTCTTTCTTTCTTTCTTTCTTTCTAAAAGTGACAGACACCTATAGAAATCTGGGTCTGTATTTGGCACCTTCTGGAGTTCTGGAACCCCCAAGGCGCTTTACCACACAGTCAGTCGTTCACCCATTCACACAAACATTCACACCCTGGTGGTGATAACTACATTGTAGCCACAGCTGCCCTGGGGCACACTGGCAGAGGTGAGGCTGCCGTACACAGGTGCCACTGGTCACTCGGACCACCACCAGCAGGCCAGTTGGGTTAAGTGTCTTCCCCAAGGACACAACAACAGCGACTGACTGAGCGGGGCTCAAACCTGCAACCTTCCGATTACAGGGCAAGCACTTAACTCCTGTGCCACCATCGCACATGTTTACATTATAAAATCATAATATGAAGTCTATGTAGTCTACCGCATTGTGTTATCGTACAGCACTGGATGGTGCTACTGTGCATCATGTCATATGATTTATTGAACTGTATTGTATCATTGCACGGTATTGCATGTATTTAGTTGAATGACATTTGTCTTTCTCTTTTTTTGTATCTCATCACTGTGCTCCATTGTGTCGTATTGTGTTGTATTACATCATTATTGTGTCATGGACACATTCTGACTTTTGATCTGACCAAGAAGGAGGTTGAATGAATCAAATATATTGTATTAGTTCCCAATCATCACAACAAAAGTCAGCTAATCAGCACTGTAAAATTAGATTTCATAAATTTATCCTACAGTGTTGTTTGCTATTTTCACAGTTTCTGTGTTGCAGCCCTCTGAAAGCCTCTGTGCTATTTTTTAAATTTTATTGGAGTATGAACACACACAAATCCATCAGCTAGCGTTTCTCCTACTTTTAGACACATTTGCTCCTGTATGTTAGGATGGATGTGTCCCTCTTGGACCATCATTATGAAACCTTGAGTTCAGCAGTTTGTTCATAAACATTTGGTCTTTTAAAGCTGGTTAAACATGAGCAGAGAATCAGATTAGCTATTTAGAATTAGGATTCAGCTGCAGCTCAGAGGACTTCATGCTCCAGTGTAAGTTTGGTCATCAACAATTTCTGGCATTGAAGACTTAAAAAATGAATGAAGTCATGTCAGGAGGCAGTCCCTGATCCAGACAGACAGATGAAAATAGTAAACTTCTAGCAAAAGGTAAAGGCGTTGCTCCGGAAAACCTCCAAATATCAAATGAAACGGGAAGTAGGTGGAGGCGATAAGGAGAAATCGAGTTTTAGAAGTCATTAATGATAACACCCTGCCTCTGGAAATGAAGCATGGACACAAAAATCAAAACAAACTTAACCCGACAGGGAAACCTAAACCTGAGGCAAGAAAGATTAGTTTGCAGTTTCATAATTAAATAAATACTTATCACATTTTCAATATGACATTGAGTCAATACATCTTTAAATTATTTGTGCAAATAGGAGGTTTGAGTCCACAAAGTCCTATTTTCCACTCCCAGCTTACCTCTTGGAGTCTCAAATGGTCATGGAAAGCATTACACATAATCAGCTGATGATTTGCATCAGAAAACAGCCATCTGCTGAGAGTCATTAGGGCTTTAGTAACTCACGTTGGCTAATTGGTTTTTTAAATGTGTTTGTAGCCAGGGACAGTAAGTGCCATGGACTACGGTCTGGATCGAAGAACAGATCCTAACGCAGATGAGGTAACAGGTGAGTCTCTGCATGGAAATAATTTTTCTCAGTCAGCTTATATTTGTTAAGAGCTTTAATGCATGAATGTAGCTGCTGTAAATGATATTTGCTTTCTATTTCAGGCTAACTCTGGCTCTCATTTGTACTGATCTATTTGCTTTGCTTCTTTCTTCTCTTCTGCAGGAACTTACTGTGACTCATATCTTCTATTCGTTCATTTCAACTGATCACATATGTTAGCACGCACCACCAGCAACCCAAGTTTGTGCCATAAAATCAGTTATTAATTCTGAAACAGAAATTCCCATCAAAAATATCTGCCTTTTCCAGCAACTTTAACTCTAAAGGTCTGAAACTCGCGAGTCTCCTTAAAAACAATCTCTGCAAACAAAGAACAGAATATGTTACAATTTCACATCAGATTTACATATTTCATTGCATAATGACTTGAGATCTGTAATTTAATACATGCATTTTTTTATCTCCAGACGCAAACGTCTGACTACTATGAGAGAATTGTAAGTGAGGCTTTTTTACTTCTGCTTTTATTCCTGCCTCTTTCTGCTTTGTTTAGCCAAGTTGCCTGTTCTGCTACCGTGTCTCCTCTCATTTTCTGTAGATGATCTTCACCCAGCAGGCCATCATGAGGCCCAGAGTCAAGTCTTCTGTGTCCATTGGCGCGTAAGGCAGTCGTACACTCATATCACCTTCTCTTCAGTATCTGTGACAAAACAGTTGCATTTCCTCTTTTTATGAAGTACATGCATCTGCTGTCTTCCAAAATACAATTTGCTTTACTCTGTTTTCCCCCAAGCAACCCTGTACTGTTTTAAAACTAAACTGTCGTGTTCTGTGTCCTTGTAGCCCCCAGCCCTTTTTGTCCCCAGCTCCCTCCAGGTTTTCCTCATGTTTTCTGTCTCCCCACTGTAGTTTCTATAGGTTTATTATTTCAGTTCCTTAGTCTCCTTTAGTGTTTGTGTGTGTGTGTTCCCTTCCCCAGTATGGTCTGGTTTCCTTCCCTGCTCCGTTCTGCTCCTCCTCTCTGTTATTTGTTTCACCTGTGCCCAGTTCCCCACGCACCTGTTCCTCGTCTCCTGTCTTCTATCACCCCAGCCCTCTGTATATAACCCTGTCTGTGTCTCCAGTGTTTGTCGGTTCATTGTCTTATGTCAGCGTTGCTTTGTCCTCTACAGATTTATAGTTCCTGGCTCATGAGTGAGCTTTTGGTTTTTCGTCTATAGAACTTTAGATATTCTTTTGCTTAGAGACCTACAGTCTTGGTTTTCCTAATAAAAGGATTTTTTATTTTATTTTAAATGACCTCTCCAGCCTTCAGTACTGTGGTATTCTGCGTTTTGGGTCCAACCCCCCTGTGCTCGCAGTGACACAAACACATTCAAGTCAAAAATACAATCTGAGTGGCAAAAATGGCCAAAGAAAGAGGACAGTCATGCTGTATTCCTTGGCAGAGTTTAATAGTTTTGGGCTAAAGAGATTGTTTTTTTTTCTCTTTAATTATTCTCCCAGGTTGGCATTAACAACGTCTTAGCTGTCAGAGAAATTAAGCTTTGCATCCATCACTTAGCCTAAAATTTGTTCTTGTCTATTTTCAGTTTGTGCAAAAAAGCCTGGTTGTGGCTTTGTGCACTGGTCGATTTACAGCTTCCACTTCTGCTTGTGCTCAAGGCCTGTGTGATGTAAACATGTTCGTCTCCCAACCATCTGCAGTCCAGAATTTCTTAGCAAAATGAGCGCTCTAACAAAGCATGTACTTCAGTTAGCCTCCTGGTTGAATAATGTGCAGGAGAAAATCATAGTTCCCCTGTGCTTTATTTAAAGAGGAAAACGACCTCAGGCCAATTGCTTTCCCTTACAAGAGACATTTCCCCACAGCTGAGATCCTATTAGTTTGCCTGCACAGATGCAGCTTTCACAAATGGGTTCCCAGAATAACCACTGCGTCTCTGATCAGTGGGACTCTGACCCATCCTATACAGCTTAATTCAACTGTAACTATGTTTTTTACCCATTATAAACAAAAAATGATGTTTTTGGCTCTCTGTATGTGTTTTCTTCACCTTTAGTGTTAGTATAATGTCTTGTGAAACACTGGATGAATTTTATAGAAGCTCTAAGAAAGTTATCAATGATTGTAATTAGGGCTGCACCATATTAGGAAAACCTGCGATATTCGATAACAGAGCTTAATATTGCGATATCGATATTACTCACGATAAATGAACAAATACTAAAGTATGTAGTGTTGATGTCATCTGGCGTGTGACGTCTGCTCTGGGTTCAAAGCAAACAAAAACTAATGCATGAATTCCATTAAAACATAACATTTTTATTGCAAAAATATGCAGCTGCACCTGCTACTGTATTAGCAGCAAAACAACAAACTACATGCATGCAGTTTCTCAGTGACTTTAAAACATCACCTCCACCATAAAACTTTTTCTGATGCTCCAAATACAGAAAAAAACATCACTTACCAGGGTTTTTTTAATAAATAAAATCAGAAAATAAGTTTAAATGTTAAATAATAGTTAAATCACTTAAATGCAACAGCAAATTCTCTCATTGCTACTGAACATTTTCTCCACTTATGTGGTTATGATACAAGGCTGTTGCTGCTATTGGGAAGTGAACTGTGCTGGGCCAAACTAGGAGAAAGTTAAGATTTTCTGAGGGAAAGAGAAAAACAATTGTTTACCTTTCAGAAGAGGAACTGGCAAAAAATCTCCATGGAAAATATGTGAAAACGTTTGGTTTTAACCCCAAATTGAACAAGTTTACCTAGAGCTTAAAAAGCAGCTCAGATGGTGAAACTGCAACTATGATTCTGATAACAAGCTAACAAATTGAACTAGCTCCTCTAAGACAACCGGGTAGCAGAGCTTCTGACTGACAGTTTATGTGCAGCAGCAAATTAACTATCCTGATTAACAAGGTTAAAAAGCTTATAAATGAAAAATCACTTTGATGTGTGGGGGAACTTTTCCAGGCCCTCTTTAGCAGGGTGGGACTGGGAGGAGGGTGCTGTAGCCTTTTAACTGGAAGCTAACCGGAGCCACCACCTGGTGGAACACTAGCGACATGGAGGGAGGTGGGTTGGTTCACCGGCATGTGTCGGAGTCAGCCCGGTTATTATCAACTGCTTAACGACACCAAGCGGACTCGCGTTCACGTTTGAAAGCAGCGCTGAATCCAGAAACCTCAGCACAAAGTGCGTTCGTTGCTCTGAGCCAGCATGACGAACAAGGGAACGGCACCGCTAACTCAGTTTGGTTGTTGCTTTCCATCCTAAGGGTCTACGTAGGGGGCGGGCGTATTACGTGAACAGACCCATCTGATTGGCCGCATATCAGAAGGGCTACATTTGATTGGTCAAATAATACTTCCGTGTAAAAAACAGAGCTGGTTTACAAAAAGGTGATGTATGACACGGATGGAAATGTTTGAACCAAACATTTATCGACGTTTTTGACGTGCTTTGCGATGGGCCTATCGCACGTCCTGTTATCGCGATGACGATAATTTTTCGATATATTGTGCAGCCCTAATTGTATTCATGCTTTTATCACCTCCCGACTGGATTACGCAAATTCCATGTTTATTTGGTGTACCAGCCTCCTTTCTTAACAGGCTTCAGGTGGTACAGAATGCGGCAGTCAGGTTTCTGACGAACACTTCTAGATGTGACCCTATCACACCTGTACTGGCGCGCTCCATTGGCTACCCCTAAACTTCGGAGTGAAGTTTAAAATGCTGATCTTTGTTTTTAAGGCCCCGAATGGTCTGGCACCGGATTACCTATCTGACCTTGTGACTCGCTATGTGCCAAACCGGGCATTGAGATCTGCCGATTGCTTGCTGCTTCATGTTCCCACAATGAAATACAAAACACAGGGGCAGCGTTCTTTTGTCTATGCTGCTCCATCTTGGAATGTTCTTCCTCTCTCAGTGAGGCAGGCACCATCCCTCCCCCGTTTCAAGTCACTGCTTGAGGCCCACTTTTACAATCAGGCATTTTAAAACCCTTGGCTTTTATTAATTATTTTTATTATGTATTCTTTTATTGACTGTGATTTTACTACTTTCTTGTTTACTTTTATTATTGATTGTGTTTTTGTTTTTATGTTGTGTTTTACTTTTTATCTGTACAGCACTTTGGTCGGCTGCCATGCTGTTTTTAAAGATTGTTACAGCTGTTGCTGATGTCCCAGAAAACTGACTCTGCAGAGGACAATCATCGCTTTGCCTCCTCCTCCTACCTGCACAGCTGCACTCACTTGGGCTGATCACCTCCTGAGCAGCATAAAAGGGAGAGCTGCCAGGAGGAAGAGAGAGAGAGAGAGTATGGAAAACCGGAGCGGAAACAAAACAACTAATCACTTTTGGGTTGACTGTCATTTTTTTGGGAAAGCTGGTTTTGAACGGATAACGTTATCTTTTCATTTGCTGTATGAGAGCTTGGCTTGAGTGTGGCAGGTTACGAAGTGGTGGTAGTATTGTTTTTTTTTTTTTTTTTTGGTTGGGAGGGGGACGTTGTGGGAGCACCGGCCGACGGCCTGTATAGGCCCGGTAATACGGTGTGTCCTTGCATCGGTCCTCTTTTCTTCCTGGTGTTCTAGCCTGTGTTCTTGTTATGCCTTCTGTGTCAGGGGGTAGCGAGAGGGACAAGTTGGGGAAACGGGATGGATCGGACTCTCCTCTTGAGAAAGAAGGAGGGAGAGGGAATAAAATGGTGAAATCAATCACGGAATTTAAAGTGGTTTTCAAACTTAAAGAGCAATCTGGAGAAGGATTCAGGGCTTTGAATCCGTTAAAACTTGTGGAATCTTTGAGGTGTATTGAGCCTGAAAGCTCAAACTCTTCTGAATGGGGCACTTTTGGTGTTTTGTGCAACTGCAGATCAGTTGGTTAAGGCTCAGAAAGTGGGGAAATTATGTGGGGGAAAAAAGTGGAAGTTTCTGTTCCATAGCAAAGGGAGGTGGTTCGAGATGTAATTTACGGTGTGTGTGTGCTGAGATGATGGAAAAAGAACTCAGGGAAAATATTAATGGTGGAGTGGTAGTGGAAGTAAGATGCTTTAAAGCTCGTGATGGTGGTAATCCCAGTTCTCCAGTTTTGATTTCATTTAAAGGGACTGTTTTACCGACGAGAGTGTTCATTGGCTTTTTTGTCATACCAGGTAAGGGCCTTTATAAGACCTCCGATGAGGTGCTTTAAATGCCAACGCTTCGGTCATATGGCAGCTGCCTGTAAAGGTGTCAGAAAATGTGCGAAATGTGGAGGTGGTCATGATATATCTACTTGTGCAGATTCTGTTCCGAAATGCTGCAACTGTGGGGGAAGTCACACGGTGTCATCTAAAGATTGCACACATTTTATGAAAGCTAAACAGGTCCAAACGGTTAAGGAACGGAACAACATCTCATATGCTGATGCTTTGAAAAGGGTGGAAGGTGGGGTTCATCCTGTCAATGTTGGTGTTGCTATGGATGTGCCTTTGTTGTCACAGCAGACATTGAATGTTCCTAGAGGTCATGACTGTTTTGTGGTCCACAAGGAGGCTTTTCTGGCCTTTATGGTTGATGTGATGTATGGGATTAGGGAGAAAAGGTCTAGGTCTGATATCATTAAGTTTGTTACTGAGGCTCCCCAGACACTACATGAGTTCATGAGGATGAGTCGGGTGGCTGAAGTTGAGAGGGAAATAGGGGTCGCAGAAGGGATTGTTCTAGATGATGGTGACTTCATTGATGATGATGATGATGGTGCCTAGACTTTGAGATATGGTTTGTATTTGGCAGTGGAATGCAAGAAGTCTTACTGCAAATGGACAAGAGTTTAAAAAGTTTGTTTGGGACTTTCAGCCGAAACCAGATTTTATTTGTGTCCAAGAAACTTGGTTTAAGCCGAATCTTGATTTTGTCATTCCAGGTTATGTGCGTCTCCGTAAGGATAGACTGAGTAGGTCAGGTGGTGGGTGTGCCACATTTATAAAATTAGGTATCCAATATAAATGCTGTGAGTGGGAGGGGTCATTCGAATGTATAATTTCTGAAGTGTGGTCTAATGAAGGTAGGATATTTTTAGTCAATTGTTATAATCCCTGTAAACCTTTAGTTTTGGCCAAGTTTGAGGATATTTTTAGTAAGATAGGATCATCTGCAATTTGGGTGAGAGATTTTAATGCTCATAATCCGTTGTGGGGGAGCCAGGGCAAAGATTCTAATGGGGCTGTGATCGAAGAATTTTTGGATATTGCAAATTTCATAGTTATGAATGTCTGTGTACCAACTTGTTTTGACCTCAGTTCCGGTAAAGGATCTTATTTGGATATTGCTTTTGCCTCTCCTGGATTGGCGTGGGTCAGGGACTGGAAAGTATTGAGGGAGGACTCACTGGGCAGTGATCTCTTTCCTGTACTCAGCCACTTTGGTAGATCAGTTTTTGTAGATAGTGGGGAGAAAATTGCCAGGTTTAATTTCTCTCTGGCGGATTGGCCTTGGTTTAGTGAGGGCACGGCAGTTGGTGCAGATGAGGTTGTTGATAATTCAGTGGATGAAATGTGTGAGTCTTTGACAGCAATGAAAATGAAAGTTGCTTCTGAGACAATTCCCTATAGGAGAAATCCTGGGAGTAGAGCTATTGTTCCCTGGTGGAATAAAGAGTGTGAGAATGTTGTAAAAAAAAAAAACGAAAGCTGGCTTTTGCTAAGCTGCGTAAATATCCCACTCTGGAAAATGTTATTGATTTTAAGAGATGCAGGGCAATGGCAAGAAGAACTATAAAGGCAGAAAAGAAAAAGTGCTGGAGAAAGTTTTGTAGTACTCTGGATCCAGAGACTCCTGTTCAACAGTTGTGGAGGAGCATTGTATGTCTGGTAAATCTGTGAGTTCAGCAATGCCAGTTCTTGGTGACGGGCAGCGGATAGCTGTTAATAGCAAAGAGAAAGCAGACATGTGTGTTGAGGTTTTTCAGGATGTTCATATCTCAGAGTTCTTGGGTGAAGAAGTGCTAAAGTTACGAGAGGTTACGTTGTCAGAAAATGTCTAAATTGGCAGGAGCAGCAGGAACGGAAAATGAGTATAACTTGTTTTTTTCCTGCAAGGAGTTCAAAGTCAAAGTTGTTTTTATTGTCATTTCTACCACATGTGCAGGACATACAGAGAAACGAAATTGAGTTTCAGTGCACACGATTCAGAGATCAGACATACATGGGCAAGACACATGACAAGAATTGGTGACTGCGGTCATTCGCAACATGAGTCGCGCTACCTTAAGGAAGGATGCTATTAAGGCAGGTGCTAATACTACGCCAGGGCAGGATGGGATTTGTTACAAGTTGCTTCAACATCTTGATGATGAAACGATATGTGAAATGTTGTTATTGCTGTGTTTTTAGATATTGAAAAGGCTTATGATAGTTTGTGGAAAGAAGGTTTACTTCTTAAGTTGTATGATGCTGGATTTCATGGTAGGATGTTTCATTGGATTAAAAGTTTTCTTAATGATAGATCAATTCAGGTGAGTGTAGGAAATGTTTTGTCAGAATCTGCAGTGGTGGAAAACGGTACTCCGCAAGGGGCAGTTTTAAGTCCAGTTGTGTTTAATGTAATGATTAATAACATTTTTGAAAAAGCTGATGGTAGGTTTGATAAATCTCTATTTGCTGATGATGGTGCCATCTGGAGATGTGGGAGGAATTTTGAGCATTTGTTTTCTCAGCCTCAGAAGGCTTTAGATCAAATTGTGCAGTGGGCAAATAACTGGGGATTCAAGTTATCTATAGTAAAGAGTAAATTTATGATCTTTGGCTTTAAAAGGAAAATCCCGTCTATAAATATTCCTATATATGGCTCTGTGATTGAAAAGGTTAAAGTTTTAAAATTTTTGGGTTTGTGGTTTGACGAGAAATTGCTCTGGAAAACACATGTAGAATGGTTAGTTAGCAAATGTGAAAAGGTAATGTCATGAGGAGTTTGTCGGGTGGTAGCTGGGGAGCGGAGAGGAGTACTTTACAGTTGATCTATAAGGCTATGATTAGGCCTGTTTTGGATTATGGATGTGTGGTTTTTGGGAAAGCTTCTAAATCTGTGTAGTGTAAATTGGATTATGTGCAGTCTTAAGGCCCTTAGAATCTGTAGCGGAGCATTTAGATCTACATCAATTCCAGCATTGCTGGATGAAATGGGGGAGTACCCTTTGAAAATGAGGAGGGAAAAACTAGGGGTTCATCATTGGACTAGACTGGCCGGGCTTGGTGGCAGCTTGGCGTCTAATTGTCTCAGAGATGATTGTTGGGGATCCAGTGGGGTTCAGGATGAGGATACTTTCCTAAATCATGTTGTAAAACTAGTACATCTCCTATGTCTACAAAAGGATATGGTGGTGGGGTTAGTGTGGTTTCCAATACCGTTTTGGCAATACCTGAGCCGGACGTTGTTTTGGACTTACTAGGATTGGAAAAAGCAGTTGCCATTAGACTGTTAGAAATGTATTTAAGTGAGCAAAAGGATGCTGTCCAGATTTATACTGATGGATATAAAGAAATTACATTTCATAGAGCTGGTTTTGGGGTTTATATTGTCGAGCCGCATGCTAGATAATGTGTTCATGTGACAGATAATTTGTCTGTTTATTCTGTTGAGCATTTGGCTATTTTTTGGGCGATAAGGTGGGTAGTGGAGCATAGAAGAAGAAGAAGAAAATATCATTTCTATAGCGCCTCTCAAGATAAAAATCACGAGGCGCTTCACAAAAACAAAAAATGTAAAAATATTAAAAAAAAAACATTTAGAAAATGTTTAAAAATATATTTAAAATGAGCAAAAATAGACAATTGTGATTAAAAGATGTTAAGAAAGAGAGAGAGTGAATAGGAAAGAGGGAAATCAGTGGATCCTGAGGAAGTTGGAATGGGTGGGGAGAGCAGAATAAAGAGAGAGTGGTGAAGAAGGTCATACAAAAGCCAGCTTGAACAAGTGAGTCTTCAGCTGCTTTTTAAAGGAGTTCACTGAGTCCACTGATCTCAGCCTCAGGGGGAGAGAGTTCCAGAGTCTGGGGGCCACAGCAGCAAATGATCTGTCACCTTTGGTCTTTAGCCTGGTGCTGCACAACCAGTAGGCTTTGATCACTGGACCTCAGGGACCTGCTGGGGGTGTAGGGACTAAGAAGATCACCAATGTAAGATGGTGCTTGTCCATGTAAGGCCCTATAGACCAGAACCAGGATCTTGAAATGAACCCTGAAGTTGACTGGCAGCCAGTGAAGCTGGAGGAGAAGCGGGGTGATGTGGGTGTGTTTGGAGGACTTGGTCAGAAGCCGAGTACAGGCATTCTGGACCACCTGTAGACGGTTCAGAGAGGTTCTGCTCAGACACGTGAAAAGAGAGTTACAGAAGTCTAAGCGTGAGGAGATGAAGGTGTGGATAACTGTCTCAAGTTAAGAGCGGGACAGAATGGGACTCAGCTTAGCAATGTTCCTGAGATGGAAGAAGGAAGAGCGAACAAGAGAACTGACATGAGAATTCAGGGTGAGAGCTGGGTCAAAGGTCACCCCAAGATTCCTGACAGAAGGTTTGGTGTGAGAAGCAAGCTGACCACGAGAGTCTCTGACTTTGGGAACCAGCTTGTCTTTGGGTAATTTGCGACTGTGTTCTTGCAGTTACTCAAAAAGGAAGTGGAAGATCCTTTAGGTTTTTCCATTTTCTGCAACTGTAATTGTTGATCATGTTGCTTCAGTTGCAATGAGTTCTATGTATTTTATTTGGCTTGTGATGAAAGCATACATATGTTAACAATAAATAATATGTTTCTGTCTCGCAGACTGGTGAAACACTGTGCCACGTATATTGGTCATGACCCTTTCCTCTCAGCGTGTCTTCCCAGCAACCCCTGGCTAACGGATGATACCACGTACTGGAATCTGAACATGTCCAAGTGAGGCTTTTACTAACTGAAGAGTGACAAATATTAAGCGTTATCAATTATTTGGCTGACTTTCTTCCTTTGTTTCTGTCTCAGTGTGGAAACACCTACTAAGATGCGGGTGGAGAGGTGGACGTTCAGCTTTAAAGAGCTGCTCTCAGACCCTCGAGGACGAGATGACTTCAGACTCTTCCTGAAGAAAGAGTTCAGCGGTATAGCGGCACACATTTGAATGAAATCTATTCATTTGGGATTGACATTTTGTAAACCTTTGATTAAATGTTCAATTTGTCTGTTCTGATTTTTCTAGGCGAGAACTTGGCTTTCTGGGAAGGTTGTGAGGATTTGAAGTGGGGAACCGCTGCTACAATGAAGGAGAAAGCAGAGCAGATCTACAAGTAGTGCTTTTATAGCTTATTTTTAAAGAATGTAGTTGTCTTTCATCATGAATATAGTTTGTGGTAGAAAGTATCAATGTTAATCAGCTTAAGTAAATTTATTTCTCTTCTTAACATTTTTCCAACTCTTTATCACTCTTAACTGTGATTTTAAAAATAAGTTATTTGGGGATTAGCAAATAGTTTTAATTCATATTTGGCTTTTAGGTAAACTATAGGAAAGAGGAAAGCAAAAAACAACTGTGTTTTTGTCTATTGGGAATTATTTTTGATCAAATGAAGAAAGTCGATCAGATTTGTCATTTGGAATTTCTGTGATGAAGATTTAATGCTCAGTTTTTAAGCATAAAATAACACAGGATTCCTTTCATGTCGTATTTATTAAACTTAAATTCAGTATCTAGCAAAACATTTAAATCTAAAAAAAGCACAGAAATCCTAAAAAAAATCACAGAAAATATGTAAATGAATGGAATACTAAACATATGGAAACACGGTGTGCACATTTTAAAGGCCCTTCTTCATTTCTTTCACCGTTTCCAGGACTTTTCTGGCCCGTGGTGCTCCACGATGGATCAACATAGATGGGAAAACGATGGAAGTCACCATGAAGGGCCTAAAACACCCACATAGATATGTTCTGGATGCGGCACAAACTCACATCTACATGCTAATGAAGAAGGTTAGTAAACACATCAGTAGTTTTCCCAGAAACTCATTAAAAATATGTTTATTTCATAATGTGGTTGTGTTTATTTTGCAGGATTCATATGGTCGGTACCTGAAGTCTCCAGTCTTTAAGGACACCGTGAAGAAGGCCATCAGACCTGAAGAGCACAAATTCAAGTAAACTAATAACACTTAAATAGGTCATGCTTAGGGGTGTCGACCTACCATTGTTATCAGCCAATACTGGCATTAAAGGTATAGCAATAGATGTTTCTGAATTTCAGGAAACAACCTCCCTCTCCATGTTGGGCAACACTCTCCCAGCGCCTGTTTACAAGTAGCTGCCGGCCGTGATGTGTAATAAGAGGTTCTAAAAATAGCATGCAGAACGTTAGCTTAACTCTCGAGCAGAAAACCGGCAACAGCGGCGTCTGTGGGGAGCGGACTGGACCGCGTTAGCCTCTTCCTGATTTCCATGAGAGTGCGGGGGTGCACAGAGTACGCATGCGCAGGAAGTGAAAACTAACCCAGGATTGGCTTCACCAGAAATTGACATTTTTGCGGACCAATGTTTGACGTTATCCACCCGGAAGAAAAACATCTATTGCTATACCTTTACATTGGAAAATTAGAAATGATCGGTATCGGTTTTTACCCTTTTAATGACGCAACTTTTACACACCATGCACATGTTATACATCAAACTCTTCAGCTACATCTCTCTCAGATGATCAAAATATGATAGATCTGAGAAAAGTGTTTGAGATATTTTAGTTTGTGTGTTGCAACGGGCCTAACTTAAAATGTAGCTGTAGCTATATAGTTGTGTCATTGTCATATTTTGCACGGATACTGTTTGAAGGAATATTCCATTCTTAGTAAAATTTAGTTTGTTGCCATATTCCTAAGAATTAGATAAGTGGATAAAAGCATTTTGCAACCAGCCCAGTCATTCTGCAAATCTAAGTGCTTTGTTAGCTTTAGCTTAGCATAAACAATGTAAGTGAATGGTACAACCAGCTTTTTTAATAAGGTTCATTTATTTCTTTATTGAACTTGTAAATCAATAGACAAATTAAAATATTCAAAAAGTATTCAAAAAGAAACCCATACATATGTATATGCATATATGTATGCAGAACATGTTCAATAGGAAGGGAAAGAAGCTCTGGTAGCTTATATAGTCCCCCCCAAATCAAATTTCAAGGAAGATAAAAACAAAAACATTCTTTTCTCTACACTGAGTGTCTAGCCATTTTCTTTTAACATGTTTTATCCTTAATCAAACAAACAAAATTTACATTTGTTTATGTTCCCCCCCCCTCCAATATTCACAGCTCCCAGTTCACCAACAATAGACAATTACAGTCAAATGCAACACCCTTACAACTTTTCCTTCTCCTCCATGTAATTAATTAGTATAATTTTTTATACTTATCTTTAAACTTATGCAATGAGGGACTTTGCTTTACATCCCCACTTGGCTTATTCCAAACTTTTACACCCGTAACAGAAATACAAAATGACTTTAATGTTGTTCTAAAATATGTATGCCTAAAGTTATGTTTGTATCTGAAATTATATATGTTATCTCATTTTATAAATAGCATTAATAATTTTTTTGGTAATAATTTCCCATGCACTTTATGCATGAACATCGCTGTATATAGTTGAAGTAAATCTTTAAATTTTAGTATTTTTGAATATATAAGTAACGGATTAGTGTGTTCTCTAAATCTAACATTGTGAAAGACTCTCAGGAGTCTTTTCTGTATGATAGACAAGGGTACAATAGATGTTTTATGTGTTACCCCATACCTCTACACAGTAAATAAGATAGGGATAAATCAATGAATAATAAATGACATGGAGCGATTTATAATCCAAGTACTGTCGAGCTTTATTCATAATGAAGATGGTTCTTGCAACCTTATTATATACAGGTGCTGGCCAGTAAATTAGAATATCATCAAAAGGTTGAAAATATTTCAGTAATTCCATTCAAAACGTGAAACTTGTACATTATATTCATGCAATGCACACAGACCAATGTATTTCCAATGTTCATTACATTTAAATTTGATATTCATAAGTGACAACTAATGAAAACTCCAAATTTGGTATCTCAAAAAATTAGAATATTCTGAAAAGGCTGAATATAGAAGACACCTGCTGCCACTCTAATCAGCTGATTTACTCAAAACACCTGCAAAGGCCTTTAAAAGGTCCCTCAGTCTTGTTTTGAAGGCACCACAATCATGGGGAAGACTTCTGACTTAACAGCTGTCCAAAAGACAATCATTGACACCTTGCACAAGGAGGGCAAGACACAAAAGGTGATTGCTAAAGAAGCTGGCTGTTCGCAGAGCTCTGTGTCCAAGCACATTAACAGACAGGCGAAGGGACCGAAAAAATGTGGTAGAAAAAAGTGTACAAGCTCTAGGGATAACCGCACCCTGCAGAGAATTGTGACGACAAACCCATTCAAAAATGTGGGGGAGATCCACAAAGAGTGGACTGCAGCTGGAGTCAGCGCTTCAAGAACCACCACGAGGAGACTCATGAAAGACATGGGATTCAGGTGTCGCATTCCGTGTGTCAAGCCACTCTTGAACAAGAAACAGCGCAAGAAGCGTCTCGCCTGGGCCAAGGACAAAAAGGACTGGACTGATGCTGAGTGGTCCAAAGTTATGTTTTCTGATGAAAGCAAGTTCTGCATTTCCTTTGGAAATCAAGGACCCAGAGTCTGGAGGAAGAGCGGAGAAGCACAGAATCCACGTTGCATGAGGTCCAGTGTAAAGTTTCCATCGTCAGTGATGGTGTGGGGTGCCATGTCATCTGCCGGTGTTGGCCCACTCTGTTTCCTGAGGTCCAGGGTCAATGCAGCCGTCTACCAGGAAGTTTTAGAGCACTTCATGCTTCCTGCTGCTGACCAACTTTATGGGGATGCAGACTTCACCTTTCAACAGGACTTGGCACCTGCACACAGTGCCAAAACCACCAGCACCTGGTTCAAGGACCATGGTATCCCTGTCCTTGATTGGCCAGCAAACTCGCCTGACCTTAACCCCATAGAAAATCTATGGGGTATTGTGAAGCGGAGGATGCAATACGCTAGACCCAACAATGCAGAGGAGCTGAAGACGACTATCAGAGCAACCTGGGCTCTCATAACACCTGAGCAGTGCCACAGACTGATCGAGTCCATGCCACGCCGCATTACTGCAGTTATTGAGGCAAAAGGAGCCCCGACTAAGTATTGAGTGCTATACATGCACATTCTTTTCATGTTCATTCTTTTCAGTTGGCCAACATTAGAGAAACAAACATTTTTTCATTGGCCTTTAGAATATTCTAATTTTCTGAGATACCAGATTTGATGTTTTCATTGGTTGTCACCTATAAATATCAAAATTAAACGTAATAAACATCGGAAATACATTGGTCTGTGTGCATTGCATGAATATAATGTACAAGTTTCACGTTTTGAATGGAATTACTGAAATATTTTCAACCTTTTGATGATATTCTAATTTACTGGCCAGCACCTGTACATGTTTAATTTGTGGTTTCCAACTTCATTTATTATCAATTATTATACCAAGAAACTTATGTTTTTTTACTTGCTTAATTTCACATCCATCTATTTGCAGCCTAACCTCAGTTTTATTAGCCATACCAAACAGCATACATTTTGTTTTTGCTATATTTAATGTAAGCTTATTTTCAATAAACCACTCTTAAATGCCGCACATTTCAATTTGGACCATCCTTTCTAAGTCGCTAATATTATCTCCTGCACAGAAAATAGTGGTATCATCGGCAAACAAAACAAATGTCAGTGTATTTGTTACATTACTCAAATCATTAACATATAATAAAAATAACTTTGGACCCAACACAGACCCCTGTGGTACTCCACAAACAATGTCCAACCATGAAGATGAACATTCTCCAAACTTCACAAACTGTACTCAATACTGATCCTAAATTTTCTTAGTGACGTCAATAATCATATCCACTGCAAAGAAAAAAATAGGTGACATAAAGGAATTACAGGAGCCGATTTAGACTTGGGACTACATTATTGCAAAGCCACTGCTGCAAGGTGAAAGGACATGACGCGCCGACCCCAAAAGACACCTACTTCTGCAAACTCAAATGCGTCAAACGAGTCAAAGGCTTGGGGATTCCTCCAACAAAACACGTTAGCAGTCAATGTCATTACTGAGTAATCTTAATGACTTTTTCACATGAAATGCTAGGTGTTACCATTCACTTACAATGTTTATGCTAAGATGAAGCTAACAAAATACTGTCAGATTAAGAGAATGACTGGGCTAATTACAAAATGGGGGAGAGGGATATATAATTTAAAAAATTAAAAGTTACGCAATATCAGTTTAATAGAAATCAGTAAAAGACCAGATATCAGACATCCATAGTCATGGTGAAATGTTATTCCTAAAAAGCTAAAGTTCTCTGTTAAACACATTCAGTTACATTATGCTTCATTTCACTCAGTGTTTCTCTGTCCTTTGTTTCCTTTTTTAAAAAAACATTTCCTCAGTGATGCCCAGTTGGAGCAGAACGCCAGGAACAGACGTCCCAGTCTCAGCCCCATCATCCTCCGGCAGCAGGAGCAGGAACTAAGGGCCAAGATGGCCGCCAACGCTCCCGTTGACATCACACAGGTCATGAGCAAACTCAGCAAGCAGGGGAAGGACGTCCCCCCTCGTCCTGTTAATAAATGAACACAAAGTCAACTAGGATCAGGATTAGCCTTTAATGTTTAGTAATAACAGGGTATTAATATTTTAGTTTGAAATGAAATATATTAATCATTTTATCCCAACAGTTCTTCTGTATTCGTTTCATCCACAAAATGTTAAAAAATAGAAGTTATTAAGTCTGTAAAATATTGAGCTGTAACTTGAGGACAGGGGACTTGGAGTTAAAGATAGGCATTAAATGAAGAAAAAATAATGAGCTTAGACTTTATTTCTGCTATTAGATGAAAAGATTAATAATGCAATTTACCATTTTGGTCCGCTGTGAGAGCTTTGACAGGTTTTTTTGTTGGTGTTTTTTTTTATTGAATTAGTGATTAGAGTTAAATCGTGTTGGTAACACTTTACAGTAAGGGTCCCTCTATAAAATGTTACTTAGGCCATTATTAAGCATCAGTAAACTATTAAAGAAGAAGAAAATATAATTTCTATAGCATCTCTCAAGATAAAAATCATGAGGTGCTTCACAAAAACAAAAAATGTAAAAATATAAAAAAGAATTAAGAAAATGGTTAAAATATATTTAAAATGAGCAAAAAATAGACAATTGTGGAAAAAAATGTAAAGAAAGAGAGAGAGTGACTAGGAAAGAGGCAAATCAGTGGATCCTGAGGAAGGTTGAATAGGTGGGGAGAGCAGAATAAAGAGAGTGGTGAAGAAGATCATACAAAAGCCAGCCTGAACAAGTGAGTCTTCAGCTGTTTTTTAAAGGAGTCCACTAAGTCCACTGATCTCAGGCTCGGGGGAGAGAGTTCCAGAGTCTGGGGGCCACAGCAGCAAATGATCTGTCACCTTTGGTCTTTAGCCTGGTGCATTGCACAACTAGTAGGCTTTGATCACTGGACCTCAGGGACCTGCTGGTGGTGTAGGGACTAAGAAGATCACCAATGTAAGATGGTGCTTGTCCATGTAAGGCCCTATAGACCAGAACCAGGATCTTGAAATGAACCCTGACATTGACTGGAAGCCAATGAAGCTGGAGGAGAAGCCGGTTGATGTGGGTGTGTTTGGAGGACTTGGTCAGAAGCCGAGCACAGGCATTCTGAACCACCTGTAGACGTTTTAGGGAGGTTTTGCTCAGACACTTGAAAAGACAGTTACAGCTTTGCAATGTTCCTGAGATGGAAGAAGGATGAGCGAACAAGAGAACTGACATGAGAATCCAGGGTGAGAGCTGGGTCAAAGGTCACACCAAGATTCCTGACGGAAGGTTTGGTGTGAGAAGCAAGCTGACCAAGAGAGTCTCTGACTTTGGGAACCAGCTTGTCTGGGGCACAGATGAGGATCTCAGTCTTATCTTCATTCAGCTGTAGAAAGCTCCCAGCCATCCAGGTTTTAATAGAGTCTTAGCAGGTGTGTAACAGCTGCAGCTTAGACATCTCATGGGGCTTAAAGGAGATGTACAGTTGGATGTCATCTGCATAAAGATGGTAGGAGATTCCTTTGAAGGAGCTCAGGATGTGCTGAAGAGGAAGCAGATAGAGGAGGAAGAGCAGAGGCCCCAGCACAGAACCTTGTGGGACACCATGGGTAAGAGAGGTGGCGGAGGACCTAAACTTGGAGACGGCCACAGAAAAGGAGCGCTCAGAGAGATAAGAGGAGAACCACTCGAGAGCAGATCCTGATAGCCCTACCCAGTCTCTCAGCCTCTCCAGTAGCAGGTGATGGTCAACAGTGTCAAAGGCTGCAGTCAGGTCCAGCAGGACCAGAACAGAACAGTCCCATGCATCACTGTGAGTCAGAAGGTCATTAGAGACCCTAAGAAGAGCTGTTTCAGTGGAATGAGCTCTACGAAAACTTGACTGGAAGCTATCATAGATGTTATGTTCATCAAGAGCAGTTGTGAGTTGTTTAGCCACAACCTTTTCCAAGATCTTGGAGATGAATGGAAGTTTAGAGATGGGTCTGAAGCTGCTATGGAGAGAGGGGTCGAGACTCGGTTTTTTAAGAAGCGGGTGGATTACAGCATTCTTAATGTAAGCAGGGACCTGACTAGGGGTTGTATGAACTAGTCGACTAGTTGACTTCACGGCTCTGTAGTGACTTTTTATGCCTGTCATAGACTAGTCGCTGTCACGTGATAATGAGTGGCAAGATGCAGCCCTCGGAAAAGACAGCAGGTGATGAGCACCTGCGTCGGGAGGCGGAGGCGACGCACTGTGCCAGAGCGTCGGTACTGACACCGGCGGTAAAACGGACATTTAACCAAACTGTGACCTTTTCCCTCTTGCAATTTTACCTTCACCTCACCCCCATCCTAATCTTAACCAGTTTGTGCATGCAAAGCTCTGATCGTTGACGCGTTCCAGACATCTGCGTCCTGAGCACCGCCAAATCAGGTGTCACCACCTCAAAAACAAATTAAACACGTAATCGTTCATGTCGGCTCATTTCCTTTACTGTTTTCTGTCTGTTATTTGTGCCTGATGCGTTTCGCTGCTGCGGAGCGAGGCGCATCACCTGTTTTGTTCTCCGGTGACGCACCCTCAAAATTCCACTATCTCCGCTCCGCTCCGGCACGAACTCCGCAGCAAAAATGGTCCCGTTGTAGTCGGCCGGCGAGCAGCGGCACTCCGCTGTTTTTGCGGTCGGTAGATCTTTTAGAACTGCAGTTCAAAGGTAACTCATAAGGTGAATATAAATTAACCCAGATAGCAGTTTTTCTTTAGGATTGAGAGGAGATGCAGGAAGATAATAAACAGAAAGGACAGAAAAATAGTCAAATAAAAACAAGTTTGTTTTTGTACCGATTGGTTGCAACAAACAAACACCATTGAAGGTAATCAGAAGTGAGGAACAGAAAATGAAATAATTATTTTAATGTTTAGAGCAGCAGGAAAGGCTGCAGGCGCATCAGTGAGTTTGCGGCTGCTGCGCAGGGGGAGGTGGGAGAGGGCTGAAGTAGGATGTAGAAACTACCGTTGTTAAAAGAGATGTGTTAACTTAGAAAATGTGGATGCAATTTTACTTGTCAAAAACTCCAGCGAACCTACCGAACCCCCCCCCGTCCCCCCCCCCCCCCCGTGCCGCTTCAGGTGTATGACGTCTTCAACGACTAGTCGAAGTCGACTCGATTTTCATTACTTGACGGTCGACTTTAAAAAAAAATTAAGTCATGCAACCCCTAGACCTGGCCAGAAACCAGAGAAGCATTAATTATAGAGAGCACGCTGGGACTGACGGACTGGAAAGCACTTTTAAACAAAGATGAGGGTAAGATGTTGAGGGGGGATGCAGAGGTCTTCATAGAGTAAACAGCTAGAGTTAGTGGAAGTAAATTAGCAGGGTTAGATCCACGGTGTTTATAAAAACCACTTATGGAGGGAACAGGAGAAGAAACCATTAAGGAATGAGGATAAACCGACCTTAAAAAACTTGGACGGAGAAACCGCGCTGCAACGCAGCCTGGCAGGAATGCAGAAGTGGCACTCAAGTCGCCAAACAGAGCACATGAAGCTTGAAGATCACGGCGATGTTTACTAGATAAACCACACTTTAAGAGAAATCTTATTCTCTACTGGATTCCTGCTCGTTTAACTCTTTTCCCCCAATGTTTTCCGGGACCGGATAAACGTTGCTGGAGGCACGCTGGTTGGGATCGTCATTTGGCTCCGGGCCAGTGCGCCACTCAGATAAACTAACAGGGAGGTACGTCCTCGGTGCATCTTGGGCGATCGCGAACGAACGGAAGGACAAAAGAGCTGGCGATCTTAGGAGATGGTAGCAGGGACACTACTAATGAGGATTGCAGACAGGAGCAAGGTGGAAAAGAGGAGGTTAGTGGAGAAAAGTTTGAAAAAGTGGCCGGTGACTGCAGCTAATCCAAGCACAGGTGCCATCTTGTTACCGACCGGAAGCGGAAGTAAAGTAATAACTGCTTAATATTAATGTTACTATTATGTAATGTATTACTAAGCAGACATCCTCCCGACCCTTTGTCCTAACCTTAAGGACACTTAATAGTTGACAATATTGTGAACGTTAATAAAGGGACCCATTTGCTGTCACGAACATCGGAGGGACTTGTTACAGCCTGGCAGCAGTAGCTCAGGAAGTAGAGCTTGTTGTCCAGTGTTCGGAAGGTTGCAGGTTCAATCCTGCTAGAGAATGCTGCTGTTGTGTCCTTGGGCAAGACGCTTAACCCACCTTCCCTGCTGGTGGTGGTTGGAGGGACCGGTAGCGCCAGTTTTCAGCAGGCCTCACCACTGTCAGTGTGTCCCAGGGCAGCTGTGGCTACATGTGGCCACCAGTGTATGAATGTGTATGTGAATGGGTGGATGACTGATTGTGTTGTGAAGCGCCTTGGGGGGTTGTAGAACCCGGTTCTATACAAATACAGGCTATTTACCCCACCCCCCCACCCCCCTCCCTCCCACTGCTCTCACTATTCTGCTTACTTCAATAAACTGACTCTTTTTAACAGCTCTTTGAGGTAAACATTCAACTAATGAACGGTTCCCTTCAAAGAGCCACAAGCCCCATCACTAATAATAATACACTAAGTAACATTAATAAAAGGACCATCATTGTCAAGTGTTACTTTTGTATAATATATATTCTTGCTATTGAATGATGAAGGACAGCAAGCAGAGGACAAACATTTCTACAAACACCTTCAGTCTGTTTCCATCTGTTTCATTTCTGTTGGTGAAATGTTGGTTTCACCAACTGTCCTTTTTGTTTTTAATAAGTTGTGTTCATCTTTTGTCAATGTTTGTGCTGTTGAGCTGCTTTCTTTCATTGTTGTCCCCAATCATAAGTTAATAAAACATCCACAAACCACCTCATATTTATTTGTTTGTGTTCTTTTTGTATTTTTTGGAAAGCCTAAACTTGTCCTTCCTTATGCAGTTTTAAATAATACATAGACTTTAAACTTTAATAATCAGATTTTTTTTTAAATCTTTGTAGCTGTGCTTATGGACACGAGTTATGCATTTTTTATTTTTGTTGTGTCACCTGGATTGATTTTTAACCCTCTCAGGCTCAAAATAAGTATTGATAAAAGGACGAACAACTAATTCCTTCAGGGATACTTCTGAGTTAAACAATGCTCATGAAATACGGTTGTGGAGTTACCAGGTAGGTAGGTTTTAACGTTGCAAATCTGCAATGCATGCCTCCAGAGGGTTAAATCAATCTGAAGCTTTGTTGATGTCTTATTGTTTGAATGCTGTAAAGCATTCACACACATACATACAAACATTATTTGAAATTTAAAAAGGTCATGGGACATTGGACGTCATCATATTGAGGCAGATTCCTGTCATCTGTTACCATGGCAACACAGGCGCATAAGGATTACCCCAAACAATTCTCATTGAAATGAATGTAAAACGCCTAATACTGATCCATGCTTTCGTTCTTTTTTAAACACAGAAACAGTTTTGTTTACCTGTTTGTAGCTACGGTTTCGCCGACAGCTGCCGGCTTCTTCAGGCTGATGCTGATGGTGGCGCGTCACTTCCTTCTCCGTTTATCTGCGGGCAGCAGAGGACGTTGTCGCCCTCTACTGCCCGCTCTCCCCTCTCCGACGATGCAGTCCCATGCGTGGTCCAGCGTGTAAACTCCGTCGTCCCTGTTCATGGTCCCACATCCACGTCTCCTTATCTCGATTGCTTCCTTGATCCATCTTTTGTATTTTTGTTGTTCGGTGGTTATGATCCGTGTGCTGTCCCAGTCCATTATATGGTTTTCTCTTAAGCAATGATCTGTTACGGCTGACTTTTTTATTGTACTTTCTGCTTCTTCTTTTGCTGCTCTTGTGTGTTTACAATTTGCCTCTTTCTCGCACTCCTTTCTGTGTTCTATTGTCCGTGTATTGAGTTGGCGGACAGTAGAGGGCGACAACGTCCTCTGCTGCCCGCAGATAAACGGAGAAGGAAGTGACGCGCCACCATCAGCGTCAGCCTGAAGAAGCCGGCAGCTGTCGGCGAAACCGTAGCTACAAACAGGTAAACAAAACTGTTTCTGTGTTTAAAAAAGAACGAAAGCATGGATTTACAAAGACACAGCAAGAACACACCTAAGATGTTCAAAGAGAAATACGGACAACAAGGAACGAAGGACTTCCGCCGTTTGGAACGATTACATCAGAAACGCGCACGTCTAAGAAACCGCCTTCGCTTCTGTTTAAGATGCCGGGACGAAAACATCACACCCACAAGCCTACAGCTGAAAACATCGATCCGGACCCAGACAGCACAAAATATAATAGAAAGAGCACAGAGAGCACTGCTCAAGGAGAGGATAAGGAACGTCATAACCAAACAGAGGCGTGTGGAGGATGAACTGGAAAGAGGACACCTGGACTTGAAAAGGAATTACAAACTTGATAAACAAATGGAGGAACTAATTAAAGGACACATGATGGAAAAACAGGAACAAGAGTTCATAAAAGTGAAAGAAAGACACATAAAGAAGTTAAACAGACTCATAAACAAGAAAAAGAGGGGAGAAATACAAGGCAACTCCACACCAAACTCATGGGTATGTAACATTTCACAATACAAACTAACAGAAGCAGAAGAGAGCATATTAAAGAAAGGTTTAAACTTTGCAGTCACACCAAAAGAAATACCATATGATGAATTTATTGTAGCAACAGAACTAGCATGTCAACAGATCACAGATGAGGGAAAGAAAGCAGAACTCAGAAATAACGTAGTTGGGATATTAAAAAACAGCCAAATTCAACACAGCAATATTACAAAAGAAGAACAATCAGCCATGACAGCTTTATCCAAAAATGAACAGATAATTATTCTACCGGCAGATAAAGGAAGAACCACAGTAGTTATGGACAGAGAAAAATATAAACAACAGATGAAACAGATGCTAGAAGACAAAAATACATATGACATACTTAAAAAAGATCCAACAGAAAACATTAAGAAAAACATGAAAAAATTACTGAAGCCACTGCACGAAAAAGGCAAAATAACAGAAAAAATGTACAAACACTGGATTCCCACAGCAAACATAACACCAAGAATATATGGAACACCAAAAATACATAAACAAAACACCCCACTTAGACCAATAGTTGACAGCATAGGTACACCAACATACAACATGGCAAAAGATATCAGCAGAATCATCAGCCCGTTATTAGGAAACACAGACAGACCAACACTGCAAAAATAGTATAGAATTGGCAAAAGAACTAAAGGAAATTACAATAGAAGACAACGACATACTCATCTCACATGACGTCACATCTCTGTTCACAAAAACACCAACCCAAAAAACCATAGACATAGTAGTTAACAGAATCAGACAAGACAAAACTTTACATAAAAGGACAAACCTCACAGCAGATGACATAGCACAACTGATAGGACTGGTAGCTAACTCCACTTACTTCACATACGACAACACAATATACAAACAACTGGAAGGCTTCGCCATGGGTAACCCGTTATCAGCCACCCTGTGCGAGTTTTTCATGGAAGACCTGGAACAAAAAGCCATAGCCACCGCCCCCCCAAACTGCAAAATAAAACTATGGAAACGCTACGTAGACGACATACTGGAAATCATACCAAAAGGTCAAACAGAAACACTAACACAACACTTAAACAATATTGACGACACGGGCAACATAAAATTCACTTATGAGTTAGAAACAGAAGGCAGCATAGCATTTATGGACATGAAAATCACCAGGCAGACCGACGGGACCCTAAACATAAACACATACAGGAAACCAACACACACAGACCAATATCTATTATGGACATCAGAACACCCCACCATACACAAAATGTCAGTAATCAGAACATTATATCACCGAGCAAACATAATAACAGAAGAGAGAGACCGTAAACAAGAGGACAAACACATACAACACGCTTTAAAGACCTGCAGATACCCGACATGGGCAATAAACAAAGGAAAACAACAAACAAAAACAGAAAGCAAAGAACAACCCAAAAAAAGAACCAGAAACCCAGAAAGACAAGAACCAAAACCAGTGATAACCCTACCATACATCAGAGGCATAACGGAAAAAATAAGAGCAACAATGAAAAAACACAACATAAACACACCAACAAAGCCATACACAACAGTTAGAAACAGATTAGTACACCCAAAAGACAAAATATCAGCTGGACAAAAATGTGGAGTCATCTACGAAATCCCATGCAAAATATGCAATAAAACATACATAGGAGAAACCGGACGCCAACTCAATACACGGACAATAGAACACAGAAAGGAGTGCGAGAAAGAGGCAAATCGTAAACACACAAGAGCAGCAAAAGAAGAAGCAGAAAGTACAATAAAAAGTCAGCCGTAACAGATCATTGCTTAAGAGAAAACCATATAATGGACTGGGACAGCACACGGATCATAACCACTGAACAACAAAAATACAAAAGATGGATCAAGGAAGCAATAGAGATAAGGAGACGTGGATGTGGGACCATGAACAGGGACGACGGAGTTTACACGCTGGACCACGCATGGGACTGCATCGTCGGAGAGGGGAGAGCGGGCAGTAGAGGGCGACAACGTCCTCTGCTGCCCGCAGATAAACGGAGAAGGAAGTGACGCGCCACCATCAGCGTCAGCCTGAAGAAGCCGGCAGCTGTCGGCGAAACCGTAGCTACAAACAGGTAAACAAAACTGTTTCTGTGTTTAAAAAAGAACGAAAGCATGGATTTACAAAGACACAGCAAGAACACACCTAAGATGCCTAATACTGAGCCAATAACATACAGCTTTTTCTGATCTTTCTGAGCTCTATACACTTAAAACTAGCAGCATTGTGCAGATTTTAACAGACAGAACGTGGGATACCCCCCTCTTCTATCAATGCTCTCTGATTGGCTGAGAGGTTTAAATCATCTTGTGGCCAAACGGAAATACACACCCACACATATGATACATCAATTCGCCCGGCTTGGTCTCAGGAGTCTTTTATCAACTTTTAATTGTGTTTTTCGTTACCATGGTGACATGCTTAGCAACACCTTTTTTAACTGTTAAGACACCACTGTATCAACATACTTTAATGTAGAAACATTGTTCAAATTTTAACAGTCATGTGAAAATGGACCTCAGTATTCTAAAGCAGACTCCTGTCATCTGTTACCATGGCAACAGAAGGAACTAAGGATCACTCTAACCAAGTCTCATAGGCATGGGTATAAAAAGCTGAGTATCCAACCAATAACAAACTGCTGTATCTGATCTTTCTGAGCTCTCTGTACATAAAACTAGAAACATAACTTGCATTTTATTGACCGTCAGAAGGCAAGAAATCACCCAACCCCATCCCAGCTCTCTGATTGGCTGAGAGAGTTCAATCATTTTCTGGCTAAATAAAAGTACACACCCACACATATGATACATCAAATCGATCGGCTTGGTCTAATGAATCATCCATCCATCTGTCCATCCATTCAATAAATCATCTAACATCCATCCATCCAACAATCCCTCCATCCATCATTTTATCCATCCAACCATTCATCCATCCATTACACAATCTGAACATATGCTAATCTATCAGTTTCAGATATCAGCAAATGTTTCTAAATTCACAGTTCAGCTCATTGTGAAAATGCTAGGTGTTTAAACATTTCAACTGTCTAGTTTATTAAACTATGTTCAAAGATTTCAGTTTTCCACTGTTTAGCATTTCTCTCTCCATGCTTCACCTACATTTTGAGCTTTATTACACTTTTTGGTGATTTTTGCTTCTAAATCTTTAAATACATTCAGCTCATTTTGACAGTTTAGCTCAGTTTCAGCTTCACTTCAGCTTTTCAGCAGATTCAGCTTACAGTTTAAGCTGTCCAGCATTCAAACAGCATTTCTGCAAGAAATGCAATTTATCTAGTTTTAGTTTTATTTTACATTTTTCTTGTACGTTTTAGCAAATAACCAGCTAACCAACTTAACGAACATAACATTTAATCTCTTCACACAATAATAATATTTTACATTTTCTTTGCGCAAAAGCAAAGAAAATCATCCCTACGATGGATGTTAGACAAAAATAATTTCTTTTACAGATTTCAAATAAACAATTTTTTAACCCTAAATACAGCAGAATTAAAAATAAACAGGTCTGCTCATGTTAATACCAAAGAACTTATGGTCTATATTTGGCTGCACTAATTTTTCTTTGTTTTCTCAGAGATCTGTGCATGTTCTTTTTCTTAAGTCTGTTGAGGTAAAGCGCGTGGAGTTCTTTCTTTTCTTCGTCCCCCCTCTGTGTTGGGATGAACAGAATTGCTAATCTAAATTCTCACAATTTTGTAACCTGTAGATTTATTAGCTGTCTGTGGTTTCAGGACTGTTATCCTTTTTATTATGACACACTTTTTCAGAAAACTCACAGACTTAAAGCATCCTTATGAGCGACCAGCATAATCCAAACATAATATAATCTGTCTGACAGTTTAGAGTAAGTCACCCCAAAAAAATTTTTTTGCTGATAAATTATAAATATGTGTAGAAGACATGTGTAGCCATTATTTAGGTATTTTAGTGCATCTCATCTAAAATGTAATAGTTGAACCTACAACCATCATTTTTGTGTCCTCTTCAAGTTAATACTCTGTTCTACATTGACTCAGCCATCACTAATGGCTAAGAGGTACCCAGTGACATCACTGGTACTGTATTACATGGATGCACTGAACTGGATTGCTGCCAAGTCTCAGCGCCGCTCTCTCAGTCTGCCAGGCAAAAACTTATTTTTGACGCATTATTCAAACAAGAAATGTGGTGCAGTTAGACACTAATAGGGGGTGTGACTTGTTATTATTAGTAGTAGTAGTAGTATTATTATTTTTTACAAATTTCATGTTCCAGTCATTTTTGGTCAGATCCTCCTGTTTTACCTGTCATTTTACTTGTTATCCTGGTTCCACGTCTAAGCCAACAACAACAATTTATGACATTATTTTCAGATCTTTTGCAAAAACAAAAGTTAGGAAGGCTTCCTCTGCTTTTTTTAAATTTTTTTTAACAACTCTACTCTGGTTGGTGAACTTCTGGACCAGACCAACATTTGCTTGACCAATCAGGCATCACCAGTCATTTTTCATCAGTTTAGACAGAAGTAAATGTTTTATAAAACCTGCTTACAAAACTGGATTACGCTGCCTGTTTTTTTCTGTGAATACTTTCAGGAAAACTGTTGATATATTGGAAAAAAGTTTGATTTTACATTAATTATATTTATGTGATACTTCCATTTGGAAAATGACTAAACAATTTCTCTGGATGCAATTTGACTGATCTTAAACCTTTGACCTCACAGCTCTGCAGATTCACCACTCCAGTCCCTCACTTCTCTGTGTACTCTGGAATCATCGATCCACCCTCTTCCAACACCTCACCCTCCCTCCCTTTCCTCCCTCACACCCCAATCTGCCCGTCCCCCATCAGTGTGGCCTTAGACAGCACCTCTGCATCAGAGCGGCGGCTGGAGGCTAGCGAGGGTGAAGGAGAGCAGAATACCGAGGCTCGAGTCCCAGATAGAGGAAATGTGTCAAAGTCTCGAGTGGCCCTTTCTCTGCGCCGACTGCTAAAGAGAGGCTGCAGCCCATCGGCCATGTTCGCCAGCCTGTCTCCCAAATGTCACACAGCTGCAGCAACAAGCAGCCGCATACAGCCGATTACTCCAGATGAACCCAGCCAGGCACCACCA